CTGTTGTAAATGTGTCTTTATTCATATGGAACGATGACGGGTTTGTGTCCTTATGTTTTCATTTTGGGTCCATTGTGGTTTTACGTATGTATATCAAATAATTGAAAAATGTTTATTTTCCATTCACTTGAATATAACTTTACATTTTGAAAACAAAATATTGATTTATCTTCTCCCCGTTAATTAACTATTGGTGATTAGACACCATCCTTAGTTATGATTAAATATAAGCTGAAAATATTGGAGTGAAAAGCTCAGTAACTGCTATTGCGTTGAAATGTTGAAACAATATTCAAATGTTTATTCAGTTTTCATCATACCAATTGCTTCTAAATTCGGCAAAAATGCATACATAAGTCTTGACCAAAAGTTGATCTTTTTTTCAGATACAGGCAACGGAACTGCAGGGAGCTAAACCTTATTTTAGTTCTCTTAAAAGAAAGATGTCTCTAGTTACTTCACTCACATTTAAGATGGGAACCATGGATTTCATTCTGAACAGAATCACAGAATAACATAAACTAGAAGATAATTATACTCCAAGGACAACTGGACATATTTGAAGTGTTATTCCTCTCTTGATCAATAACAATTTCATACCAAGTTTGGATTTAATTATAAAACAGGGTATTATGATTTGTGATGCTGAGAATATACAACATTGCTGGTCAATGAATTCTAGTTTCATAACATTGCAAAATGACATTGCTTTGTGCGGGTGTGGGGCGTTATAGGGTAACATGAGTCTAGGATGCAATAAAACATGGGAGGCATAAGGAGTCAATACTCAGGACAGTTCCTATTGGAGCCCTTATATAAGGATCATGTCCCCATATCACGCAGACTGCTCCTGTTTATTTGGATTTCAAGAAGTCTTGGAAGACACACAGATCAATAAATAGGTCCAGCTTTAACAAGTCATTTTATTAAGATATTATTTTACACATAGCATTTAACCGACTACCTCAGAGTTTGAAACAATCGTGTTGACAAAAAAAGATAAAAGCCTGATACAAGAGTAAGCATGTTACAAGGGTAAGCATGTATTTCATGCACTTGTGTAAATACAGCATAAACACTGGAGAGGTTAAGCTTTGCATATATAATCGAAACTGAACCTGTATGTATCACTCGACCATATACAAATTCATGTAGCCTTCTCATATAAATAGCCGTTCAAATCCAGTGTTTGTTTAGACTACACCATAGCGTGTAATGATTCTATAGTATGTCATTGATGCGGTTTTATAGCTGGTATTCTAATACATATTTTAAACGAGCTCGTTTTGTAAGATTTTTGGCGCTAAACCATGCATGACATACATCATCGTGTTCAGCAAGAATTCAACTGTGCATCGAAATCAAAATTGACAGCATAGTGTTCAATAGACACGAGTAAAATGGTTCCCATTGACCCAACGTCAAATTTCAAATCTCCCGTTCTAAACCCGAAACTCTGAAGCTGAAAGAGTATCTGAAGTAGACTAAGCGCGCATAAAACTATGAGCGCTCGATACATTCCTTTGTTAATTTTTGTACTTTGCGTTCACGGTTACGTTGTGAAAAACATCGTTAGCTTAACCTCTCCACTGTTACCTGTAATTCATTACTCAGTGAATATCACAAATGACCAACATGCATTCAACAGCATGCATAACTATAAGTAAATAATAGACAATAACTGGTTCATGATTCAGTATTGATTAGGTATAGACCTGAAATTCTTCCGACTTATCCTATACTACAAGCATATTGGAAACTTCTAATGTAATGCATGTGGCATACTATTACTTTACCTAATTTGGCATTATTTAATTTGGTGAATTCAACATGATTGGGAATATTTGGAATTTGGTGAATTACTATGACTAGTTTATGTTCTATTTTATCCTTCTTACTATGATCATTATGTTTGATCAGAAAGCATTCACTTCTAAGCCATGTCAGAATTGACATGATCCGATGTGGAAAAACTTTGAATTCATTTGTGTAAACATCAAATGAATTCAAAGTTTTTCCACATCGGATCATCAGAAAGCTGTTCGAAATAAAAACATGGAGTAGAATTACTGAAAGCGCAAATTACTGATTGCAAATCCCCAAATTAAAACAAGCGGCAAATTAATAGAGTAACAGTATTGAAACCATGGGTTGCCATATATGAAAATGAGAGTGAAGTGACAGAAAGGATGGAGAAACAATACTTGGTAGCAAACCATTATGTTCCAAGTAAGAATGAAGCTTTAAGGCTAGATTCCTAGGAATGCCTATAGGTGGAGCAATCAACTTGGAACTCTTGGTTCAAATCATGTTATTGTTACATCATCAGTAACTCGGTGAATGTGTAAAATTTCTTTAAAAAGTTGAGATTTAAGTAGAATACTGTAGAAGCAATAACCTGATGAGCAATGATAGCTTGGCACATTGAGAGGTTTGGCCATGTAGAATGTATTCAATTTAGAATATGTATGGAAGATTTGGAAGTGAAACTGCTGTTAAAACAAATAAACTGATTAATGTTAATGATATGAAGAGTGTATTTTAGTAATCTGATGATAAAGTTAATGATATGAAGAGTGTATCGTAGTAATTTGATGATAAGTTAATGATATGAAGAGTGTATCGTAGTAATCTGATGATAAGTTAATGATATGAAGAGTGTATCGTAGTAATCTGATGATAAGTTAATGATATGAAGAGTGTATCGTAGTAATCTGATGATAAGTTAATGATATGAAGAGTGTATCGTAGTAATCTGATGATAAGTTAATGATATGAAGAGTGTATCGTAGTATCTGATGATAAGTTAATGATATGAAGAGTGTATTGTAGTAATCTGATGATCATGTGCACATAGACTACATTACAGACCAAAAAATGTAATATTTCATTTGTTTAAGAATGTGGTTATCAAATGGATGGATTGTTTGAGCTGTATAATGGTATATAATGGATTGTTTGAGCTGTATAATGGTATATAATGGATTGTTTGAGCTGTACGAGGGGTGATCAATAAGTAATGGACGCTTTTTTACACAGATGCTTTTTATAGACCAATCCCTTCGATTTTCTTACCAGTGATACATCATTCAATTATCTATCAACTCTGAAGATTTGAAGACAATATATATATTACATGTTGATATATCTTTATTTCCGTGAAGGAGGTACAGGTACCCCGGGACCGACATTTACGTCACATATTCTGAAGCTATTTTAGATTGTTAAACATGTAATGCAGTTGAATGCAGGCTGAACAAAACAAACCATCATGGTCATGAATTACCCCATTTTGTTATGCCATAGTAATAATATAATAATTTTGAATATTTTATCATCACTATGTGGTATTCATGCCACATTCATTCCACAAGGCCCTCTAAATAGTTTCCATCAAGTGCTACATGTACACAATTCCTCATCCTCTTAACTCAAGATTGTGAGACAAGGCTGAATCCATTCTCTGACATGGTAGCAATATGCAGTTGCACGGGTTGTTTTATTTCATCAATGTCAATAGACCTGCATCCTTTCTCTATAGAAATAAGTAGTGTAGAAATAAACAAGTCACATGTGAGCAGATCTGGACAATATGGTGCATTGGCCAAGGGCTCAATTTTGAGGTCCAGGGATATTGTTTTCTGAACATTTTGAGATCTGTGGGCAGGTGCATTGTCCATATGGAGTAGGGTGTTCCCTCCTCTCACCACCCCTTTCTTCCACTGAATGCTTTCTCAAATTGACCTGCAAACCCCGTCCATACAACACTCTGACATTACAATACTTTCTGTTTATGTGTTACCAGTCAGCAAAAATTTTTAAACAACACAACACTTGTTGCATATAAAACATTCAAATCTAACTGAAATTTACCAAACTGGCTAAAATCTGAATATGTGACGTAAATGTCGGTCCCGGGGTACCTGTACCTCCTTCACAGAAATAAGGATATATCAATATGTATTACATATCTTGTCTTCAAATCTTCAGAATTGATAGATAATTGAATGATGTATCACTGGTAGGAAAATCAAAGGGATTGGTCTATAAAAAGTATCTGTGTAAAAAAGCGTCCATTACTTATTGATCACCCCTCGTATAATGGTATATAATGGATTGTTTGAACATAGTGATATGAAAACAAGTATGGAATTTGTAACATACGGACAATATCTGTAACATACAGATATTTGAATCATTTAAAACTTTACCTAATGTATAATATGTGTTTAAGATGCAAATATTGAGAAAAAAGAAAATACTGCTACTGTACTAAAGACAACTCTAATTTATTTTGATTATAAACTGTAAATAAAGAAAGGTACAAATAGTAAAGTTAGAATATATTTGTTGTTTTGTATATTATTCTGACTTATCTAAGTAAAAGTATCTTAATACAATAAGATACTGTTACCAATATTGCCCAAAATCTGAAGATGTGTACGAGACGCCAATAGGTGATAACTGTATGAATTTAAATCAGAAAAGCAGCAAATACTATCGAATAACACATATCTTATGAAGTCACTCACCAGTTAGATGAAATTTTCTTGATGGAAACATGGAATAAACATGTAAAATGTCAACACCTGCCATTTGTTACAGATGCCAAACACTGAACACCAACCGCCATCCACAGAAAAATTGGAGACTGTAAAAATATGTCACCACTTCTGGCGGAGACATAATAACCAGGCATTAGTATTGTCTCCTTTTGACATAATCTACATCCATGACTTGACATGACGCCATATCATAAGAATAAATAGAGGTCATATGACCTGACCTCAGCCTATACAATTTATATCAAATCCAATACCATACTTGCATTATCAAAAAATTGTATTTCTTAAAAAATGGAAGGTCATTATGAATTCAGTCGCCATCAAGAAAATTCATTCTTGTGCATCGTTCTATGCCCATACTGTACAGCTAAAATATAATCTGTGGAATTTAATATGCCGAATGTTGTATTTAGTGGTCCATCTGCAAATTAAAATCTCAGATCAAGTACTGTAACTTCTCAAAAGTTCGGTATTTTTTCTTTTATATTCATTAATATTCGGTCATTTCTCAATGTATTTTGATAGCAAATACAGGAGCTATTTTGGCTGTTGTGAAATGGGCAAATAATAAAAAAATCTATTTTTGAAGTCTTCATTCGGGAAATATAATGTTCAGATTATATTTCAGCTATACAGTAAGGCACTAGCATATGAAATCTGAACCAAACTTGAGAACAGTTATTTGAGTTATCAAAAAGAATATTTAAGATATAAGCCTATACATTTTTTTCTTGAGAAGACACTCGCTGTCAATATGGCACAAGTACATGTATATAAAATCTGAACCAAATCTGTCAACTTAACTGGCATTTAACAGGAACAGTCATAACAGAGGCCATTTAAAATTCAGTGAACAACTTGAAAATTCTTCTTGAACAGAGCTCAGATGGACAACCAGGCAGACGGATGGCTTCTCTAAGTCCTCAGGAAAGTTTTCTGTTTTTAGTGGTATAATAACATGTTAGAAGTGTTTCATTCCCATATTTCATAACCATGGTAACAGATACTGCACAAAATGTAAAACCTCTTGTAATGATCTAATCTTTAATTGTTCAGTGATGGCGCAGATCTTACAAAAAAATGTAACACATTCCTGATATTATTACCATGACAACATACATATTACCAAAGGTCTGTTGAAACTTGTGAAAATTCAATTTGTTACGCTTGGTGGTGACATACAAACTAGTCAACAGAAAATTCTACTGTTTATAATTCCATATACATGTAGGCCTATTTGTTTTGGTAATAGCACAGTCTGATATCCCTACGATGTCATTACAAGCCAGATCACGGATAATCCTATCAACTTTTTGAAGATGCAACATTACTTGTGTCTTCCTTTTTAGTCCTGTTATTATTGGAACTGGAAGAGTCATCATTTTTATTTCCATCATCATTAGTTAACTGAGATTGTTTCTGAGATTGTTCCCACATTAATCTCCTCTGTTCCTTATGCAGTCTTTTCTCCTCAGGTGTCCTTTTAGGAGGAGTAGGTCCAATTACTTTAAGCTGTACTTTGTCCAAATTTGGATCTTTCACCCAGGCTTCAGGGTGTTCAGTCCACAGTTTGTTGCTTCCCCTTAGAAGGAAGCGCTTCACTGATTTACACTCTAAGCAAGTCAGGACCATGTGTTTTTCCCTCTTAGCTGAAAAATATTATTAGAAAATATTCAGGTCTGAACTAACATGTATATGTGTATCATGAAACCAGCTTTAGTTTCCAAATGGCATCTTATCTTATGGTTAAGTCCAAATCCATTCATTTGAATAATTCTTGTATATGCAGAATGTTGAAAGAAACAAACTTTAACCATGCATATTCAAGAAACATGAGAAAAAGATTTCTGTACACATTCCCATTCTAAACATAACATTTAAGTTGAACAGCTATTTAAGGAAGAATGCACATTTCCACGCCATCTTGTAGAATTCCATGAAGATTATAATTTTGAACTTTGTCACAATTTTTTCAAATAAGGCTTTTTGTATGTATATACATACATCTTGTCCTAACTGTTGCAGTGACACCTGGTATCAGTAGCATGAAGCACTTCTTACATATGGTCCTCTTTATAGATGGCTCTCTAAAAACAATATGAAATTAGTTTGATATGTCATACATCATAATAGGCTTCAACATGACACGTTGTACACTTTAGTTTTCAATGCCTCTTATCAAAATTATTTTTAACATGGTGTGGACAGTATGATACTTACATTCTAAATACATGTTTGCGTGCTATGGAAATCATGTTTGTGATGTATTGTCTCACTAGCTCAGTATTGTTTGGATGTGTCCTCACCACTTCATGGGCTGCCTGTAAATATAGTAATAAATATCATGCATAGCATGAACAAGAGAAATTCTCTAACAAGACACACAGTGATAAATATCGCACTTTGAAGAGCAAACTGGCCACCATGCAATTTACCCAGCATGGCCAAAACCTAATCAGACCTTGGCACTAGTCTGCTCTTGCATCTGTAAACATTTCAAGTTGACAAGGTTGGCGGTTTTCCTGCAATTTTGATGACAAGAATTTATTTGTAGTCTTGAACTTTGGGAAAATTTAGATAACATTGTTTGTGACCTAATTTGATGACCTTCGACCTTGAAAATTTCACTATTTCAGACCTCAGTAGGTGTTTTGTAATTAAGCTGACCTAAATTCAAATCCAAAATATCAATTTAGAAAATCAAATTTTTGACCTTTTCAAGATCACTGAAGGTCAACGAAAGGTCAAATCTGAAATCTAAGGTCAGATTTGAACTTCTGAGAACTTGTAGATGTTTTTAAAAAAAAAATTTGGTCAATTTGGAGCAAGTTGAAAAATTCAAAATGGCCGCCAAATTGAAAAATTCAAAATGGCGACCATGTAATTCAGCCAGCATACCCAAAACCTAATCAGATCTTGGCAATAGTCTGCTCTTGCATCTGTAAAAATTTCAAGTTGAACGGATAAGTGGTTTTCCTGGAATTTTGATGACAAGATTTGTTGAAAAATTCAAAATGGCCGCCATGTAGCTTACCCAGCATGCCCTTAACCTAATCAGATTTTGGTACTAGTCTGCCTTTGCATCTGTAAAAATTTCAAGTTGAACAGGTAAGCAGTTATCCTGGAAATTTGATGACAAGAATTGATTTGTAGTCTCAAACTTTGAGAAACTTGGATAACATCATTTGTGACCTAGTTTAATGACCTTGACCTTCGACCTTGAAAATTTCACTTTTTCAGACCTCAGTAGGTCTTTTGTTATTAAGCTGACCTAAATTTAAATCCAAAATATCAATTTTGAAAAATTCAAAATGGCCGCCATGTAGTCTACCCAGCATGCCCTTAACCTAATCAGATTTTGGTACTAGTCTGCCTTTGCATCTGTAAAAATTTCAAGTTGAACAGGTAAGCAGTTATCCTGGAAATTTGATGACAAGATTTGGTTTATGTGCCGCCTGCCCGCACGCCCGCCCAACAGCACAAGACGACGACAATATAGCACTTTTTCAAAGTGCGATAATAAAAAGACTTGTTGTGGTCTATTTTATTTTTGAATAATCCCAATATAAAACCTATTTCCAGGAGCACAGAACTCATTCCTTACAAGGTTTGCAATTTCCAGTTTTGCTCAGAGTGCTCAAAGAACTGAAGAACCAGCTGTTTTAACATTGTACAGGGTGGTAAAAAATGGAAACCCTAATACCATTTTCCTCATATCTTTGTCATTTTAAAAAATAACTCCCTGATATTTTACACTTTTGTACATCATTCAATTTGCTACCAGCCTACTTTATTTCATAACCATCAGATTGATAGTCACAATGTTACAGTTCTTTAAAGGGTTCCGATTAGCATCCCGTATAAAAACAATATGGCGGCTCCAGGCAAATCAACTGGATCAGTCCATTTTTAAGAAATAAGGGGAGTTCTGTAAAATCCAGTTTATTGAAATTGTCTTTGAGATAAAGTAATCCGCTTATAATGATTTTGAAAACGTTATCCAAAGAGTGATTGCGTTCAAAGAATACATGTACAACAGCCAATATAAATCCTTGTATTAGAAACCGGTTTGTCTTGCTTTGTTTCATTTGTAGGATATTTCATATGCCAAGCTGTGTGCTATTACGTTATGGGGAAATTTAGATGCCAATCTTTCCTTATTATACACAAATAGAAGATCCTGAAACTTCACCCATAAATGTGGAATTGATTTGTCAAAATAAGAATCACCCTTTTATAAATCTGTGACGATCTATAATATACTTATGCTATATAACAGTTAGAGGTGTTGACACAACGACCTCGAACCTGTGAACCCTTGAGTATTATTCCGGGATCGGGCCTTTTATACTAAACGGTGAGCAACACCAGAAACGAGCGTTCGATTTGCTAAACGATATGCGTCACCCTTTAAAGAACATGCCCAGTGGCCACTTTTGCGTTGTGGGGAAACCTGTACTCATCGTCTAAAATGTCCCTACCTGTGATGATATGGCAGAGAGAATGACCTCAAGACAATTGCAAACCTCAAAAGTGAGATCATTTGTGTCATTCAGGCCATACCTGCTGAGGAATGCATTTGGGTCATTGACAACTGTGCTGTTTTGCATACAGAGTATAATGGCCAAATCTGAAGCAAGTTATTCATAGTGCTGTAAAATTGTGACTATCAGTCTGATGGTCATGAAATATGGTAGGGTGGTAGGAAATTGAATGACGTACAAATGCGTGAAATATCAGGGAGTAATTCCTTAAAGTGACAAAGATATAAGGAAAATGCAGGGTTTCCATTTTTTTGATCACCCTGTACTTAACCGCACCTTGTTCTGGTGCATGGTTTTGAAAGGGGTAATACTATCAGGCCGTCATCTCATCCATAAATTACCAATGATTGGGATTGGTCAGTGTAAAAATGTCACAATTTGATTGGTGATTGGACTGATTGTCCAAAGTATTTGATTGGATGACTGGTATCTCAGAAAAACTGAGATGATAGGTGACGCTTATGCATATTGACACAACAGGCACATTCCGTTAACGTACGGGAATCGAACCAAGGACCCTCAACTCACAAGTCAGATGCTCTACCCCTGAGCCATAAGGGTAAGCCAGTACAGCCAAGACTGTAGTAGTGACCTTCTACCAAGGGTTATGTAGGCTTGGGCTTCCCAAAATCAAGCAATGCATATAGGGGGGCCTCTGTTGGATAAGGGAAAAAAATTCAACTTGTGCAATATGCGAAATGTCATCAACTCAAATCCGGGAAATTTAATAACTGTGAAATTGAAATTCTGAAAAATCGGGAAATTTTATAGCGTCAAAATTTAGACAATGCGACCATAGATGTTGGCCACATCGTTTTGTTTGTAACTAGGATCTCATAGTAAATAATTCAGAAGATGAGACACCAAATTGGAAAATGTGACCATGCACCTTTCAAAACGTTCCTTATACAAAATGGTACCTGCTTCCCTGTGACAAATTTTGCAATTAATCTATTAATGAGATCATCATCTTTCTATTTCTACTTCTTTGATTCGAGTAAATAACCTATGGACAGAGTAATTTGACTTCTAATACGGCAAATATTTTTCACTTGATCCGGGCTCTTGTGTGTCCAAATATCATTGTAATTCTGACATCACATTTCTGGAATCACAGGATCACCGTTCAGATTTGGACAGACAAGAGCCCTGATCAAGTGAAAAAGTATTTGCCCTATTAAAAGTCAAATAACTGCATCCGTAGATTATTTACTTGAACCAAAGAAGTGTGTCCAAGGTCAGAATGACCCAGCCTTGCCCAAGTCGGTATTTTTTACTTATCCTGATCTTGAATTATTACCGTCTTGTACAATCCAATACATCTCCGCTGATATTATGCAAAGTTATTCCAAAATAGTACCGTAGGTACTGGGCTCACATGGTGTTGCTCAAAAGTGAAAGATGGCTAAAATGACAGAAAATAAAAAACGGATATAACTTTTTGCCGATTTTTTGTAACAAAATTATTTCATACAACTACTCTTTACAAAGACATTGCTTTTTACAATGCAGGACACCTGAAATTATTTGTAAAGCTAGGAAATGGGCCAAAAGTGAATTTCCCCGAGACAAAAAATGGTGGCCATTTTGAAAATAGGTGAGCTTTTGAAGCAGGAGTCACAGTTTTTTTTTCTTTATTGATGTTGAACAAAAATATTTTAAAACGGGAATCCTATCGACAGAGGATTTAAAAGCCAAGTGTTGACAGACAGAGGTTTTAAAACTTGCAACTATTTTGGACTGACTGAGAGACAGATGGACAAATCAATGTTTACTAAAATGGCTGAAAATAAAATAACGGATATGATTTTTTGCCGATTTTTTGTAACAAAATTATTTCATACAACTACTCTTTACAGTGAAATGTTTTTTTACAATGCAGGACACCTGAAATTATTTGTAAAGCTAGGAAATGGGCCAAAAGTGAATTTCGCGAAACAAAAATGGTGGCCATTTTGAAATTAGGTGAGCTTTTGAACCAGGAGTCATAGGGGAGTTTTCTGTATTGATGTTGGACAGAAATAACTTAAAACAGTAATCCTATCGACAGAGGTTTTAAAATGTGCCACTATTGTTGACGGACGGACGCACGCACGCACGGACAGACAGACGGACAAGTGAGTGATTGCAAAAGCTCACCATGTGAGCTAATAATACCTACAGTGACAGGGGTATCGTGAAACCTTATTGATTGACAAGATTGCATGGACACGATGTGTGACTTCAAGGAAATTGACCAATCAAAACGTTAGCAGGTTGACCTGCATAAACAAAGCAAACGACTTGAAATTCAATGATCTGATCGAGTGTTTCTTTAGAGTTACAATATATTATGTAATCAAATGTACATTGGAATGTAAGCAGTCATTAATATTAAATCGTGCAATTCAATGTTAATTAAAACTGAATTAGCGATGAAGATGCACGAAGACCTAGTCTGTACATGCAGTCGTCCCGTTGAAAAGTGTACTTGTTTTTGACCGTGCATAATAATGAGCTAACGCGTCACAGCAGTCGTTGATTGGTCAAATTTACCGACATAAACATTGTGTCGGTAAAGCATGTGGCTTTCTCTTGGGTACAAGGCGGTCATAATAGAAATCAAGATAAGTAAAAGAGACCGACTTGGGCAAGGCTAAGAATGACCCTAAACATGATGAAATAACTTTTTCAGCCCGCTGAAAATGTGACTGAATAAAGCTAAAAGTAGCTCTTCCGGAAAGGTCACTGAACAGGATCTTTTGAAGTTTTCAGAAAATGTACCCAATATATTATGCTCTAACTAATGCAATCTTCGAAATTTTAGAGAATTGTCTGAAACAAAAATGGCAGTCATAAAAAGGAAAATAGATCGCCTTTCAATTCATTTTTTTCATTTTTTTCATTTTCTACGAATGATATCAATTTTCAAAGATTGTATTATTTTCCAGCCACATTTTCAGAGGCATGAGAGGGCTGAAAAAGTTATTTCATCATGTTTAGGGTCATTCTGACCATGTACATTGTGATCCTTGTCTTGTAAATGATATGTAGAGCTACTTGAATTGACTGGAGGTCAAAACAGAACTCTATTATCTTTGTTCAAAAAAAGTCTAAAAATGCCACATTTTTCGTCACTGCCTGTTTTGTCAATTCCTATTAAGTACCACTGCACCTTAAAGAATAACAAGACGCTTCGAATGAGGTATGACTTTTTTGGTGTCTCATCTTGAGGCATATTTATTGAGCTACTGATCCTACTACAAAACTCGAAAACAAATTTATAAACGGGCCTCATTTGCCATTGAAATGGATCTCCAAATGTTCGCTGTAGTTTTATGAGTTTTCTCTAGAAATATGGATTGAGTAACTACAATTTAGTATAACCGTAGGTTTGAAATGATGATGTTGAACTGATGTTAATACCATTCCCACGATTTCAAATTTAACTTTGCGCATACACAGCACTGAGAGAGCACATGCTCATGATTGTTCACATGATCACATCCTGCAATTTGATTGGAGATAATGCGGGAGATGATGTAATGGGGAATCCCTGGAAACGATAGAGTATGAAAGAATTGTGGGAGCTACTCAATTCTTCTGTCCTCTCTCTAAATCTTGTTTGCAATCTGCGCAAGATTTGGTTAATGGCTCAAGCGCATTAAACCTAGTGATCTGATTGGTTCAAATTATCATGACGCATGCGCAATCAATAACTTTATAGGAACATTTAATTTGAGATAGATGTCACTTACGTTCATTATTTTACAGCAGTTCCTACCCATAATGCACCATACATTGCGGAAATATTTTTGTTAAGTGTCAAAACAAAAAGTATACACCCAAAACAAATCTAATGATATAATGTCAAAAAGCCCCAGATTCCTGGACGTAAATGGAAATATAAACACTTCCCGTAAATATTCTGACATTTAGTTTTCGGACTTCTCAGTCTACTAAAGTACAGTAGAGTATACCCACGGACCTCTGCCAGATTACGTCTTCTTGGTAGTGTCTAGGCTCAATAGATATACTCAAGGACAAGAGACAAAGTCTTCGGAAAATATATATTTCCTTGATTTTGGAGTCAATTTATCAATAAACATCACATGTCATACCTCAAATGATGCGTACTGTTGTTAGCTTCATCTCCAATCACTAAAACCACACATTCAAGAAAGCATCTGTTGATAAAAGCATAAAATAAGCAAGCGTATATGTTTTTTGGAGTGCTTCGGCTATTTCTGTTGTTCAAATGTTTATTCCCAAAGTCAAATGCCTTTTCTGAGAATGTGACCCCATTCCAGCTGATGTCACATCAGAGATTACCAAGAAATCCCATGACGTTTCTTTAAACTCCTGTAGAAACAATAACAACGGTTTGTTAGGCTTCGTGATCCTTTACTTTCATTGGCTGTTTGTTGCGATGTGACATAATTCAAAAGACGAACAACATCGGACACTGCCGCGAAAATACCGAAGCACTCTATTATCTTTACGCTTTGAAAATTTGAAATATATGTCCCCGGAAAATTCAATTTACAGCATCGATACTTGAGATCACGCAACCATTCAAACTAATACATAAAGAAGAGATTACAGGGTAAACATTGATCACTCAATGTTTGAGAGATGGAAAAGATACGAATATCAGTACGAGTGTCATATTTTTGGGTGGTCATTTTGGATGTGCCAGTTTTGGTTGGTGTCTTATCTTCTCATTTATTCTTTGAGCCAATACCAAAAGTGGCTGGATCTGGCTCCGGATCTGTGAGTATACCATTGATAATGATAGCAACTACAGTGCTTGTGCTGACTTTGTTGTATACTATTTTTTTCAAGGCCTGTCTGCGTCGCTAACATGCTAAATATAAGAGTTAGCTGACGTTTGGGAGTCTGACTTACCTTCTAAAGGTTAGAACCCGAATCTTAATGAAACTATATCACCTTTGTTGCGTCGATGATGATGCATAAACATAGCATTTGATAGAAATTAGCGTAAATGCTTTTCCGACTTTTTCATTTTTCATCAATGTTGACTTCCGGGAAGGCGTTGTAGTTATCACGAAATAACGCATTGACCCTTGAACTTTACTTTGTTGACGTGTCAACCAAGCATGTCTGGTGTGAAAATTAAAAGAATATTAAGCAATGTTCTACATCCGCCAAGCTAAGTGAAGTAGTCAATATTAAAAATTACCAATTTCAAGTGAAGTACGCAACGAACGAAACTGCGTGATCTACACTCCCACTATTGGTCTGAATGAAATGCTACGTAGAAATATGAGCCGTCTGCTGTATTAGTCGATTAATAGAGAAAGACCTGTTGGTGATGCTTTATAATTTAGACCAAAACATTGAAGAACAAACGAACCTGTAAATCGTGAAAACAACGAACAAATATTCGGTTTTCACATATGTTCGGTAATTTTTCGTATTGAAACTTCCGGAACTTACAAGGAAATCATTCATTTTCTCGATCCATGATTTACCTCTTGGATGTTGTGGCAAATGCTCCATGGTTGACGGAACAAAGGTGATATGGTTTCATTAAGATTCGGGTTCTAACCTTTAGAAGGTAAGTCAGACTCCCAAACGTCAGCTAACTCTTATATTTAGCATGTTAGCGACGCAGACAGGCCTTGAAAAAAATAGTAGATCTAGTCTATTGATTCTAATGTAAATCTGCTAGTCTACATCACCTGATATAAGTAGTTTATTCGCGCCCATGGTATTTTGCTTGGCTTTGTCATCATTCTTTCTTTCCTAAAGAAACATCTAAAAGTCTATATACGTTAGATAGTGCGTGTAATCGTCTAATTTATAGGAAAATAGAAATATTTTCAATTCCCAGACAAGGAGGATTGGCTCCCAGAGTGCAACATCGATATTCTGTCCCATATATAGGCATGTCGTGCTACAAAATTTGAATTCCAACGACCGCCATTTTGTTCACTTCAACATTTGAATCGTGAATTTTGGTCTTATTTCCTAACGAAAAATTCAAAAACACACAGGAAATGATCAAGATTTTGGTTCGAATCTTTTGAACTGTTTATTTTGAATTTATAATCGGTTTTAATTTCAGAAAATAACGACATTTCGGTGTTTTCATTGTTGGAAAATATCGAGTTCGATCCTGGGAGCCAATCCTCCTTGATTCCCAGAGTACTATTATAAAAAGTAAACTATGGACGTCCAACGGAAAACGAAACTTTTAGAGAAAAATTAATATCTATTTCATAATTTGTAATTAAAAGTTAATCAACATGAGAAAAGATACATATACTATTATATGATGTATCTGACTTCATTTTTAGCATTTTTAGGTAATATTCTCTAAGCCTTTGAAAGTGATCTAAAATTCAAGAGTTTGACTTTTCTTCCATGCTTTTTAAGGTCAAGGTCAATCAAAATTTGTGATTACTACAGGTTAAGTTACCACTCAGGTTTCTATAAATATACTATTTTATTACCCACAATGTGATATCATGATCTGATTTTTACTAAAGGTAAGATTTTATTAATTATATAGTATACGTTGGTTAGATCTATATACTAAAGATAGATCTAGACGACCAAGTATTACTCACTTCGAGAGCCATGTTAGATCTAGGAAACTTATGGCTCTCAAACGCAAAAGTGGACAGCTCATCGATTGTGACCTTTGAAATCGAATTAAGTCGATCAGCGGCCTACTTTTGTTCTCTAACTATGCTATACATCATTATCATCCTTCTGTGCAAGTATTGGAGTGCTGAGGTACTTCCTTTTCGATCAAGACTTGTAATTGTTAGTCGAGTGATTGTTTTTACTGCCGAATTCCAATATGGCGTTTTCTGCTCGGACATTTTCGTACATTTCCGGAGGTTGTCCGAACCTAACTAATTCTCAAAATTCATTTCGTTCGTTGCGTATCTAAATTTTTACCTTTAAAACATGAATAATGAGATCTGCGGCTTACTTTTGGTCTCTAACTGTGTCTTACATCAGTATCATCAATCCGTGCAAGTATTGGAGCACTGAAATACTTCTTTTTCGATCAAGACTTGTAAATTGTTCATCGAGTGAATAATTTTTCGACCCATTTCCAATATGGTTGTTTGCTAGGAGCTAGATACGCAACGAACGAAATGAATTTTGAGAATGAGTTTTCTGAGGCAGAAAACGCCATATTGGAATTTGGCAGAAAAAACATTCACCCGACTAACAATTACAAGTCTTGATCGAAAAGGAAGTACTTCAGCGCTCCAATACTTGCACGGAAGGATGATAATGATGTATGACATGGTTAGAGAACAAAAGTAAGCCACGGATCAACTTAATTCGTGTTTCAAAGGTTACTATTATTCAGCTGTCCATTTCTCCGTTGGAGAGCCATAAGTTTCAAAATCTAAAATGGCTCTCAAAGTGAGTTTGCCTGGCTTATCTTATTCTTCTGCCACAGTGTGGCCTTACACCGTTTGTTTTAGCGCTTTTTACGCTATCTCTCCTAGACTGTTGTATAGTAGTCTAGATTTACATATTTAAGGTATTTAAACGATGAAATTTATTACAGTATTCTCATGCTACTAAATGTCATTTTATATAACCACTGTCATGTTCATATTGTGCTTTACCATTGGTCATGACAGGCCTTGCAACCATTGTCACGGTCATGTCAGGCTTTAACATTACCACGATCCTTGCGAATCTTAAAATCACTTAATAACATGGTGATGGTTGTGCCAGGCATAAGCCTTGTAACAGATAGCATGTGTAGAAAAGACGTACAGAGAAACAGGTGAGAAATTTCGAACATGCAGACTTACCTTAAAGAGAGAATCGGATCTAGCGGGCAGGCAAACAAAAAATTGTTTCAATTTTAGAATATTTCTGGGTCATGTCATTCCTTGTCATGTCTATTTTCTAAAAATACCCAAAGTGCACAATTTATTTCAGGAAGACTAAGGATTTTTACAATAATGTATTGTTTTTGTATAAGAATGGTTACCATTCTTATTATTTGGGAGAATTTAAACATTTTCACCCATTTTTTCATTTTGAATCCTTAATAACTTCACCAACTTATAACATATGGTGAATCCTTTTGGAAATATTAGGTGGAATTACACCTACGATGTAAAAGCGCTTTTTAAAATCCTATCGGGTTTCGACCCGCCTTTAGAGTCAGGTGTAATCACGATCGCGGATTTAGAAAAGCGCTTTTGTAATCCTCCCAGACCCCTAGTCATTAAAAACCGCTTTCACACCCAAAGGCGGTTTAACGTGTAGGTGTAATAATACCGATTGGTTTTCAAGGCGCTTTAACTCGATTTTACACTGAACGAAAACTATATTTGCGCATGAGCATCAAGCATGTTATTGATTTCCGGTGTGGAGGAAACTTCAAAAAACAAAATTCAAATATTGTGCAAAACTCAATCAAATCACCAAAATGTCGAAACAAAGTAGAATTTATTGGGACCACGTCAATACTGAGCGTATGCTTTCGATTAAAATATAAAAAATGATAAAATAACGGACGAAATTACCCCTTCTTTCAGTTATACGCCCAGGGCTTATATACGAGAAATTCCGGTACTATTGTAGATTGGGGAAGGCGAGGGGAGGGGATGATTGAATAGTTGAAATTACCTCTCTACAATGAAGTCAAAAAAATGACGAGATCTTTGTCTTGTCCACATCGTTCGTTCCTGTCCCATATTACCAAGGATGCCAAACAGCCCCAACAAAAGTACCATCTTCATTTTACTGGATCTCTCTTGGATCTCTCCTAACGACCGAGCTTCTCTCTTTGCGCGCTTGTGCATTGTTTTCCATGCTTTCTTTAGCACATATTTGTTAACGCCAGAGGTAGATTGAATACGATTTAAGAAAAAAAGGAACATACAGTATCGGATCATTTTGAATCTCCAGAGATGGCGCTACGGTTGAAAGTGTATATCTAAATAGCAGATTTTGATGCAAATGCGATGGTTGATGGCAAATTTTTGTCTTAAATCAGTCTAAAAGCGCTTTAGAAAAATCAAGTGTAATCACGAAAAGTTGTCTTCAAGGCGCTTTTAAAATTCTGGTGTAATCAGGATTGCGGTTTTCTAGCCTACGTTACCCAAAACGCCTTGAAAGCGCCTTTAGCCATGAAATAGGTGTAATTCCACTAATTGTATTTGAGATTGTAAGGAATAGATTGGTAGGTCAATTGTACATGTTGCTTGTAACTTTGTCACCCCCTATAGGTCTGATTCTACCTTTAAAGAGACTATACCATAGGATCACACTGGAATAGCCTGACAACGATAAAGTCAGATACCGTTGTCACAAATGGCGGACATAACCATTGCTTCAATTAGATTTTTATGAGCTGTACGTTTAAAAGAACACCTAGATTAAATTCCTTTGGAACAACAATCAATCAAAGTGTCTTTATATACATTGTACAGTTAATAATGTTCTACCATCGAAATAAAGTCTTTAATTTAACTGATCATAATGAAATACGGGACAACGGACACTGTATTACGATATGCCGTTGTCTTTGTAAATTATTTCGTTGTCATTGGCAATATCGAAGACGCTATATTTTGGCGATTCTCGACCTAATTTTTGACTTTTCTTCCATGCTTTTTAAGGTCAAGGTCAATCAAAATTTGTGATTTTTTCAGGTTAAGTTACCACTCAGGTTTCTATAAATATACTATTTTATTACCCACAATGTGATATCATGATCTGATTTTTACTAAAGGTAAGATTTTATTAATTATATAGTATACGTTGGTTAGATCTATATACTAAAGATAGATCTAGACGACCAAGTATTACTCACTTCGAGAGCCATGTTAGATCTAGATTTTGAAACTTATGGCTCTCAAACGCAAAAGTGGACAGCTCATCGATTGTGACCTTTGAAATCGAATTAAGTCGATCAGCGGCCTACTTTTGTTCTCTAACTATGCTATACATCATTATCATCCTTCTGTGCAAGTATTGGAGTGCTGAGGTACTTCCTTTTCGATCAAGACTTGTAATTGTTAGTCGAGTGATTGTTTTTACTGCCGAATTCCAATATGGCGTTTTCTGCTCGGACATTTTCGTACATTTCCGGAGGTTGTCCGAACCTAACTAATTCTCAAAATTCATTTCGTTCGTTGCGTATCTAAATTTTTACCTTTAAAACATGAATAATGAGATCTGCGGCTTACTTTTGGTCTCTAACTGTGTCTTACATCAGTATCATCAATCCGTGCAAGTATTGGAGCACTGAAATACTTCTTTTTCGATCAAGACTTGTAAATTGTTCATCGAGTGAATAATTTTTCGACCCATTTCCAATATGGTTGTTTGCTAGGAGCTAGATACGCAACGAACGAAATGAATTTTGAGAATGAGTTTTCTGAGGCAGAAAACGCCATATTGGAATTTGGCAGAAAAAACATTCACCCGACTAACAATTACAAGTCTTGATCGAAAAGGAAGTACTTCAGCGCTCCAATACTTGCACGGAAGGATGATAATGATGTATGACATGGTTAGAGAACAAAAGTAAGCCACGGATCAACTTAATTCGTGTTTCAAAGGTTACTATTATTCAGCTGTCCATTTCTCCGTTGGAGAGCCATAAGTTTCAAAATCTAAAATGGCTCTCAAAGTGAGTTTGCCTGGCTTATCTTATTCTTCTGCCACAGTGTGGCCTTACACCGTTTGTTTTAGCGCTTTTTACGCTATCTCTCCTAGACTGTTGTATAGTAGTCTAGATTTACATATTTAAGGTATTTAAACGATGAAATTTATTACAGTATTCTCATGCTACTAAATGTCATTTTATATAACCACTGTCATGTTCATATTGTGCTTTACCATTGGTCATGACAGGCCTTGCAACCATTGTCACGGTCATGTCAGGCTTTAACATTACCACGATCCTTGCGAATCTTAAAATCACTTAATAACATGGTGATGGTTGTGCCAGGCATAAGCCTTGTAACAGATAGCATGTGTAGAAAAGACGTACAGAGAAACAGGTGAGAAATTTCGAACATGCAGACTTACCTTAAAGAGAGAATCGGATCTAGCGGGCAGGCAAACAAAAAATTGTTTCAATTTTAGAATATTTCTGGGTCATGTCATTCCTTGTCATGTCTATTTTCTAAAAATACCCAAAGTACACAATTTATTTCAGGAAGACTAAGGATTTTTACAATAATGTATTGTTTTTGTATAAGAATGGTTACCATTCTTATTATTTGGGAGAATTTAAACATTTTCACCCATTTTTTCACTTTGAATCCTTAATAACTTCACCAACTTATAACATATCGTGAATCCTTTTGGAAATATTAGGTGGAATTACACCTACGATGTAAAAGCGCTTTTTAAAATCCTATCGGGTTTCGACCCGCCTTTAGAGTCAGGTGTAATCACGATCGCGGATTTAGAAAAGCGCTTTTGTAATCCTCCCAGACCCCTAGTCATTAAAAACCGCTTTCACACCCAAAGGCGGTTTAACGTGTAGGTGTAATACCGATTGGTTTTCAAGGCGCTTTAACTCGATTTTACACTGAACGAAAACTATATTTGCGCATGAGCATCAAGCATGTTATTGATTTCCGGTGTGGAGGAAACTTCAAAAAACAAAATTCAAATATTGTGCAAAACTCAATCAAATCACCAAAATGTCGAAACAAAGTAGAATTTATTGGGACCACGTCAATACTGAGCGTATGCTTTCGATTAAAATATAAAAAATGATAAAATAACGGACGAAATTACCCCTTCTTTCAGTTATACGCCCAGGGCTTATATACGAGAAATTCCGGTACTATTGTAGATTGGGGAAGGCGAGGGGAGGGGATCATTGAATAGTTGAAATTACCTCTCTACAATGAAGTCAAAAAAATGACGAGATCTTTGTCTTGTCCACATCGTTCGTTCCTGTCCCATATTACCAAGGATGCCAAACAGCCCCAACAAAAGTACCATCTTCATTTTACTGGATCTCTCTTGGATCTCTCCTAACGACCGAGCTTCTCTCTTTGCGCGCTTGTGCATTGTTTTCCATGCTTTCTTTAGCACATATTTGTTAACGCCAGAGGTAGATTGAATACGATTTAAGAAAAAAAGGAACATACAGTATCAGATCATTTTGAATCTCCAGAGATGGCGCTACGGTTGAAAGTGTATATCTAAATAGCAGATTTTGATGCAAATGCGATGGTTGATGGCAAATTTTTGTCTTAAATCAGTCTAAAAGCGCTTTAGAAAAATCAAGTGTAATCACGAAAAGTTGTCTTCAAGGCGCTTTTAAAATTCTGGTGTAATCAGGATTGCGGTTTTCTAGCCTACGTTACCCAAAACGCCTTGAAAGCGCCTTTAGCCATGAAATAGGTGTAATTCCACTAATTGTATTTGAGATTGTAAGGAATAGATTGGTAGGTCAATTGTACATGTTGCTTGTAACTTTGTCACCCCCTATAGGTCTGATTCTACCTTTAAAGAGACTATACCATAGGATCACACTGGAATAGCCTGACAACGATAAAGTCAGATACCGTTGTCACAAATGGCGGACATAACCATTGCTTCAATTAGATTTTTATGAGCTGTACGTTTAAAAGAACACCTAGATTAAATTCCTTTGGAACAACAATCAATCAAAGTGTCTTTATATACATTGTACAGTTAATAATGTTCTACCATCGAAATAAAGTCTTTAATTTAACTGATCATAATGAAATACGGGACAACGGACACTGTATTACGATATGCCGTTGTCTTTGTAAATTATTTCGTTGTCATTGGCAATATCGAAGACGCTATATTTTGGCGATTCTCGACCTAATTTGATTGAAATTGGTATCTGACGTGATGTTTTTGCATATTGATATTGAGATTCACCTATCTACTTACCAACGAAGAAATTCCAAATCCCTCGCTTTCAGTGTTAATTTTGAGACTGTTCTGACTGATGTAATTATTTTTGCCGAAATTAATTCAATCTGAAGTTTGAATATACTGGGAAAATCCCCCTGTTATCTGATTGGTCGTTTAATTTGTTTATCATGAACCTGATTGGCTGCCTGGTTCAAGGCGTGTGTGGGTCCTTGCATGACTTAATGGGGATTCCCTTCGCTAGCCAAAGAATCAATGTGTTTAATTCTGAAGGTTGGTTGTTCTGTTGATTATTTCTATATTTCGTCAATAATATACCCATAAGTTATTCTCAACATATACAGGGTGTCCCGAAAGTATGGGGCCCCACCTAGGCAGACATATTCCAATGTCCTCATAGTATGTGTCATATATCATTTTAAAGCTTATCCAAAGTTACATTGATTTGCCAAGTATCGTGGTTGAACTCCCAAATGGGAAAAAGTTACAGTAATTTTAAAAGTTAGTGTTTTGTCAAAACATAGTTCAATTTTGCACCACATTACTAGTCAATGTGTTCCCCCTTGGTCATGTTAACAGCAGCAATTATTTTCAGATATGACCTCAGAAGCCCTTCAAATAGGGGTGCGGAATTTTATAACCCTCTTAAAACCTGTTAAGGGACTTTAGAAGAGTTTCCACAGAGTTTCTACCCTCACCGTTCTCTTTTTCCAACTCAATATCCATCCGACCCGAAAACAATTGCTGCTGTTAAGATGGCCTGGAAGGACACATTGACTATGGATTTGGTGTAAAAATTGAACTTGATTTTGACCAAACACTAAGTTTTTAAATGCCTGTAATTTTTTCACATTTGAGAGTTGAACCATGATACTTGGCGAATCAATGTAACTTTGGATAAATTTTAAAATGATATATGATACATACTATGACAACACTGGTATATGTCTGCCTAGGGGGGCCCCATACTTTCGGGACACCCTGTATCCATGGTATGTGAGATATTATGTGAGCAAAAATAATGGGACAGCATTGATTGTCTGGGTGAGAAACCTATGGTATACTGCATCTTTAAGGTTGTCCTGCATGTTCGGAATTTTGATGCAATCCTCAAAATTGAGTCACATGTTATTTTTCAAATATCAATCACCCCTTCCCCACATTGTCTACATCTTTCAGTCTTGCACAAAGAGTGCACTAATGTACCTAGAAATGAATGTGCATGTGAATGCCAATCCTGTATGTCTCATGTACAATCTTGCCACCACTCAATGAGTCCTGGGCTTAAGTCCTTTAGTTTAAGTAATTGTGTATTCTTCTTTTTTTAGACAAGAATATAAAAACTGACAACAGTTGCAAGAATGTAATATCCTATTGCCGTCAGTGTCCCATACTGAAAATGGTGCTAAGATGTGGCTTCAGGTTACCATGCTGGCATCTAATGAAACATACAAGACTGTTGCACAGTAAACCAACACAGAAACATAATAATGTATCCGTATTCAAGGCAGTATATCGTAAAGTGAGTTTTTAGTTTCAAGGTCATCAAAGACTCATCATCCACATAGTTTTTACATTCATTTGTCAGTCTAATTCAACACAATGAATTATCAGTGTTCATTTTCTGAATTGTCATGTTCTGTCTTGTTGTTTTGCTTTCAAATCATGTTAGTGCTGTTCAAAGTGAGGAATTAATCAACTTTTTAAAATTTTATTAATCTTATTTTAACTGGATTAGTCTGTAAAGATGGAAATAAAGTTCTATGCCTATTGTTTCAGTTCGCTACGAAGCCCTCTAAGGGGCCAGGTTCTGTGAAACCCCCTATAGAGGTGATGAAGACTAGCAAGGTGACCAGTCATGATGTTACAGCTAGGGAACTTGACCATGAAACCATAGATGTAGGATTGCGTGTAGGCGAGAAACAATTCCAGGTTACATTGGAAAATAAGGACCAAGATGTTAGTTTCTTTATACCTAAAACAAATGACCTTATAACAGTTAAATTTAAAAAGGCAGATGTAGTTCAAAATGAGGTGCTAGAAAATGTAGCTGAAGTAAATGTTCCCCATAGTCAGGATAAACAAAATGAGACATCTGAGAAGAAAGAGGATGATCTAACATTGGACTCTATCGATGAAAGGATGTGGAGGGAGAGGACACAAGATTGGAAAAAGTTGCCAGATATTTACATGAAGCTATCTAAGATAAGACTTACAGGTCAGTATTGTTCACTATAAGATAATTGAAAAATAAATTGAACTCAAAATCATAACAATATTTTTGAAATTTGCAACTCCTCTCAATGAAAAGCTCAGTAAAAACCAGACACAATATCTAAGTGAGAAAATTGAATTCTGAACCTAACACTCTTTATTATGAAACATATACTTATCTTTCACTTTCATTCTTTTCCTATCGGTCAACCATTGCCCTACATTGTCCTTGGTTTAATTCTAGGCCTGGTAGTAGTGACATCTATGGCAGGGTTTGGAATGGCGCCGGCACCATTTGATCCTGCTTTATTCCTACTAGGCTCTCTTGGAACTGCTCTTATGTCATGTTCTGCTAATGCAACTAATCAGGTATGCGCCTTTATTGATTCTAGAATTGTTTAGTTTTTTGGGTTCACTCATGACAGCCATTATGTATGTATGTTTGCATGGGGTTTCAATTAAAAATGAAAGCCCATGATGTTTGTAAGAAATATTTGCTGCTGCATTACAATCATAGTTCCAAATGTGCCTCCTTTCATTCAAGAACTTCTTATTTTTGGTTGAGCTTAATCACAGCAGCCATTTTGAATTTTTAAGAAACATTCAAACAGAATCATAATTTTAATATAAATAATATAAATGAAGATGGTGACTAAAAGTTACCATGGAAATTCAAAAAAAAGATGTAGCACTGACACAGTTCGGTTTTTATATGGTTGTTTTTAAGGCTGATGTCTTGGCCATTTAACCCTTGCAAAAAGTCTCCTCGATCACAAGAATTTATTTTTATAATTTACTATGGGTTGTCAGATGTTATAATGAATGCTCCAATTATAGTAAATATATGGCATGGGCATTCTAAGCCTAAGTTGTACTAATAAACACAAAGAATTCAAGGAACATCAAGTTTTCACGTCTTGCATTCCTGGCACACCTAGAAAATTGCCCTGTAAACTAGGTAGTATAGAAATTTATTATTCTGGCTGGCACCAAATTGTTAAAAGACATAAAAATATACTTAACATCAATGTCTGTATCCCGTACAACTTTTTCTTCTGGTATCACATCAAATAAACATACAACGTTTGTCAGCTTATATATACATGTTCACGTGAGTGGAGCTAGTGGTGAATATTTTTTACAAGAACTATAATATAATGTGAGTGAAGCGAGTGGCATATATTAAAAAATATGAAATTTTGATTAAAATCTGGCTAGCCTTCCAAAATGTCTAATTTGGACAAATCCTTATTTCATGCACTGTTTTTGGTGGGAATAGCTTTTCTTTCAATGCTGTTTCTTAAAGCAAAATTTGTGCTGCTTGGTACATCTATTTTGTTACCATTAATAATGATTTTCCTGGATTAGGTCCCTAGTGAAGTCATTGTTCATTTAAACATTATTGATGCTTCTCTGTCCTGAATTTAAAGTAATACCAGCCACATTCAAACCAAAACTGCCACTGATCCTACTGAATACCAAACTGACAGCATTGAAGAAAGGATCAAGGAAGGACCTGACAAAGGTCTTGTAGAAGATGTGCATAATGCGCATGGACATCAGGAACATTCTGAGAAATGGCTGCAGTATCCATACAATGCAGAAGTTGAACATCCCCAACAGAATTCCCCATCCAACAGCAATAAAGATTCCAAATATAATGGCTAGCAGATTGTAAACACCAAGCTGAAAATCAGTACAAAGAGCATATTAATTTTGCCATCTTATTGCTATAGATTTATAAGTTTGGGCTCCCTAAAGTTAGAAACTGATTAATCAAATGAAGAAAAATGAATTTATTCTAAAATTGTAAATTTCACATGCATGTAAACCAACCTGGGTGAACTTGTAGGCAATTTTATAGACAACTGCAACTGGACCAAGCAATTTTGCATCATCTGGTTCAAAGAAGACACTCTCAAAGTCAACTTTGACATGCTCTGTGTTTGAGTAAGTAAAGTCACTTGGTTCTGGTCTTGGTGGGACAGCTGGCTTTGATGATTCAGGTTCTTTGACCTCTCTGCCTGTGATGGCTTCAGGGTTGTTGTAAACATTCTCATCAATTGCTCTTTGTTCTCTATAGTCAGGAGGATTCTGGTTATCATTTCCACCATGTGCTGTTGAAAGCTTCGACATGGTTTTGGTCTCTCCTTTAGAACTGTCTGTTAAAAGATTTGGTGGTATGTTCAAGAATTTTTAATGTTACTGATTAAGAGCTGCACTTTGAACCACTTCAGCAATGCATTTCAGAAGTAAAATAACAGTAAGTTAAGTTTAAATGTTAGTTATCAGTAGATTATAAAAGTTGATCGAGTAATTTATGTCTATAGGTCAAATCTCAATAGTTTTTATGTCACCACCAGAAATTGTGACATAAAGTTATAGTATCCAATTTTTTTTGGGGATAGTGTTTGGCGGTCGGAGATTGATGGATGTCTGACATTCAGTGGTTGGTGTCTGTAACAAATGGCAGGTGGTGACATTTTGCATGTTAATGCCTTGATTCTTCATATTGTATAACTTTTCTGAAAAATATGTTTCTTCCCAAAGTTGTTTACCTATTACTAAAGTATGTATTTTATGTGAGGCTCTAAAGCAGTCAATCTTTTTTATTATCGTACCTAATAAAGGTACGATATTGTCGTCAGCTTGATGGGCGGGTGGCGGGCGGGCGGCAGGCAGGCGGGCGGCAGGCGGGCGGCGTCTCACTTTTCAGCTTGTCTACAGGTTTCCAGCCAAACCATTTGACAGATTCATCTGAAATTTTCAGAAATGTTTCTACGTATCAAAGTTAAGAACTGATTAGTTTTTGGGCATTCTGGGTAAATTTTAAGGTGGCCATTTTGGATTTTCCGTCCTAAAATCTTCACTTTCAAGACTTGTCTACAGGTTTCCAGCCAAACCATTTGACGGATTCATCTGAAATTTTCAGGAATGTTTCTACGTATCAAAGTTAAGAACTGATTAGTTTTTGGGCATTCTGGGTAAATTTTAAGGTGGCCATTTTGGATTTTCCGTCCTAAAATCTTCACTTTCAAGACTTGTCTACAGGTTTCCAGCCAAACCATTTGACGGATTCATCTGAAATTTTCAGGGATGTTTCTACGTATCAAAGTTAAGAACTGATTAGTTTTTGGGCATTCTGGGTAAAATTTAAGGTGGCCATTTTGGATTTTCCCTCCTAAAATCTTCACTTTCAAGACTTGTCTACAGGTTTCCAGACAAACCATTTGACGGATTCATTTGAAATTTACAGGGATGTTTCTACTTATCAAAGTTAACAACTGATTAGTTTTGGGGCATTCTGGGTAAATTTTAAGGTGGCCATTTTGGATTTTCTGTCCTAAAATCTTCACTTTCAAGACTTGTCTACAGGTTTCCAGCCAAACCATTTGATGGATTCATCTGAAATTTTCAGGAATGTTTCTACGTATCAAAGTTAAGAACTGATTAGTTTTTGGGCATTCTGGGTAAATTTTAAGGTGGCCATTTTGGATTTTCCGTCCTAAATTCTTCACTGTCACACTGCTGTGTTTTAGGTACGATATTGTTCACGTCTGTGCCTTGTTTAATGTTCTCATTGAAGTGACATTCTTGAAAACATGTATCATACGTTTTGTATCCAATTGTTGTCCCACTGAACAAAGTATACGTAGGCCCGGGATATAGAGAAACCAACCATTCAACTGTTATCCATTTCTTTATTTTTTTTATCTGTGCAACAACTCAAATACCAGTGGTCTTACATGGCTGATTCCTTTTAGGTGTATGCTCTCAGACAGAAAAATCATTATTTGATATATAGACTTGATTGATAAAATTTAATAAAGGAAAGAATAACTAAACACTCTGTGTTAAGCATATACTTTTTATTGCAATTTTTAAAATTATGATTATAAAGGTGTGTTCAGACTGTTATCTTAAGTGGTATCACTATCAGTGACAATAAATAATGTCTGGTTAATAAATTACCTAATTTTTTACTATTATTAAACACTGTGATAAGAAGTAATGTATGTCTTAATTATAATAGTTTCGATTGAACAAAGTTTTGAGGGATGCACATGTTTTTGGAATCCATTATCTAGTCCTGCAATGCATTCAACCCTAGAGTGCTCAGATGTGAGCTTATTTATAAAACAGCTCACCTGTTATCTTTTCAGAATTAAAACAGAACTACTTTTATTAACCCCAGATGTTGTTCATATTTTTAAATATACTTATACGACCTTGATTCAGTTCAAAATCTTTTAAAAGTAATATTGCAGCCATTTTATTTGTGTCTTTTTCATTCTTTGATCCAACTCAAAAGTAATAGAGTGATTTTGCTGATATTTCTAGGAGCTTATAGAAATATGCCTAATATAGCAGCCATTAAAAAGATGGTAGTCTGTTCTTGAGATAACTTGAAAATCAATACAGTGATTTTGTTGATATTTGTGAAGTTATAGCACTGCCATTATCCCATTTCAGTGAGTAATGATTGTACATTCTTGAAGGCGCCAGGAGTCCGATTCTGAACTTTTCCATATCGTAAATTGAATTGTTATATTACGGTTTTGTCGTATATTCACAATAAAGTCAATTCTGAACTTTTCCGCATATTTTTAAAATGTCTTAATTTTACGGTTTTTCGGTATATTTCTAGGACAGCTAGTATAATTATGATTTGACGCAATCAAAATAATATAGTGAAATGCAAGTACAGTAAAACCTGCCAACAGGGAATGCTCTTCGGACTGGAGGAAAGTTTCCTTGTTCAGAGGTTTTCCCTATAGAGAGGGGCCGCCACAGCAAACTCAGAATTGCTGAATAAGCATTTTTTGTATATATTTGGGCATTTATTGATTTTACCAATGCCGACTCCATACTTGGTTGCTAGACCTTGTTGTGACATCTTGGAAGATGTATGAAGGTCTCCCACCTCCCTCCTTTAGCTGAGGGTAAGGAGCATTCTCCCGATGTTGATTTTAGCCGCTGCTGCTGGCGTATGATGATGTCTAGTTGTTGTAATTGTTGATAGATTTGGCTCAACATGACACATGTACTTATCTGTTATCTCCATAAAACAATTGTGTCAATCCCTAGATTATCACAACTGATTTGATGTAATAATGTTTGTTGAAAGGAAGAATTAGTGTCATGATAATTAGTAACAAACAGATTAGTATTAGTTTTAAAATATATCAGGGTAATTAACAGTGGGTGGGATGCTACATCTTGTAAACAATTGGCTTATCTTAATCTCAATCATATTAATCCAAGCTTTTTAGAATCAGATATTGGCTTAAGACTTTCACACCTCTGAAAAATAATGGAATATCCAGTGTCACCAATATTCCATATTCCTTGTTCACAGGTGAATTTTCATAATTTGCACCAAAATAGTGTTCCTTGTTCCCTGTTCACAGGTTTTCCCTACAGAGAGGGTCCGTTAACATGTAAGTCAATGGAAAAATATTTGGTTCTTTTGAAAAGCATTCCTTGTTCATAGGTTTTCCCTACAGAGAGGTATTCCATCGAACAGGTTTTACTGTACTGTTTTATATTTTGAATGTTGACGATTTAGAAACTCAATTATATATCTCCCAATATTAATGAAATAAGAAGGAATTTTCTCAAGGGTGCTACAATTGTTTTCGAGAATCCAGTGAACCAATCTCGATATGTCTGCACAAGTGTTCGAAAGATCATTATCCAAATTGTTCTAGTTTGTGATATAAACACAGAAGACGACGTAGGACAAGTTTAGGGAATAAATCAGAATCGATTGTAAACTTTTTCTGTATAGTTGTCCTATCGTAAATTATTTACGGCAGAAATTTACGGAAAAGTTCAGAATCGGACTCTTGGCACCTATACTATTGTCTGAAGAACTATAATGATGAAACCTGTCTTATGTCAGCAAAAAAATTGTTCTTATATTCCCATGTGTTTCATAAATATTTGAATCAAACTATTACCAATATGTTTCATAAGGTTCATTTCCTTATCCTGTTTTGCAGTATCTTGAAGTGCCATTTGACTCCCAGATGAATAGAACAAAGAATAGACCCATAGTCCGAGGCTCAATAAGGTTAGTAGGTAGTCCCTAAATGAAAGTACATGGGTACTCCTCTCATCATACAAGTATCACAGTGTACCACTATAAATTCTATATTTTCTATATAAAATTTGTTTTTAAATATTATTTTGGATACTAGCGTGATCAGTTGATCTTTTTAATCATTTTAAACAATCCTCTAAATTGTATTGCAGCCCATCACAACCCAGCTAGGTGTTTTCATTAATTAAATGGGTGTTCCATAATATATGTTATATTTTCAGTCCCCTCCATGCCATGACATTTGCCACAGTATCAGGTGTGACAGGCTTCACAATACTCACCTGTGCGGTTAACCCTTTAACTGCTGCTCTAGGGACCTTTAACTTGTTGCTCTACACATGTGTCTATACACCACTGAAGCGTATGCATATTGTTAACACATGGGTGGGCTCTATAGTTGGTGCCATACCACCAATGATGGGCTGGGCAGCATGTTGTGGACAACTAGACCCAGGTCAGTGACTTTTAACATACATTGTATTTAGTCATTTTTATGGACTACTCATACAACAGGCCTTCAAGCAATTACCTAGCCTCTCATGACTCTTTAAAATGTGGATGTGATTGAATGATTAACACTGTTCATCAAATACAGATTTCACATGCTAAAGGAAGTGGTCAATTGAACAACACTTATGATGGACTGTGTTTGTCCATTTGCGGTGAAATATTAAACCATTCATTTGATGAATTCAGTCTTTATGATTCCTTAGTTTCTCTCATAATAACTGCTGAAATGGGATTTGTGGTCTGCGGAATGCCAACTTATCTTGTTGTTTCTAATATTTCATCTTTTAACGTGGGCATTTTTATCATCTAATCTGGCATTATAATGTAACAGAATCTGAATATACATGTATGTATCCCTTCATACTTGCATCATTCACAATACTCATACTCTTTAATTCTTCAGGTGCCTGGCTACTTGGAGCAATTCTCTATGCATGGCAGTTTCCACATTTTAACGCCCTCAGTTGGAACTTGCGTGCTGATTACAGCCGTGGTGGATACCAAATGATGTCAGTAATAAACCCAGACCTATGTAAACGTGTGGCTGCCCGCTATTGTGTTGGCATGATAGGACTCTGCTCCATAGCTCCCCTGGCGGATTTAACCACATGGATGTTTGTCATAGATTCTCTTCCATTGAATGGCTATTTAGCCTATTTGGGATATAGATTTTATAGAGATGCAGATAGTAAATCATCGAGAAAGTTATTCCGCTTCAGTTTGATACATATTCCAGTGCTTATCATACTCATGCTTCTCAGCAAGAAGCCCCACAAACAGGACACCACTATTGTCAAAAAATCAGGAATCCAGGAGAACACTGTTGCAAAAAATCAACAATTAACACTTGAAAATACAGGGGAAAAATCTAAATCATGATGGAGAAAGACGAACTATGTGTGGAGTGTGGAGTGACGGCAAATGCAGGTCTTGTATCATCACATAGTCGGGAATGTACACTCATATTTATATTTTAATGAGATTTGGCAGAAGTATTAGTTGCCATGTCAATAATATTGATGTCTAATTACAAATAAATTAACTACATTTTGGAATTAACCATTTGTTATATAGGTTTGAAATCTGGTTGAAATCTCATTTTGATTAATAGATTTGCATAATTAGCCAAAATGACTTGCATTTTCTTCTTTTATGACATTTGAATTCTATGCATAATTTCTACGAGAAAGAACAGGTCCATTTAACAGACTATTGGTCCACTTAGACTTTTTCTGAAAAACTCATTCTTCCATTTACTTTTAAAACTGATTGCAAGTTGTAGATAAACCTTCCTTCTTGAGATGTGCAATTTCAAAAAGTGGCATAAGTTTTCAGTTTCTTTGAAAAATTGGCAGTAAGAACCCCTATCACAAGGCTGTCTGAATATGGGTACACATTATGTTTACCATCAAAATAATATCAAAACTCATCATTATATAGAATTTAATATATAGAACATATGGCATACAAGTATTTGGAGAAGAAAATTGACAAAATCTAGCAATGTATGTAGTTTACTTATGCAAATCTAGAAAACATTGTCATTTTTCGATCACTTTGTTATCAAGTTTTAGCATGGTGCTCATTCCCTTTCGTTGAAAAGTTAACTGTCAGCCCACACTCCCACAAAAAATATATTGAAACTGTATAATGCAGAGACTGTAACGTAGCTTCTCTGCAAATATCATTTTTGTGGAAGTTTGGGCTCAACACTAAAACTTAACTTTTGTGATGAAAATAAGCCTGACTGGTTTATGTTTTCAATATGGCTGCTAGCCTGGGCATACATGTACACTACATAACTGCATGTACAGATAAGGCCATTCAAAATTAATTATATGTTGGCATTCTGATGAAGGGCCTTATATTAAAAACTACAAAACCTTCATTTATTTGAAGGGTTTTATATATTATTTAAGAGTGAAAATGCATTAACACATTGTGCCAAAGCAAGAAACACACCTCTCGAGTTCAGATGGCCTTGTTAATGAAGTTTATATACATGTAGTTTTTAATCAATCTTGGAACTCATTTCGCTACAATATAATCCAAGATTACAATTCCCTTTGTCATTTAAATACATTACAAGTAGAGAGTACATGGGGACATTTTGTTTTTCTGAAAACATAGAATTTACTGACATTATTATAAGAAAATCTTTGAATGGCCTAAGTGTTTTTCTAAATAGGGAATACGTAGAAATTATTTTAGGCAATCCTTTGAGTGCCATGCCATTCATACATGATGCTGCCTTATATTTTATGATATATATTGAGAGAGGATTTCTCTGAATTATTTGTGTTTCAAATATGGGAACTGCAAATTGGCAAATAACTTTAAAAGTAAGTGTACATTGAAACACTTTAATTCCAAATGCCAAATAAAATGCCAAATGCCAATGGGCATTTAGTAAAAGTGACCCTACAACTATTTAGAATATGGCAAACATGGCAAAAACTGGGGAGAAGCACTTGAAATAAGAAAATCCATTCTTTTTGAAGTGCCCTTGTGTGCATTTAATTTCAGTCATTTTATCGTAATTGCCCATGGGCATTTAAAATAATAATCACATCCCAACTCTTAAAACATGCTTAGGATACTGTTAGAGTCTCAAAAGGCAACAACAACATTCATTTTTGAAACTAGAAAATTTAGTCCCCCTAAAAATGCCCATATCGGTATTTATTCTCAGGATTTTCAGGTAATTGCCCGTGATAATTTATTTAAAAAAAATTATTTCTATTCACATGTCTTATTATCAGTCACAATCAAAATAAAGTCAATTGCTTTCATTTCTTGGATTAGACACAGTAAAATTTGGACAAAAATAGCAACTCTCAAAGTTGACCTTTAAACCACCCTAGTGTCAAGGTCAAATGTCAAAACTCTCAGAAATCACATTTTAAGTACTGAGTCATACTTCCTCTTCAATTCCATGTCAATATATACTTGTTTTGTAGGGGGGGCTAAAAGAGGGGTTTACCGCCACCTGTCCTTTGGATTTACACATTTTTAAAGATTTTTAACTTTTTGAAAAGGTTAGGCTAAATCGCCAATTGATACAATGTTAAAATGTCTTTAAAAGTTGATTTATTGTTTAAAGGATCGCAATTTCCAGGTTAAATCACAAACCACACATCCACAGCAAGGTCATCTAGTTGTATGTCAGTGGAGTGCTACACTAATTTGAACTTATTCAATCAATCAAGAAATTGAGTGACTGGTCATTGTTTCCAATTGTAATTGCTGATATCTGGCCTAACCAACACACATGATGCCTTCTATTTATCCATCTATATTGTAAATGGTCAATTGAAGTTTAGATATTTTAATATCAGGGAAGTATATAGATCATTAGTGACATAAGTAAGTTCATGAGTAAGTTGTTAGGCTTCATTTTATTAATTTTGTGTGGAGACATCAAGTTTTCTTACCATTCTGTAAGTATATCCTATCATGATATAATATCAAACAACAATATGTGCTCTCAGGATTACACAAGTTCCATGGTACATTTTGAAAATAAGACCCCGAAATGTGGTTTCATTTTTTTATTGTATTTGTATCTCGAATAATGTCATGAAATAAATATTTATCATAAGAAAAGAATAACTATTTATCAAAAATTCACAATTTTTATTGTTTGTACATGTAATATGTGATAATGTAAATTTGTACATCATTTGGCAGCTATCTATCAAAGACTTACCACTGACATTTACTGTTTAATTTGTACAAGGTGACATTTCAAACATAACGTAACATATCATTCTAAACAGTTTCTCAGAATTCACATATTTTCACTTCCCTTGTGCTCACCCTGTATAAGAGGAGCAGATATATGGAAATTAAACATTGAGATATCATTTTACAACATTATGTTAATTCAAAGTCATTTATTATTTTCAAGTGTTCACTTTTTCCACAGGCTTGTGTGTAAAAGCTTAAACCCTGTTTTGTCCACTACATTTTGCTTTGCTGTCAAAACAATGAATATAATAGAAATATTAAATTGTTTGCATCTTAGTGCAAAAGTATATTGTCAGCTATTAGAGTTGTCTTTTTTCGCAGGTAGTGACCCAATTAGCACCATTTACTCGATACCAAATTTCCATGTCCTTTAATTAGGGACAACACATTTAACCCCATTGAGTCAAAAGCCATTCTAATGTAAAAAATGAGTTCTGTGGCCTTAAAATGGTACAATTTGAATAGCTGGAGGCATATGTTCCAGAAAGACACAGATATTTAGAAAACATTATGCTTGAAAATAATCAAATACTTGTTGGGCAGGTGAAACCAAGGCTTTGTTCTAAAGGTAGTGGCTTAATTTTTATGCCATTAGCATGTAACTCAACAATGAAGATTGAATGAAATATATACCATATACAATGTGTCTTAACATTTATACTACAGATTGTTTATAACTATGGGGAACATTAACATGTCTGCATTTGTTGGCAAGCCTTACATGGAGCCATGGTGTTCCCTTTATCATACAATCAGTGATAATTGATACACTGAGTACATGTACATCAACATCATAGTCATAGGTGTGTATTCTTAAAAGCATGAAGAGCTAGTCCTTGTCATACAATATGACAATTGAAAAAAGATATTTTTCCTGTTATTGAGCTACCGATTAGTTCCAAGAGTTTAATATGGCCTCATGTTTGGTACATATAAGCTGTCAGGTCAGGCATGCTGGCCATGGGACCATAACCTCTATAAAGCGTGCATCTAGCTCTTTGTGATATTTGAACACATTATAAAGTGCCAGGTTTAACAGGTGCTTTATATTTGCACATCAGTCTGTGAAGAATGACTGAAGGCAAAAGTCTGATAAGCATTTCTTCAAAATACGACTGAACCTGAGGGGCGCTGTATTTGATTTGTGGGTTGGTTGATGTTACTGCATGTAACATTGTGTCAGTCACTTCTTGAATATTTTCACGACCTTCAAGGATAATTTCCTTTACCTTGTTGACATGTGATTGGAGGAAAGCCTCACCATAGGTGGCTCTGGTTTCTCCTGGGAGCTGGTCCCACTCTCTCATTATGTTCTGTTTCATGTTCTCCCAGTTAATGATTTGAGTCCTGGAATATGCAATGTCATTTCTGATTATAATTATGCTCAAAAATAGTGTTGAAGAAAAACTCTAAAACAATGATCCAATGTTGTACAATATACCCAACTGGTCACTTTTACTCACATGTGCAATGTTGTATCAAATCATCTTAAATGTACAGTATTGGCTCATTGGTTTGATTTTCCTAAATGAACAGTTTCGGCTCAATGGTTTGATTATCTTAAATACACAGTATTGGCTCAATGGTTTGATTTTCCTAAATGAACAGTTTCGGCTCAATGGTTTGATTATCTTAAATACACAGTATTGGCTCAATGGTTTGATTTTCCTAAATGAACAGTTTCGGCTCAATGGTTTGATTATCTTAAATACAATGTATTGGCTCAATGGTTTGATTTTCCTAAATGAACAGTTTTGGCTCAATGGTTTGATTATCTTAAATGAACAGTTTTAGCTCAATGGTTTGATTATCTTAAATGAACAGTTTTGGCTCAATGGTTTGATTATCTTACTTGTACAGTTTTGGCTCAATGGTTTGATTTTCTTAAATGAACAGTTTTGTCTCAATGGATTGATTATCTTAAATGAACAGTTTTGGCTCAATGGTTTGATTATCTTAAATGAACAGTTTTAGCTCAATGGTTTGATTATCTTAAATGAACAGTTTTGGCTCAATGGTTTGATTATCTTACTTGTACAGTTTTGGCTCAATGGTTTGATTTTCTTAAATGAAAAGTTTTGGCTCAATGGTTTGATAATCTTACTTGTACAGTTTTGGCTCAATGGTTTGATTTTCTTAAATGAACAGTTTTGGCTCAATGGTTTGATTATCTTAAATGAACAGTTTTGGCTCAATAGTTTGATTATCTTACTTGTACAGTATTGGCTCAATGGTTTGATTTTCTTAAATGAACAGTTTTGGTTCAATGGTTTGATTATCTTAAATACACAGTTTTGGCTCAATAGTTTGATTTTCTTAAATAAACAGTTTTGGCTCAATGGTTTGATTATCTTAAATGAACAGTTTTGGCTCAATGGTTTGATTATCTTACTTGTACCGTATCGGCTCAATGGTTTGATTTTCTCACTTGTACAGTATTGGCTCAATGGTTTGATTTTCTTAAATGTACAGTATTGGCTCAATGATTTGATTATCTTACTTGTACGGTTTTGGCTCAATGGTTCGATTATCTTAAATGAACAGTTTTGGCTCAATGGTTTGATTATCTTACTTGTACAGTATTGGCTCAATAGTTTGATTTTCCTGAATGTACTGTATTGGCTCAATGGTTTGGTTTTCTTAAATGAACAGTATTGGCTCAATAGTTTGATTATCTTACTTGTACAGTATTGGCTAAATGGTTTGATTTTCCTAAATGTACAGTATTGGCTCAATGGTTTGATTTTCCTAAATGAACAGTTTTGGCTCAATGGTTTAATTATCTTAAATGAACAGTTTTGGCTCAATGGTTTGGTTATCTTACTTGTACAGTATCGGCTCAATGGTTCGATTTTTCTAAATGAACAGTATTGGCTCAATGGTTTGGTTTTCTCAAATGGACAGTTTTGGCTCAATGGTTTGATTTTCTTAAATGAACAGTTTTGGCTCAATGGTTTGATTATCTTACTTGTACAGTATCGGCTCAATGGTTCGATTTTTCTAAATGAACAGTATTGGCTCAATGGTTTGATTTTCCTAAATGAACAGTTTTGGCTCAATGGTTCGATTATCTTAAATGAACAGTTTTGGCTCAATGGTTTGATTATCTTACTTGTACAGTATCGGCTCAATGGTTTGATTTTCTCACTGTACAGTATCGGATCAATGGTTTGATTTTCTTAAATGTACAGTATTGGCTCAATGATTTGATTATCTTGCTTGTACAGTATTGGCTCAATGATTTGATTATCTTACTTGTACAGTATTGGCTCAATGATTTGATTATCTTAAATGTACAGTATTGGCTCAATGATTTGATTTTCTCACTTATACAGTATCGGCTCAATGGTTTGATTTTCTTACTTGTACAGTATTGGCTCAATAATTGGATTATCTTACTTGTACAGTATTGGCTCAATGCTGGCAACATGGATACCAAAATCTGCCATCTCTTGACCCAGTCCCTCACTGAAGGCAACTACTCCAAATTTCGTCATTGCATAAGGAACAAAATTTGGGGCAACAAAGCGTCCTAAATGAAAAAGTGAAATTCAAAATTGAGAACATAATTATATTATGTATTATGTGTATTATGTAGTATGCACTGTAATCAAAATTATTTTAAACACATCAAATACTTGTCCATTTGTCGGTCTGTGCGGCTGATAAATACCAATCGATGGATTGAGTTAAATTTTTACAGGAAGATACCTCTTGAGGATAGGACCTCTGCTTGAGAAGGAATTTTCAATATGGCCGCTCAATTCAAAATGGCCACCTCATCTCAACTTAAATACTAGTGAACTGTTTTGGTTCAAATTTTATATGCTGATGCCTGGGGTGTAGGCACAAAGGAGTTTTGTTTAATGAAAATTTTTCAATATGGCCACTGCTTTTCAAAATGGCCGCCTTTTTTCATAGAAAAAACGTTATCTTTGATAACTCGATACCAGTGAATGGATTTGATTCATATTTTACATGCTGATGCATCAGTTTAAGAAGGAATTTTCAAGATGGCCACTGAAATCCAAAATGGCCACAATTTTTCGTAAAAAATGCTACCTTTGATAACTCAAATACCAGTGAACAAATTTGGTTCATACTTTATCTGCTGATGCCTAGGGGCACAGTTGCTCTGTTTGAGAAAGAATTTTCAAGATGACAGCTGAATATATGATGACAGCTGAAAATATGGTTCTTTCATATGCTGCTACCTAAGGACAAGGAAGCTCTGTTCAAGAAGAAATTTTCAAGATGGCAGCTGAATTTTAAAATGGTCGCGATTTTTCGAACAAAAACATAATCTTTGGTGACTCAAATACCAGTGGATGGATTTGGTTCGGTGTACATAAAATGAGCAATGGGAAGTGCCCCAGGGAATGATGAAAAATCAAAAGTGTGATAAAGCAAATTCTGATGGCTTTAAATATCAATTTGATCCTTAAACTTTGATTTCATATTAAATTTAGACAATCTGAACATCAAATAAGCATATTAATTGATCATTTTCTAAGAGTACTCAAGAAAAAAAGTTGCAAATTCACTTTTGTTGTTATAATTTTCATTTAATTTCCAATTGTTAACATTGATTTTGTACTTTGTAAAAATACTTCAAAATATTTGGGATTTTAGACCCATTTTCCAAGAACAAAAGAGCCTAATTTCAAAAATAATTGCATGTCAATACTGGCGACATGACAGCCTTTCATTTCAACCACATTAGGATTCAATTTAAGGTGGGGCACTTTTTGCCCCTTATTTAACCTAATGCTGTGTTTTCAAGATGGCCACTAATTATGAAAATATGTTTTGTTTGGTGGGATTTGCTACTCCATGGAGTAGCTCTTTTTCTAGTTATTGAAGAAAAGTCAGAAATATATGGTGCTTTATTAAAGGGGTTGCAAAGACTAGAGACACCATTTAAATTTTACCTGCTCGACTGGCAACATTCACTACTCGTCCCTTGCTCTGTTTTAAGAGAGGCAGAAATGTTGTGGTCATATTAGCCATGCCAAATATATTCACATCAAAGAGCTTCCTCAATGTGGCAGCACTGCACCACTCGTAAGGGACAAATACACCTATGCCGGCATTATTCACCAAAGCCCATAGCTCTGCAAGTGAGATCTTAGGCATGGTACAATAAATTCAATCAGTGTATATGGACTATTCCCTAGAATAATTTGAGATGTGCACCATGAGATGAGATCTTTACCATAAACAAAAAGCAAAAAAGCAAAAAATGAATTAAACATGTTTATAAATTTCAATTACGACAAGTGAATGCGGTTAATGACTCAAACTCAAAATAACTAGACTCAAAATCAAATGATTTCAAACTTTGGTACAAAAATTGATTAAGAGATTTACTCTTCGTGTTTAATAAAGATTTAATGCCTGTTTATGCTTCACATGCTGACTGTATTACCTAACTTAGTTCTGTCCAACACATCTTTAACATAACCCAGGGCATTTGTGATGTCATCATCATTTGTTACATCTAGTTGGACAATGTGCAGTTTTGGAGATGAGGCTATTTTCAGTTCTTGCGCTCCATCTTTGGTTGAAAATAAGCATCCAGCAAAAACAGTATAGCCAAGACTGTCTAGCTGCCTTGCAAGTGTATTGCCAAACCCTGTGTCACAACCTATTCACCTTTCCCCAAAGTCAGCTCATGAATATTATAATTAGCAAATCTAGAATCTCTGACGTCAGAGTAGGGCAGATTTTCGCGGCAAAATCTGAACACATTACAAGTCAATGTGAATCGCGAGGGAGACGGGCTCATTTAATTGTTGAATCATGGTGAGTACTTAATAATCTGTATCATAAATGTGATGGAATCTCATTGATTACACTCTCGTTCATATTCTCCCTTCATTATACTGTTCTGAGAAATCAAATTAATAGAGTAAAATTGATGTGAAGAGTCCAATGTTTACAGCACATTGACCCTGATATGTACTTCTTGACTGTCAACATACCACTGACTACTGCACTGTAATAATAAGCTTGTGCTATATTTTCTCATAGTGTTAGGTAAAATAGATACTAATTGATCAATCAACAGTAAAAACGAGTCATATGTATTGGGGGAGGGGGGTAAATTATCAAGGTTTGGGCCTACTAGAGTCTTGCGTACACTCCAGTTAATGAACAAGTATTGATGTACATCCAGCCAGGGAAATAGAAATTAAATGGGGAGTTTGAACAAGAGGCTTAGTTAATTAACGCCGGGGGAGGGAGGGGGGGGGGCTTAAAGAAAACTTTTTCGACTCGTGAATCAGTGCTTTATAATAATTCAATGCAATATCATTTATAATTTTCTTCAATTGATTTCAGGATGCGGCAGCATATCATCAATTTCACATAAACGAACTAGAAAATAAATATTTTGGTGACAGTTCCAAGAAACGCAAGACATGTACACACAAAACACATTGCATAGTTCCAAGATGCACCTCATATGGGACATCAATTGTTAAAGACAAGATCGTAACATTTGTAAAGGTTCCAGAGAATGATAAAAGAAAGTGGTTAATTGCTATCCATCGAATGGAAGATAAATCATTTCAGTTGAAGCCTTCTTGTAAAGTTTGTTCTTTACATTTCACTGATGATGATTTTGAATATCATGGTTTTAGTAAGAAACGTTCTCTGAAAAAAGATGCTGTACCTCATGTTTTTGATTGTTGGGTAGATGTTCCACATATGAATACGACTAACTGTAGTAACCAGAGAAAAAGACCCTTAAATCGTATGAAACAAAACAAGGACAATAATCGCAACATTGGTATAATTTACGATTCGATACCTGAGCCATTTGGTCTTCTTACCCCAACTCCAACCCCGACTTTAGGAAATAAGGTTCAATGTGAAAATTGTATTTCAAAGACTTTGAGTGAAGCAAGCAAATCTTTAGAAATATTGGTATTGACTGACGAAATAAGCAAGTTGAGAAATGAGATTGACAATCTAAAACTAGAAAAGGCAAAATTGATGAAATCTGAGAATATTGATATTGATGAAAGTAAAACCGCGTGTGATAGGTTACGTGAAGAAAATGAGGCACTGCGTGCTAAGGAATTTACATTCAATAATTTAAAGGAACAACATGTTGCATTCTATACCGGCTTTCCAAATAAGGCTATATACGGAACCGTACTTAAATTCTTAAATCCAGGTAAAGATGGTGAAAACATTGCGGATCGTAATTCTGAGAAAAAAATGCACGACAAGAAGAAAAAATCTGGAAGACCACATAAGCTTTGTGTTGAGGATGAATTTTTACTTTACCTCTGTAGAGTCAGGGTTGGAATGTTTGAGCTGGACTTGGCAGTAAAGTTCGGTATATCGAAGTCCACAGTTTCCCGAATTTTTCTCAAGTGGGCGAATTTCCTTTATGTAACACTAGGATCAATGAATATCTGGCCTGATAGAAATGATGTTAACTTAACGATGCCAGGGTCTTTCAAGGAGAAATATCCTAATACGCGGATTATTCTAGATGCATTTGAAATTAAGTGTCAGATGCCAAAATCGCTAACTTTAAAATCCCAAACGTACTCCAACTACAAAGGTACCAATACGCTTAAAGGTCTCATCGGAATCGCTCCTCAGGGTAGCCCTACGTTCGTCAGTTCACTATACCATGGTAGCATATCTGACAGAGAATTGACCGAGCGTTCTGGCTTTTTAAGACTGCCGTTCAATAAGAACGATGATGTTATGGTGGACAAGGGTTTCTTGATAAAAGATTTGCTCGATCCACTTGGCGTGAACTTAAATATTCCCCCTTTCCTTGGCCAGAACGATCAAATGGATGCCAATGATGTGTATCAAACACAGCAGATTGCCGCAGAAAGAATACATGTGGAACGTAGTATCAATAAAGTGAAAAATAACCACATCTTTGATCGGGCAATCCCGATCAATCTTTTCGGATCTATCAATCAAATCTGGGCTAACAGTGCGTTACTTTCCCTTTTTCAGCCACCTATTATTTCACAAGACAATGTTACTTTTATGTCTGCCGAGGAATTTGATAATGGTTACATAAGTGATGATTAATTTCATTGAACAATGTTAAAGTTGTTTTATTGAGACACGGTTTCTAGCTGTTTTTCCTACGATCGTTTATTTGAATGAGATTTACCTCTTAAAAAGCCCATGGACGTTCTTTTTAAATATAGAACTGCTGAGAGAATATTCACGATATTTATGGACGTAATACCTTCAAGGGAGAAGTTCTATCTGGTAATTGCATTTGCAATTTTAAAAATACAAGCTATGATGTATGACTATTCGTTACTTCAAATTGCATCTAAAATGAATTAATAGTCCACGACCCATCATGAGTTTGGAAATTGTTTATTAGGTTTGTGCAAGCATGAGAAAAATATCATTAGCCTCTGTTACATTACAAACTGTTCTTCATATGTTATATTTTTATTAGAAACATCATGCATTTGAATATTTATGTTAAATGAATATTCCTATAATATGCACAGTCTTGTCTGAAAAATTGTTTGTCTTTGGTACGGTAATTGGATTCAATTTATTAGAAGACCAGCACTCATATCACAAATTATTCCTATGGTTTCATTTACCGGGTAGTGTATTTAAGACACAACCGAAGACCAAAAATTCAGAAAAATAAATTTTAATAAGTTTTGATATCATTTTAGATGAGATTTATTTTACTCATTGGGCGATCTAATAGTAAATGAAGTTTTCGCGCGAAAAGTGCCCTGCTTTGACGTCATCGATTTTCACCGACCAATCAGCGCAGCGGTCAAATGAGTACACTTTGGACTTTGGGGAAAGGTGAATAAAACATAATAAATCAAATTCTCTCATTGTGTCACGGAAGGGAGGTTTGTCATCTGCTCATTTCATGAAGGTACATTGATTTATAAGTTTGGCTAACAACGTTTTCATTGATATGATGTTTCCTCTTTGATCATTGATAGTTACTTACAATTGAAGGAATTTGTTTTATTGAGAATGCTATGTATACATGCAACTATATAGATAATGAACCATAGAACATTTAGTGTGGAATAAATTTAAGGATCTGACTCTCCAGTTCTAGACAAAACTTAGAAATCAGAATGATATTAGACAGCTTATTCAAAATTAAATATGTCACCATCACAAGTGGTGACATATTGTTATGGTCTCCAACTTTTTGTGGATGATGTTTAGCAGTTGGTGTTTGGCATTAGTGTTTGGCATCCAGCGGTTGGCATTCTGTATCTGTAATAACTGGCAGGCGGTGACATTTTGCATGTTAATGCCTTGTAAATAATTTCTATGATGGGTCAGTGCAATAAATATTTGTTGCATATAGCTTTAGAATGTTTTGATGGCATTTCATCAAAAACAACATAACAATCACATAACAATCTAACATGTAAAATAATGAAACTTACAAAAACTTGTCAAGTTGATTCCCTCTACTTATGAAATACCAAAAAACATAGAGGGCATCAACATTGATAAACACAAGCAATTTTACTTCAACACATCATTCACACACACAATATAAATATAAAATGAAACAATAATGTATCTCACTAAACAACATACATTGTAGAATGTAGACTATCCAAAAAACTTGTCAGAATCCTATATATATGTTTACTTGACTATTGAGGAATTCTATATTTTTGTAATGAGGCAGTCCATGCAGAGACCAGCATTGATGATAATAGGTGTTACTAGAAGGTATTAGGATTTCTCAAATATTATTTTAACTCAAACCTTTTACCTCAGTTCAACTTTGACTGCTATTCATAAGGTAAACATGTATATTTCTATATTTACCAACCTGTTATGAGAACTGCTTTGTTGGCCACAGTGACAGACTGCAGGGGTTGCATGAAGCCCCAGATGTTGTAGAGGACCACTGCAATACAGGCCACCACAGCAAGGCCCAATGTGTAGAGTAGGGTGCTTGTGTGCATCACTAACATGTACACCAGCACCCCAGTTACAATCCCAAGCCCTGTCTTTCTGGCATCCATTGCTGTCTAATATCTAGATTACAGTGCAGTTGCTGCCAATAACTAGTCTAGTACCAGTGTATGCACTCTGATCGACTCAAAAATATATTGGCATTTATGGCACATATTGTTGACTGAGTTGTGTGCTATTTGAAACAATGTCAATATGCAGTACATTTGCCACTTGAAATACTCTACACTTCTAGACCTATTCTTTATACTTTAACCTGATTGGTGATAGTAAGTGTACTTTTGCAAGCAGGTTAACCTGCCTTGGCTATCAGAGAATTTTAAGGTAGTTGTGTATAGTCTGTACTTTCACAAAAAGTTGAAAATTTATTTTGGGAAGTTTCTTTTCACCATTTTAAATTATATACAGGGTGGTCCAAAAAAATGGGACACTCGTATTTCAAAAACAAATATTGATTTTCTTGATGAAAACATGTCATATTATATACCAATTGATAGGGAATTAACTCATCTTTAATTTGGTATATCATAAGTTCAGATTTATTATAACGTCTATCAACTAGCGTCCATAATATAAATGACGTCATTTTTGTTTCAAAACGGGTTTTCCAAAACTTGCAAAAACCAAGTTTTATTGTCAACTTTATTTACATAAACAGACGTTCAATATGTCCACCATTTTGATCAATTGTAGCACTAAATTTTGGCCTAAACTGGTCAATAGCATCATTGATATGCTGTTGAGACAATGACTTTCACTTCTCTATAGTTCTGCCCTTCAGGGACTGAATAAATGTAAAAGGATTTATGGTACACTAATTCTGGTTAAAGATGGTTAAAGATGAGTAAATTCCCTATCCATTGGTATATAATATGACATGTTTTCATCAAGAAAATCAATATTTATTTTTGAAATATAAGTGTCCCATTTTTTGGACCACCCTGTATATTAATTCATGTATTACTATATCTAGTACCATAGCATGTAAATATCTATCTAAAAATGTGATTATCATCATGAAAATTATATAAAAGTGCTCATGATACGTATTTGTATAGAATCCAGGCTTGTATTGTGATAGGGGATGGCAAACTCACTTGAATATGAATAGTACCTGCTGTGTATGCCGGGTGCTAATTCTCCAATTGGCTAATTGATGGATTAATGGATTAACTAATAGGTAATTGATCCAGAAGCTGAAAGTTGCATTTGTGAATATAAGCTAAAGTACAAAAGAGCACATAAAATATTCTCCTTGCAATGAAAAACACATCAACTGATACCTGGGTCACATTTGTTCCGATGCATCTGCCGGCGCCCGGCCGATTGAGTGTTTTGTTCAATATTATATTCAATTTTGAACAAAAAATTCAATCGGCCGGGCGCTGGAGTGAAAATGTGTCCAAGGCATTAGCTAATAAAATAAAAATGGTTTATTACATAACACATTCAGGCCTTGTTCAAACTAGCCAATCATACAGGGTGACAAAAAGTAACTGTGTATACTATAATTTGGAACCTTCTTTTTTATTTTAAAGGGAGAATCAGATCTACCAGGCAAGCTTTACAAAAAATAGTTTAAATTTCAAAATAATTTTGGCTCACATCATTCCTTGTCATGTCTATTTTCTAAAAATCTCCGAAGTGCATGTTTTGTTACGGGAAAACTAAATATTTTTACAAAAATGTATCATTTTTCTGTAAATATGGTTACCATTTTTTATTATTATTTGGGAGAATTCAAACATTTTTTCCAATTTTTGCACTTTGAAGATTGGTAGGTCAGTTGTACATGTTGCTTGCAATTTTGTCACCTTCTATAGATTTGATTCTGCCTTTAAGTATAGTGTTTTACAGTGATGTACTTAAACACATCTTCCCTATGTTTACAAAGGAGTGGTATCGATATGGAGAACTTTTTGAACACACGTTTCTCTCAAACCAGTCATAAAAAAAATCTAAAAATTTTACACATCGTCAATTTAATGGTCATCTTTTGATTGGTAACAATATAATTTGAAAAATATATATATACTTTCATCTATATTGTTTTAGAAAACACATCAAACACTTGTTTTGTTCTTGGTATCGTGTTTCCAGAGTGAAATGAAACATCTTTCCGAACCTCATTGGAACAAAACGACATAAACACAACATGTTTAGGTCTCTCAATCTTGTAATTGTACAAAGGAAATTTTGGTTGATTTTAAAAAATATCTTGTTAATGAAAAAAAAGGTTTATCTTGATTTGTATCTATTTTTGGTGGATTTTGTTTTAATTTTTTTTTTGAATACTTTTTGAAAAGCAACCAAAAATTCCTTTGTATAACTATAATATTGAGATGTCTAAAAACTTGTTGTATATCCTATTTTGTTCCAACAAGGTTCGGAAAGACATTTTATTTCATTCTCAAGATTTGGTAGAAAGGAGCAAAAACAATTGCACTAAAAAAAACAAAAAATGTAATCAAAAACAGTTATATAAAATATTTCTAAATAATTTTCGCATTAAATTGTTGTCAATTAGTCAACATTACATAAAATACCGTGTTTTTTTACAGAATGTTTTCAATGATTGGTTTAAGAGAAAAACATTGTTGAATTCAGTTCTCCATATCGATACCACTCCTTTAGATAATAGAAGTCCCACCCATGTTCTTTCCAGGTACACATAACTCATTATCTTTCAGTTTTATCCTAGATCAGACTGACCAAATGTAAAAAAGGTGCAATTAGTGATAAGTGTCACTTTGAAGAGAGTGCATTGAAACTGAGTGGGGCTAGTAATGTATTGAATATTCCATCAACTATTTCACTTGGCAGAAGACTAAGTAGAAACTCTGCTATGATATACAGGGGTTCAGGTGGGCAGTAGCGATGTCTTGGTTTGACTGCAGTCAGTGCATGAACCATGCAGTCTACCACCTCGTTGATATCATTCCTCACAATTGCCCCATTCCTGTCATTGTATACATTAGTTATCATTGCTTCAGCTAGGCGTTCATCATAACCTTCACCATATGCCTGTTTGACATCTTCTGAGCAAGAACGAAATGATGCCTTCATATTCTGTTTTAGTCTCTCTGCATTAAATAGTGGAGTTCTGAAATTAACAGAATGGATTTGAAACTTATAGAGTTTAGGGCCAGAATTGTATTTCAGGACTTGATATGTATGGTACTTAAATTATGGCTAATCGTATTTAGTATGTATCATGATTTGAAATGTATGAAAGTCGTAGGACCTAAAATATATGGAAGCCTCAGGACCTGAATGTTTGAAAGATTTATATCTTAATTGTGTGAGTTTTAAAATCCTGGAAAGCATGGTAGTCTTTAAATCTGAAATACATAGAATGAAATGTTTGAAAGATCTGAAATATTTGGAAGTTTGAGTACCTAAAATTTCTGAGTGACAGCAGTGCATGAAATAATCAATAACGCAACGAACCTGTATGCTTGAGGTTCTATACTCGCCACACTGATTCCAAATGGTGCTAACTCACGGCGAAGACCATCACTCAATGCCACCAATGCATGCTTAGACATGCAATATATCAAAGAATTGGGATATGAGTTGCGACCTACAACAGATATATATACCATTTCAAAGTTTTTGGAATTGCTTACAGAATATACCATTTTCAGCTGTCAGTGTCAATATTTAGAAGTACAGTAAAACCTGTCTAATCCGGACACCTCTGGGACCAGCCAAAAGTCTTCGAATTAGCAAGTGTTCACATTTCAAGGTTTTACAAACATTTAAGTCAATGGGGATAACAAATTTGAGACCAAGAAAAAGGGTTCATATTGAGAGGTGTTCAGATATACAGGTTTCATTGTACTGTACTTATTAAAACAAAATCATATATAAATCAAGTTCCATGAATGGATCTTATCCTAAAGCTGATATAGAGCATCAGGAAGCAATATATAGTGCCCCCACCACATATACAGGGTGGGCCAAAAAAAACAATACCCAACTTCAAATCAGGATAAAAATAGTTACATTCAATATGGTACATTGACTCACATATCATTTTAAAGGTTATACATTTTCAAACAATTTAGTATATAACACTATGTCATGAAATCAATAGTAAAGTTTTATTATACTTGTTTGGGAGGCCGGGTTGCTATTTAAGGTCTCCAGATTTTAGGGAAAAAATAGTGAATCTAAGGAATTATGTTAATTTTTTATTTATAGAATATAATTTTTCGTTAGGTGAATACATGCTTGGATATTGATATTTGCATCATTGTGTGACTATATTTATTGTTTATGAATATAAGTACTGTTTAATAACATTTTACACTTTATTTATTTAAACAATTTTAACAATTGCTTAATACCCCCCCCCCCTTCCCCTTCTGCGTCAACAATAAGCTTCGAGTGGTATCGCGATCTATCATTAGCCTTATTGAGAGATTTCTTTTGCAATTCATTTCAGCACTTTATGATTCTTTTTCAGCTCATCAATGCTGTTTATTGGATGCTTTTGTTGTACCATTTCCTTGAGATTGCACAATGTATGGCAATCAACCACGTTAGCTTCGGGGCTGTTGGGTGGCCAAGTATCAAGATCAATTAAATTGACACCTTATTAGCAAAGGAATGCATCTCAATGTCTCCTTTGATATATGGTACGAGGCAATGTCTTGTTGAAAATAAAATCCTCATCATATATATGTTTAATGTCTTTTAACCGAACCCTTTTGAGTGCTTATTGATAGTAAACAACACTAAAATTCATAAACAATACGTTTAGTCACACAACTATGCACATATAGAACCATGTATTCACCTAACAAAATGATATTCTATAAATAAAAATTAACATTATTTCGCAGATTTACTTTTTTCTCCCTAAAATCTGGAGACCTTAAAAAGCAACCCGGCCTCCCAAATAAGTATAATGAAACTTTATCATTGATTTCATGACATAGTGTTATATACCAAAATGTTCGAAATTGTATAACCTTTAAAATGATATATAAATCAATGTATCATATTGAACATAGCTATTTTTATCCTGATTCAAAGTTGGGTATTGGTTTTTTTTGGCCCACCCTGTAGTATAAGATATTCAAACTCACCCCCAGCACTTGCTACATTGACAATCCTCCCCCTGCTTCTCCTCAGGTGAGGTATGAATGTCCTCGTCATGTTCACAGGACCAAATGTGTTCACGTTGAATATATTAAGAACTTCAAAGGTGGAGTACCATTCAAATGGCATAAACATACTAATGCCAGCATTATTCACAAGCCCCCATAGTTCTACAATGGAAACGTTCAATTAAAATCATGGATAAATTTAAATTGATACAAATACCTCTAATATGTGAATGCTTTTTGGACCCAATTAATTTATCCTCGATATAATTAAAAATAGAGGACAAACAATAGAAACATTCTTTCCCATTAAAACAGTACATTCTATTGAGATAACATAGAAACAAAACTGCAATCTCTTTAAACATACAAAACACCCAAGTTTATGTGGATGTTATGAGTGTGTTATTCCTAGAGACTGTCCCTTTAATACCCTTTCTAATATAATTCTGATTTTGCTTCATCTTCATCCTAATGACGTTTGGGTGAAAGCAATTGGATATTTTATATCACTAGCAAGCACTTATTGCAAATCTCCAAATAACAGGACATTGTAGCTTATTGAAAAAAATAAAAAGAAAGGGTTACACTTATAAAGGATTGGTATCGATATGGCAAACTGAATTCAACATTGTTTTCTTTTATTAATTTATACTTATTATTGAAAACATTCTGTAAAAAACATAGTCATTTATGTAATGGTCACTGATTGACAACAATTTTATGTGAAAATTATTTAAATATATATTTTTTTAACTGTTTTTGTTAGCATTTTTAAATTTTTAGTGTAATTGTTTTTTGTTCCTTTCTACCAATTCTTGAGAATGAAATACAATAGCTTTCCGAACCTTGTTGGAACAAAATAACATATACATAACATATACATTTTTTAGACCTCTCAATATTACAGTTATACAAAGGGAAATTTAGTTGATTTAACAAAAAGTATTCAATAATTTAAAACAAAAACCCCCAAAATAGATGAAAATTAAAGTAAACCTTTTATTTCATTAACAAGATACTTTTTTAAATCAACCAAACTTTCCTTTGTACAATTACAATATTGAGAGGCCTAAACTTGTTGTGTGTATTTCCTGAAGTTCAGATAGATGTTTCGTTTCATTCCGAACATGTGATTCCAAGAACAAAAGAAGTGTCTGATCTGTTTTCTAAAAAATATAGCCTAGAGAATAGCATATATTTTTTTTTTTCAAATTAAACTGTTGCCATTCAAAAGGTGATCATTTGTATTATAATTAGATTGACAATGTGTAAAATTTTCAGAATTTTTTGATGACTGGTTCTAGAGAAACATGGTGTTCAATTCAGTTAACCATATCGATACCAATCCTTTTACTCCATTGTAAAAACCTTCATCTTTTTGTCTATTGGTGAAGGATTGCAAGATGAACACTTACCAGAGTTGGTTTTTAGCAAAATATCGACTACATATTTTCTGGCACTTTCAATGTCTTCATTCTTTCTAACATCAAGTTTAATAACGTGAAGCTTTGATGAAGATCTATGCTGGAGTTCCATTGGTCCATCTTGGTCAGGTGACAAGCAGCATGCGATTGTGACAAATCCAAGTGAATCCAGCTTTTTAGCTAGTCTATTCCCCTGTGTCACATCCTATCAAAAGTCAAACTTACAGTGGATGTAAAGAATCTCATGTAAACTAATATATCACATATACAATGATGTACCACATGTAAATTGATGTACCACACATGAACTGGTGATGCAAGTGCAATTCTAATCTTACCTGTAATGAGGAGGTTATAATGAAAACACGCGCTACGCGCTAACGCGCCACGCGCCAATGCGCTAATAGAAAATGATCCTTCCCCACGATGTGTGCGCATGTTTTAAGCGCATGTTTATGATTGGTCTATACCCTTGGCCCAGGGACATGTATAATTAGGGTTATGACTCCCTGGGAACTTGTCAAAACATTGACACTTCAAAGACTGTATAAATCACCGCTAACCTGTCAATCAGACTTTGATGTGAACTTTGCGGCCGCAGGAAATAAACAAAGCCTCTCGAAAATTACACTTTTCAAGTTACGATTTCTTTAAAAATATAAGACCAATTAAGATGTTCTTCACACCGTTAAAAAACAGAATTCAACTTCAATTTAGGAAATAATTTCAAAACTAAATGAACGTGTACTTTTCTCTGTATTTGACCTGAAAGAACATGAGTAACTTAGAATTAATAAATATTTACGGCCAATTACCGGACAATGATAAAACACGCTGGTCGGGTTTACATTACTTTTTAAATCGTCTCTTATTTAAAACTTTAATTCCAAATGAAATACAACCCTGTTTTCAACAATATTCCTGGTAAAATAGGTAATACAATTCACTGGGACTGACGTAATTCTTAAAATCGCGGATTCGGTAGTATTGAATCTCTAATAAAGATGGCGCGAAAGTTTTTCCTTATAAGGTCAAAATATTTCCCATGATGCAGTTCGCGGGGGAACAAAATTTTTCTACCTTGTTTTTCCCCGTTGGTTTAACATGGGGATTTTCATACCCATTTTTCAAGCGATATTTTCGATCGAATCTCCATGCGATCGGAGAAAACAAACTATCAGAAACAATTAGTCTTTTAATAATCTTTATATAACATATATTTTTTTTCATTTTATTGGCTCCTAACGGGGTGAAAACAATGATTGAAAATGGGAGTATATTCCGGAAGAGAAGAAGTCACGTGACTAGTCGCCATATTGGAAAAAGCAATTCCATTCGACTTTCAACACGTTCATGCCAATATTACCGCACTACAAACTGTAACATCGATGCAACAACTGAATAAAAGTACTCATCTTCATATTACATTATAGAGTTACGTTGAAAACCCACAAACAACTGAGCATTTGACCAAAGAAGACACGTCGCTATTATCTAGGTCAAGTTTAGTGGTTCGAAAGCAAATCTTACATACTCGTTTCCGAATTTTGTTGTTAATTGTATAATCTTTTATTGATTAAATCTGGTATACTGACTATTAATTCAATGACAAAGAAGAAGAATTCCGATGGTGTCATTTTTTTATTTAGCTTGCGGGTGTAAAAACAAAATTGCGTAATTAATTTGATTTAGAACTTTCGGGTCTCACAAATAGCTACACGAAATGCATCATTGAAAAATATTGACCAATCAAATTTTGTCCTTTTTGAGTACATATATGCACCATATATGCGAACGTTCTGATTCAAAGAGCGAACAGCGAAATGGAGAATTCAAAACTTTTTAAATCTAAAATCAAATTGAGAAAAACGAAAGCAAACATGAAAGGGGGGTTCATAGGGGTCTTGGAAATCCATAGTACACAGCCCCGAAGCCAGGGGGGTTCGGAGGGTGACTTTGGAATTTTTGAAAAAGTGACCCCCCCCCCTGGGAAATCCTGGTTACTGTCCTGGCATATGGCATATAGAGACTACTATGTATATAGAGATCTGGATTACCCCCATAAATGTGGGACTGATTTTTCAAATCACCCCCACAACCAGGCCCGTAGCCAGAGGGGGAGCTGGGGGAGCGGAGCTCCCCCTCTGGCCAGAGATTCTTTCAAAATCATGCAGTTTTTCACCATTCTGAGAATTTTTTTCATGATTATTAGCCAAAATTGTGAAAAAGCTTCCCCTGCCAGGAAAAAAGCTGGCTACGGGCAAGCCCCCGCAACTACTTGTGTATTGAAATCCCAAATTTATGGGGATAAGCTGGATCTGCAGTATTCGTTCAAACTGCCTTAAATTTCATAATAGGCTTCTTTAATTCTTATTTAACTTATACGATGCCATATACGATAAATGTTGCCCCTTCTTATGCGGCCATACACAATAGATTTTCACCCTCCTCTTATACGATTACCCTATACACCCCCCCCCCCATGAAAGCGAAAGAGAGTAACCGGGCACGAAAAGAAAAATGGAAAAATATAAATGCGATGCCTGAATTATCCCACCGTTTGGTAAGTCATGTGAGATATAACTTCAAATACAAAGAGTAAAGATATATAAAACATCCATGACTTGATATTAAGAGGTAACACGAGGTAACATGCGACAAATAAACATTATATTAAGTCATTAGTCAAGTAGTCGGGCCCCCGGCTCAGATTTCGAAACGGGATTTTTCTCGCCGATGGATGGACCCAAATAATGCAATGAAATAGGGAGCATATTCGCATATCTGCGACCATTCATCTTGTAAGGTGCTACTTTCTATCTTCCTTTTAAATCAGATAAAACACACTGACAATCGATAATCTGCACAGTTAACGATCAAACATTGGGCTTCTTCATACTTCTGCTTTCTGATGAGCCACCTAATCTCTTCACTCACTCGATGTTTATACATCATGTTCCCGGGCCTGTGGGAACGATCATTCTGAACAGTGCGTTAGTGCGCTAGCGCGTTAGCGCGTAGCGCGTGTTTTCATTATAACCTAATGAGGACTGCCTTGTTGTATGTATCTGGTATTGTTTCTCTAGAGGGAAAGGCCAATGGTTTGAGAACACCTATGACAACTACAGTAAACACCAGTGCTGTGCATATCCCTAACAGCAATAGCAGTGATGTTGTATGAAACACAAGCCCATAGCTGAATGTTATAATAACACAGAACAAAAGTATACGAAATAACAGGAACATTCTACTGTCAGCACTCTTCACTGTTGTACAGGACCTTCTGATGGTATAAGTTAGTTATTGATTAATGAATAACTATTCTGTTAATGTCACATTAGAGAAACTGCAATATGGTAAATCTGATTGGCCACTTGTCACTCTACATGTATATACAGATTATGTATATAGAGTACTTATGTAACTTATTTTGTAAAATGTAGGGTAGACCTCATGGGCGGATCTGGGAACCAACAAGGGGGTGGCCCAAATTTCAGGTCAGAGAAAAAACTTCCAAAAAAATTTTGGGACCCTAAAACCCAAAAGTGGGCCCAAATTTTGAAATTTTGAAAGGCCTGAAATGAAAAAATAAGGTCTTAAAAGGGCCAGTAATGACCAAAAAGCCCACTTTTTGGGGCCTTAAAGCCTTTTTTGGCCCAATTTTTTTTTCAGGGCGCCCCCCCAGATCAGATCCGCCAGTGGACCTAGAAAAAGACAATACAGTATGTCAGTATCCAAATCACATTTTGGCTTTAAAAGTGATCCAGTTTTTATTTGGTTTTATTTGAAAAATTGAAATGATGTATGATAAATTTTTTGAGAGCCGGCTCCTTGCAACAACTGAATTGACAATTTATCAGAAAAACATAACATTTATATTATAACATGGATATTACTCTTAAATAGATGGCATGGTAAAATAGAAAATCAAATAATTAATAAGAAACATGTTTAAAGATGGCAGATAGTCAGATACTGTTCAGAGCTCTTTACAGTAAAACCTGTAGATACTAATAAAACACCTTTCATCACAATACCACAAAAAGTGCACTGTGGGTAGCTAGGTGTAGGAGTATGTTGACTAAGAATCATTCTAGGACAAAAAATGAATAAATGAGCTTAAATGACTTGAATATGCTTGAAGAAGAAATACTATAATGAGAGTTGGAGATATTTTGATCAAAGCTTTGTAAACTATTTGATTTATACCTTGTTCCACAATCTAAAGTGGCAGTAAAGAATAGATATTGTAAAATGTCAACCAAATTTACTATCTGAAAAGAAAATTTAGATTGTTATAATATCTAATTAATTATGGAAGTTATTTAGTTTTTGTTTGTATGAATTCACTAGAATTGAGAAGTCAAAAGCATTGTCCATTGGAAGTGTAAAATAGAAAATTGTGAGCAAAAAATATTGTAAAATTAAATTATAACAATTTTATGAAGATTATTATTAGCAACAAATAACTAGTAGAGTATTAATATACTGATCAAACTGAGAAAACTTACCTTCTTCTAAGGCCACTGTATCGTGGCCTTCCAGTACAGATATATTCCTGCATGAACAACTGGTCATGTCGTAATCATAAAATTTGAAATCATATGTCCGCCATTTTTCCACATCACAATTTGAATTGCGAGTTTTGGTCTTATTACCTCACCATAAATTGCAAAACACACACAAAGTGATCAGTGTATTAGTTCACATCTTCTGGATCGCTAACTTAGAATTTACAGCCAGTTACTAATGTCAGACGTAACGACATTTCGTCCAGTTTTCGAACATCGCCATTTTTCTTGGAGCCATTTTGTTTTAATTTTAGACGAAATCCTGATGAAATCATGTCATATCTCATCAAGGAGCCGAGCTGGGTCCGGTTTGATTAATGATTTATTTATCTGGCGATTTTTAAAATATTCAATAAATTTATGACACCCCGGCAGCTTTTTTCAAATAGAGTTCACAGTATTCCAGATGAATCCCCTCTAGCCAAGTATTGGCTAGAGACTCGAGTAAGAGAAAACTTACCTTCTTCTAAGGCCACTGTATCGTGGCCTTCCAGTACAGATATATTCCTGCATGAACAACTGGTCATGTCGTAATCATAAAATTTGAAATCATATGTCCGCCATTTTTCCACATCACAATTTGAATTGCGAGTTTTGGTCTTATTACCTCACCATAAATTGCAAAACACACACAAAGTGATCAGTGTATTAGTTCACATCTTCTGGATCGCTAACTTAGAATTTACAGCCAGTTACTAATGTCAGACGTAACGACATTTCGTCCAGTTTTCGAACATCGCCATTTTTCTTGGAGCCATTTCGTTTTAATTTTAGACGAAATCCTGATGAAATCATGTCATATCTCATCAAGGAGCCGAGCTGGGTCCGGTTTGATTAATGATTTATTTATCTGGCGATTTTTAAAATATTCAATAAATTTATAACACCCCGGCATCTTTTTTCAAATAGAGTTCACAGTATTCCAGATGAATCCCCTCTAGCCAAGTATTGGCTAGAGACTCGAGTAAGAGAAAACAGTTGAGTGGAAAGCTGACTAAGCAACTGCATCATTTTTAGCATTATTTTCTGCATCTTGAAGCACATAGCATTTGCAGAGGAGCTTCTTAGTTCATTCATTTATGAATTTCTTCCATCAAAGAATGATTCTACAGAGCACAAAAAGCCTAAGGAACAGTCTTGTTTCATAATTACTCTGCTCCATTGATTTATTATGAACTTCATTCAGCTGAAAATCTTTATCCAGGTTATTCAGTGTGCTATTCTTATCAAACAGGTACATATATTTTTACATGATTTGGCATTTGTTAGCAGGTCCTTCAAATCTATTTTCTAAAAGGATAATCATCTAATTTTGCAAAGGGAAGATGGGTTGCCGAGATGACCCCTAATCCCCATGCGTTCAGACTATGATGTTTACCAAAGAGAAAACATGGCACATGCTTTATCACAGAAAGGTTTTCTAGATACCCTCGAACAATTCTCTCCAATAGTGCAAACAGGGCTACCATACTTGTCATCTACAAATCATTCAAAAATCGTTGAGATTACTATTTTTACTTTTTTCAAATACCCTAGTTCATACCCCTGCGGTGCATGCTTGTTAGGTTCAATTGCCAAACATAAAATAAAGGCAAAATAAAATGTTACAAATCAACCATAGAAAAATAATCTTAGTAGGCATAGTAGCCCTTTGTAATCTATATTTTGCCAAGGGACTCTAGAAACCGTCTACACATGTATTATTTCAACCAATCAGAAGACACGATCGACAAGACCAACTTGTGCCATAGAGCAGCATGATTTAGAATTGAGACGACGAAATGTTCGGAAATCCTAACAATTTCTGTTTTAAACTACTTTTGAGAATTTTCTAGGATTTATCAGTGAGCGTTTCGGAATACGATAGTATCGAAGAGGTATGTGAGCTTTAAATTAGGTTATTCTATCGACTAGTTGTTCAGAAATCACTTGTTGAAGTTGAATCGTTCAAATCTAACGAAAATTGCCTTTTGAACATGGCCGATTTTGCATGAACGATTTCTTTGGATTTTTTCACCTATTACTAGTTTGTGACCGGTCATGACTGTTGTGAATTTTGGAAGATCATTACTCCTTGTGTCTTGGAAAATTGTTTACATTATCAAAACTGTTGGAAAAGTAGGTCAAATTCTAAATTGCAACTAATGTAAACAAGTTGACAGTTATTGCTACAGTGAGCTACATTGTATATAGCTCCATAGGAATATTACACAGTGAAATTCATCATAAAATGTGATGATTTTTTCTTTTTTCACTATCCATGTTAGTGTCATGGTGAATTTCTATGAATAATATGCAGGATTGAGAAGCTGACCTTTTCACAATTTCATTCTGAACCCGATTCTAAACATTCGTCATTCTAAACCTCGGAAATCATTTTCGTCCAACATATTGGTTATACTAACACCCTACTCTTAGAGAATATTATTTGATTGCTAGTTAGTTCAAAGAATAGGTCTCAGAACACTATCTTGAATTTCCACATTTCTTGTTTTGTTGTCTCACTATTATTTGAGTCTAAACTTAGCTGAAAGGAAATTCTCAAATTACCCCTTGCTGCAGAATGCTGTGTAACGGTCATTTTCTGATTAGGCCTTGCCTGTTAAATTACTTGAATGCAAAACTTCTTGTTTAATACTGTTCAAATGTTAGACAATGAACAGTAAAGGTCTAATGCTGGGATACTTGACAGTTATGAAATGAAAATATCTAGTAATATTTAAATCAAAATTTAATGATTTCTGAAATATTAAAGGTATTTTAATGTGAAAAATGAAAAAAGTGAAATATGTATGTCAAATCCTAAATGATGGTTAAAACAATAAATTGTCTAATAAATTTTGTTTTGTCTATTATGCTGTTTTGGTCAAAATATTTTTATATTTGACACTCTTAGAAGGGTGCAAATCTTTTCAAGAGGGTGGCATGTAATTTCCAAATTTCAACAGGGTGTTGGACCCACTTGCTCTAATGATGGGGAGGTCACTGAGGTATAATCTAAAGAGTCAATAAAAGATATAAAAATAATTCTTACAGAACAATGTTTATATATTTGTTTTGTAGTCAACCAACAAACCATGTTTCATGGACCTTTTTATACATTTTTGTGAGATATACGATTCATGATTTAAATGAAATGACACATGAAAACTGTCTTCATATTTTAGCCTGATAAGTATTACCTCATCTTCTATCTATTTTTGTGTCATATTCTGTATTCATTATGGTTATCATAATCCATTATGGTTATATTTAAATCTATTAATCTTCTGAATATGAAAGTTGTCATAGGTAAAAACTTAAATTAAGTTTGTTTTGTTTTAGCCTAATGTATTCTTCCTAAACTTGAAAATTCTATTTCTTTTTTAAAATTCAGAAATTAAGTACTGACCCATTGAAAGTCTGTAGCACCCAGGCAAAAGGATGAAATATCATGTTATTTTGATCAAAACTGAAAATAATAGCCCTTTGAAATCATTTGTATATCATGTTTTTAGTTTTTGCAATGTTACCCTTTGTGTTTTCGCATCAGTTTTGGGAAAGTCCAATGTGTTAATGTGTATTCGTGTCAAAATAATGATGGAGTGACAGTGGACTCAATGAGCCAATTTTGCTGATTTGAAAAAAAATGATATTTTAACCTTGGTTTAATGAATAACGAATATTCCTTTAATTTCAGTAAGACAAGCATGACACGTGAATAGGCTGAATTTATTGTGTGGTTCAAAACTCATGATTAATTTAAAGTTTAGGTGTAGAACCACCTTTGAAATGCTCACAAAACAACTATTCCTAAAGGCGGCAAGCATATACTCTCAGCAAACCTTAGAATGAATGCATTGTTTATCAAATAAGGTCTCTCAATACTCAGTATATGCTTCTAAAGGTTCTATATTCAAATGGACCACTGCTTATATTTGCATGTGTTTACATTGTAAATATGAACATGATAGTATGAGAGCATTAATTAAAGCTAGTGCTTATGTGTCTCCATTTCTCTAGTTAATTCTCTTTAATATATCTATTGGTCTTTCATTTCAGGAAGATTATACACCAGCTTCAACGAGACACTTGGAATATATTGGAGTTTGGGATTTTGTTGGAGTATACTTGTGGAACCATGGATATACCACCATAGGGTCCAAAACACGAATCATAATGAAGAAGGAGACTCTATTCATCTACAGGCATGGCGTGTAGTTGGATTTTATCAATATAGGAGAAAGGTTTTAGTAAACAACATGTAAGCTGGCTTGATGGATCTTCATGTATCAGACCAAGTCCTCAGGGAAAATTGGTCAGAATATTAAATTTAAGATATGAATCAATTTTCTTGAATTGTCACATAAGGGAATTTGGATTAAAAAATCTCCTAGTGAAAGAAATCAAAGGATAATTAGAAATATGGAAGGAAGGCCAATAGCAGATTTACCCCCATTGGAAAGAGCAAGGATGATGAACTCCGGAATATCCGGCAGTCCACATCCAACATACATAGATACAGTTAACATTGGTGGATTAGCAATCAGACCCCCAGGAGATTTATCAAGGGGTTCAGGCTCTATGTACCCTGGGAGAATGGTACCCCCTCAATCTCCCGTACCACCCTCACTTCACCCAGCCCCTCAAGGTAAGTAGATCCATGCATGATATACAGTGTATGTTTAATGTTGTGTTTGTTCTTTACACAATTATATTTTCACGTTCTGTATTTTACTTTTTCAGTACTCGTTAACTAAATTGTTCTATCATGCGATTTGAAATTCATATATCTTCAATGCCCTTGGCCTGTAAACCATGATAAGAAAAGAAACGAAAGGAAAGTAAACATTCAGCTAGGCGTTAACATTACATCCATGGATCATTTTATTGTTTATTAAATATTTCTAAATTTTCCCTTCATGATAAACTATTTCTTTCCTTCTCAATATACGAGCTGACTATTTTGAATCTATTCTTTTCTAATTTATCTGGATTTTATTTATCTGATGATGAAATCTTACTTAGTGACTAATTTGAGATCAGCTGATGTGGTGATATGTATATATATTTATATATAGAAATTACTCATGTCATTCTCAAAAATAAATAATAAATTCCGCTATTTTGCAAAAACAATTTTCACGAAAACTGCTGAATGTGAAAGAATTGGAAAGAGATCATACACTATAACGAAAGTATTATATTGAAATAATACCCTATACATCCAGTATATGAATACCTACATGTAGAAACTATATAACTAGTCATGGAAATGTCAGGATAATAGAAGGAAAGCATGAAAAAGTAGCTATACATTAAATGTGAGTGAACTCTGCACATCTGTTTCTAGCACAGGGGATATTATTTGACTGTGAAATGTTCCGTAATGCAAAGAAAATTTATTTATGAAATCATTTCTGATTCCAAGGTAGCTATGGGTGTTTATTGATAGGCTTATGTTGTGCAATTCTGATAAGCTGTGTTTGCATTTTTGCTTCTGGATTTTAGAATTTCAGATAATTCTTATCAATAGATTCTAATTTATATAAATCGCAAGTCTAAATGTTTGGGCTTAGTGAAAATTGGATAATAGATATGTGCATATAAAAATATTGATATTTCGACTTTAGCCCTATTAGTGATCAGGATTAACAAAAAATGAAGTCATTCATTCTTGAGGCTCTGTTGCCATAATAATGAAATATCCATAATTAATCCTTAAGTTCTTGATTTAACAATAACTTTAAATATAAGACAGAAAAGAAATATATATTCATCTAGGCTATATTTTGCCATACCAAATTTTGAACTCTAAGCAATTTTTCTATAAAACTAAAACAAGAATGTGCTCATTTACTAGATCCTCCTTAAGCTATTCTGGTGAGATATGGTATATCATGACATGGTATATCATGAGGATCAATCTATATGTTGCAGTCTAGAAATATGTTCTCATTGTTATTTCATTGGTTGGACTTCCAACATATATTGATTAATTGTTATCTTCAAATATATTTTATTGAAATCTCACTCATTCTTGGCATAACTCTGATCAGTTTTGCAATTTTCGTCTTATGCACCAAACTATATACTTAGTTTGAATCATCAATTTATGAGAACTTGATTTTCTATCACCATTTCCAAGCCATGGTGGTTTGAAAGCCCATAATTTTCACTATTTTCAAGATTCATATTCCCTAAAATTTGTATTTTTTACATTTTCTATACTCTCATCCATTGATGTATGGCCTCTTGAATATTCTCTTAATTTAAACATGGGAAATCCTCACTTTGATCACAAATCCAACTCATTTATTTATGGTCCAAACTGTAGCTCAATTTTTATACTGAACCTTGACAATAAAAGTATGGAGCTGGGTTTTTCTTGGCTTCAGCACTATATACTTTTAGTTGGAATTAATAGAAAATATAGTTCTAATTAATATTAATGTTTAAAACATGATTTAAGTTGTATTTTAGTTGTATTTCCTTTATAGTGTTAAACATGGGAATCCATGGACTGTAGACGCACCCAGTGAGAATGCCACTGATATAAATAGTGAAGAGTCTCAATAAATAAATAAAATAAAATACAAAAATTAAATATTTCTAGTAAAAAATAGCTAATATTTTTGTTTATGCTATTTAGACTAAAAATAAATATGATTGCTTTAAAACTATATATTCAAATATCATATGACCTAATAAGGAAGAAAATCATCAAATTACGCTATTGACATTTTAATAAGTACACTTACAAAATTGTTTGGATTTCAAAGTTAAATCAGGTGACTTACTTATGAATAACAAATGAATGAATCTTCTCCAAGTAGTTACATATAATACCAAGAATAGGTATGGTCTAACAGAAATTGGGATATAATGAGCTCATCGTATAACATTTTTGTGGCTTCAACAATTATTTCTGCTGTTAACTTGACACAATTAATTTTAAAAAAATGTATAAAAAGGTTCATAGTAGGGTGTATTTAGAATGTAAAATGGGTAACTATACAACATGGCCAAATTTATTTTCTGTTGTAAACTTTAAATGGAATAGCATAGTTATGAAGTGATATATACAAATGCACATGTACTGTCCATAGGCCTGACTCAGTGGTAAGGATAACATGTTTTCAGAACACTAGTCACAGTTTATCATATGGTTAGCATACATTACCATGGAGATAACCATATGTTTGCCCCCATCAAGTCTTGAGACTTTTGGCACTCCACCTTGATTATGTGTAGGACTCCACTCTAATGGTACAACATGCCAATACATAACTGATATCAACATATACATTTTATATTAAACTAATGATCACATTTCTGGTTTTCTTTCCTTTTAAAGCTTACAAATTGCATCTAATTGCCTAAACTCATTACTAGCTATTGATAAAAGTAAGCATTATATTACTGTTACTGTAGTACTGAAAACATCAGACAGATGTTCTCTGAATGGCTAGGCATATATCGGATATATAGGAGGAGATGTTATTGTCAAAGTTTAATAAAATATGCCTGTTATCTCACTTATGGACCTGGCTATGTCATAATGCGATTATATACAGAGTGGATTGTAACCAATGATTCGAAATTGAAATAAATAATATAAATAGACAGCAAACTGACAAAGAGCTTAAAATATGTCATTCTAACATTTTCAGCTTATGTAACACAAAATTATGAAACAAAATCATTACCACACTTATCATGATACATATAAGACTCCTGCAACATATATACTCATAAATTAAACTTTTTTTAAGTTTTTTTCAATGTAACATCGAAATTATTTTTCCGTATTTATTCATAAAATTTGTACATGTTCATTATAAACACATTAAAATATGTAATCTAATTTAGTTCAGTTTATACATACCAAAATATCATGGAATATATGAAACTTGCTAAAGGTATAATCTATCATTTTTGACAACAGGAAAGTTGTCAATAGCGATTTGAAGTTCATTTGAGAGTTAAGGCAGTATGAGGCCTATCAGTTCAAATTTATATATTTAGACAGTTGTATTTGAGAAGTTACTTCAATTATTGATATGCTTGATAAGTTGATAGTACAGCAAACCTGGAAAACATTTTATTTCATGAGTTTGTTAAATGTAAGAGTTATATGATTGTTATAAATAATGTGGCGACCTGCTTTATTATAGAAAAGATGCAGTACAAGAACGCTCACAAATCAAATCACTATTACAATAACTATTTTTACTGCCACCATAGATTTATTTACTATAGACATCAAATGTAATTCAGTGTGAAAAAGTATTGTGTTTTATATGTTTCTACTTTTACAAGTTTATTCAATATTACAGGTTCATTTCAATAAATTCTTTGGAAACTATACGCTGAAATGCTTCTGAAGTTATATGAACAACAAGGGTGTATATTTTCTGTGGACTATTTTGCTTCAGAAAATGAAGCATTTCGTATAAGTGTTCATACAGTATATACATTTAGCATGCCTTCGTCTGTTGATGTGACGCGATAATGTATTGTTCAATGTTATATTTTAGAGGTTTATTAAGGGACAGTCAGCTAAGCTTAAGGTATTTTGGCATGTTTAGAAATTTGAATTGCTTTCTAATTTTAGTATAGATATAAGAGACTGAATTTTCTCTTTTTTATATATTTAGAAAATCAACACTCAACTAATAATTATTCAGTCTTTGTTCAAAACTAAAAGATGACCATTTACATGATATGAGTTATCTGTATACCTGAAAATAACATAGGACCTTAATATTAAAGTCATTAAAATTTCTGAACATTTGGATATACCTTAAAAATGACTTAATAATCCAATCACTGTGTAGCAGCTAGTGCCCTTGTCCATTGTATGTATAAGTGTGATCCTTGCATGTTTGTTGTCTCACTGATCATTCTTCCATTGAAGGCTATGGAACCCTAGGACTCCCTCTAGGATCCAGTAGTGAGGCTGCCTATAAGTCTGCCCTCTATCCGCCAGGCCTGCATGCATCTTGGCCTGCTACTGTCAGCCCATCACACCTTGAAGGTATGTACACATGCTTTGCTTGCCTTTCAATTGCACTTACTCCATTACTAGCATGCTATTTAGGAACACAGCTGGTCAAAACTTGGAGCAAGTAACTTTCCTGCTTTATTTCTTTCTTTGATATTTTAATAGAATAATAGGACAATGTGCTTTCAAAAATAATTCTGTTATAATACTATATTGCAATACTTGTCACTTCTAATGGAATGAGGAATATGGCATTATGGTCTACCAGACCCCCCCCCCCCCCGACCCCTCTTATCTGTTCTTTGTGAAAGATGAAGACAAAGGGGTATGGTTATAGCGATGGGAATATGGTGATTCTAGTTGCTTTCATTATTGAATGAATTGTTAAACTTATTTTTAGCTGGAATGATCCTTATAATTGAATTTAAGAAGTATGATTTTAGTATAAAATAGTAGAATAAAATATATTTTACTGACACACAGAAATTGCCTTGCTTATCATGTTGCGAACATGCTTTACATATGTCAAGCCCAGATTTTGCAATATCTGGTTTTCAATTAAAATCAACATAAATTTCATTGGTGCCATATTTTTATTTCTTGTTATGACAATCAGTGTCATATATGTTCATGGGAGGGTATGTTAAAGTGGTAATATGTAATTTATTTGACAACACATTCAGCAGCATGACTTGTAGATGAAGAAATAATATAGTGAACAACACATGTTAATATTTTTGTGCAACATTTTTCTTCATCTTTAATTATTTCCTGGTATTTGGATGTTAGGTATGTTCTGGAAATGCAACACAACTGTTTCAAATCAGAGCAAATATTTACATTTTTGTACTTTCTTGTAAATTTTCTACAGGACTTAAATCAAAATTTGTTTGTTGATGTTCTCCTTTTCCAGAGAGTTTGGTAGAGAATTATTTGATTCTATTTACAAATTAAAAATATTTGATGCATATATCTGAATTTGAACATTTTATTAATGACCAATAAAATTATTAATTGATTGACTTTAACATTACAAGATCTTTTCAGATATGTTTAGCATATCACCATATTCCTGGGCCATTCAATTAATGTTACATGTGATTTGCTTTATTTCCCCATTAGCAACTGCACCTTAGACTTTCAATTTGTAAATCTTGTTTCTAGTATTGAAAAAATATAAACACACGATGCTCAATAAATAATTTCAAAAGACCAAAAATTTGAAAAGGTGTCTAACACAAACGTAGGTGGTCAAATCAATTGATGGGCAAGTTATTAGATACTTTTAAGACGCCCATATAGAAATGTTAATGGATTACTTTTTTGTTATTACCCTTATCATTTATATTTCAATGAACGGATAATGTTCGTTTTATATGAACTAGAGAGTCATGAAAACAACTTGCTAGGGTTTACATCTAAGATTTGAAAGTCTGTGTTACAAATGAACCTATATCATGCATCAATGATATTCTGTTTTAATCTGGAATTGACAGAACAAAGGTGAATTTTGATGTTATCAGAAACATGATTTAATTATACAATGTATGTTAGGTCTTCTTAACAAGTGAGATCTCCAGGCCACAGAAGGTTTGAATAAATGGATTCTGTTGTTTCCCATGAGAGGTGATTGCTGAAATTGTTAATAGCATGCTTGATTAGGTCTAATAAAAGGTCAGCGAAATGCGAATAAAGAGTACATTTTATAGATACCACAGAATATAATTACTATAAATATGTATCTGTCTGTAGCTCCGGGATGAATCTAGTCTAGGGCTTCTATTCTCGACCATTATTTTCCTGAGTCTCTGCTGACTCAGCAATATGTGGTTTAATACTCACTTAATTAATTATTTTTCAAAATGACAATAACTAGATTGTTTTTCAATGTTTTCTAGCGTGTCATATATATATCACATAAACTATAAACATCATCTCAACTTCTAGTTTGAGAAGAAATAGATCAACATAGCGTATATAGAAATATTATCAAGAGACCTTCAGCTGTTGGTGTTAAGTGTAAAATTATACATGCTTCTTATTGCAATTTCATTTGTAAAAAACAAGGTAGGCGGAAATAAATGACCATTTCTGCATGATTTATATCAACATCTCTGGTCAGCTATGGCTACAGCTGACCTTTACATTTCATTCAATAACAACTATTATTGGGTTTCTGCTCACATCATGTTTTAATTCACCCAGAAGTACAAGTTCTGATAAAACATAAAATTGTACAAGAACTGCAAATGCCCCTTTCCTGCCTATTGATCCATCAAGGTATTTCATGGAAAATGAGTATAAGGTATATTAAATACTAATCCACATTTAAAAGCATATTTCCCATATTGTGTTTTATATACTGTCATTGGTTGGTTTCTTGTGTTGTGAGAATACCTACTCTATTATACTGCATCTACTCTATTATACTGCAGCCATCATGTGTCAGCAGCTAGGGAAATCATAAATCTGACTTTATAAAACAAACTTATGAGACCTAAAAGCAACTTGGCAACTAGAAACATATACAAACAAATTACAATAAAGCTGAGCTAAAAACAATTGATAACATGTAGAAATTAGAGTGCAGTACGCTGTTAAAGGTGACTGCTGCTGCATATGTACACAGCTTTGCAATGTACTCTATGACCACCATGTAGTTCTCTTGTAAGCCTGCATGATCAATATACTCACATGTATAATAATCCATACATTATTTCCATAAAGACCATTGCGGAATACCAGGTCATTTTCATTGTATTCTACATCAACAAGGCCACATTCAATATTTGCTAGATGTCATTTCTAAACACCAACATATTTTCCATATCTAAACCAATCATATTTTAGGGCTTGTGTGCAGCCGTAAACATAGAATACAGTCTTCATTGATTGCATTCTTTGCGGTATACCATTTTAAAAGAAATTAAGCACAAAAGATAAGGTTGTTGATCCCAGTTATAAAAACTTGTTCTTTGATATAAAAATGTTTTCTCCTTTGAAATATTCTTTACAATTTCAAGTAAAGATCCATGAAAAAGATTTACATGTGCAATCTCTTATCAAATGGGGAAATTATCAAATCTTAAGGGAATAATGTTTTAAATTTTTCAATAAAAAGTAACAGAAAAATGTTCAATGGACAAGTAGGTAGATTAGAATTTGGAATATCAAATTAAAGTGACAATTTTTGAAAAAAAATAGAGTTTATTCCATAATAATATGTTTTCCCTGGGAAATAATCAGGAATAGAATTGATATTCAAAACATCCCTTAACAGATCCCATATCAGCCAAAATCCCATATCAGATCCCATATTAGATCCTGTGTCGGCCAATACAGATGCAGGTATCAATATCACTGAGTAGATTTAAAATAAAAAGATGTTCTGAAAAAATTGTAGGATGATCTTATTATCCTACACTTAGTGTACTAAATATATTTTAGGTATAATGTTATCGTCTGGCCATTTTTTCATATAAAGCCATACACATAGGCATAATAGGCAAGAATGCTGTTCTTATTTCAATTTCAGATGTAATAATGCAGAATAATTTCTATCTGACCATGATGACATTGTTAACTAAGGGGAGCAAGCCTCATTGCTCAAAGGATGGTTTATGAGTTTTGTGTGGATATTCAAATGAGGCTGTGTTCTAATCTGTAAATGAATCAATGTAATTATTAATTTCTTTATTATCATGTCCATCCCTGAAAATATATATTTGACCATTTATTGATCAGATTACCATTTATATATTGATATACTGTTCAGTAATAGTAACTTAATACTATGGACTTGTATCCTCCCCCACCCCTCCCAAAATGCAATTAATTATGTTTTAGTGGATGTATCATGATATATTAGCATTGCCCCTTAGTTTGAGAGATATTGGGTTGGAGTATAGATTTTTGTATTATTTTACTTGAAACAATCTCTTATTATATCTTTAGACAAATATTGAAGATTTCTCATGATTCTGTTAATAATTTTAAGCATCTTTATTTAAAGAGTATAAACTGGTTTCTACCATGTTTCAAATTAATGTAACAGTTTCTCTACTAGCAGTCTTGAGCTACTTTATATAGTTAATCCTTCAGGAAGTGAATAATATTTTATCTTTGACAAAAATGCTTGATTGTATGGTGAAGTCATTGATATTTCATTACATCTTTTCCTCATAGTTACTCAAAAGCTAAATTAACAAATAAGATCCAATATATTTTCATCAAGCACCAAATATCCACAAAACCACTGAATATATTCTATGCAAAGATATGATACTCTGAAATGTAGCATTTGCTATATAGAAAGTTGGAGTTGGTGGTTTTGTGTCTGACACCTACTTGAATCAAATCTTGAAAAACTGATTTTAAATTATGATTAATTTTGAGAATGTGGCCATTAATAGATAAGATAATTTGATTGATAATGAGGATGTTTTGCTTTTATATCACATCACATTGAAAGTATGCTTCATGACTTTTAGAAGTAGAAATATTTTTTTGCAAATAATGTCATATATTGTAGGCATTGGAATTGTTTAGCTGCTTTGGTGTCTATTCTCAAGGTCTTTTGAGCAATCATATTTATTAATACTTCAAATTAAATAATATCATTCATCAAAAGTCCCCTACTGTTCTCAAGTATTGCTTGGCACCTTGAACATTTCCCTTACTATATTTTATATTGTGACATAGATTCACAAATCCTGAATATCGTGGGCAACTTAACCTTCGAGCAGAGTTTATCTCATTCAGACTTATAGTACGAGCCTTTCAGGGGGAGACATAAAAATCAAATAACATTTGATAGGACCATCAATTCTGAGATTTGCCATACTTTTAGTTGAGGTTTTATGGGCTTTAGGTAGGTAGATTTCAATATTGATGAAGATGTATAAGATATAAGATATATATTGTGTGATCTACTGTATTTATTGGTCTCACAACTTGAAAAAGTAAAAGAAGCATGCAGTGTTAATATATAAGCTCTTTCAGTGAAGTGATCTTCAAAGCAATCTACATTTTAATTTTGCAGGCAGTCTAGCTGACTTTATATTTAAAAAGTTGAAGCAGATGTCTCATAAAAATTCTTATGTAATTTTACGTTTAGCCAAGTTCATTTATCATTCATTCAAAAAATTAGATGATACATCACACTGATATTTTATTTACATTTTGTCATGCTATATTTTATAACTGACTTGTTTTTTTGTATTTAGTAGTTAGGTTAGTGTAGTTTAAGTTCAGTTTTATATATTGTACACATTAATTAATATGTCATTGTAATATCAAAAACATATTCAAAAAACATTAAACAAAATATTCCACATCTAAATGGCCCAGTAAAAATGATGACCTGTAATATTATAAGTTACTAAGGATAAGGAAGATCATAGTTGGAGTTATCCATTTCATGCACCTTGTATTGTTTAGGGAGGTGGAAATTATTGTGTATTACATTTTATGTGCTTGTTTTTAAAAGACCTGGATTAACTAACATGTATTTCTCAGGTTTTCTTTGTTCAAATCTTTTTTGAATTTCTTCCTCAACGTGGATTGATGAATTCATGTACATGTATCCCATAGGCGTTCTCCAATTTATTATTCTCTATAGACAATGAACTGAGCTGCTTGCCCAGCCACAATATTCTTAGCATTACAAACGTGACCTGTTTGGTTTATTATGAAGTGTACAATGATCACATTATACTGCAGTATATAGATAATCAGCATGTTGGTTCATGCGTTACCAAAGCCAATTTGACTCATTGACCAACATGATAATTCCTTTTCATTACAATGATATTGTGAAGGTATTTAATATAACAGATATTTAAATATGTGATATGCAAAAATAAGAAAAATGTATATTTAGCTGAATATATGATAAACTATGACTCATATATTTCATTTGCCTTTAATTAGTTATTTCAAACAAATAAATAAATTTATTGCTAATTATTTTTCCTACCTAATGTGTGCAATTTTGCTTAGACAGTCTAAAACATAAAATGTAATACAAATTATGATGCTCTTAAAATATGGTATTAAGCTCATTGTGGATGTTTCACAACACTGGTGTGATCTATTGTGTTTCTATGGAGAATTAATCAAATTTCTAGACACCATTAATTGTGGCATATTCCATGGGGAAATACTTTAACCCCTGCACCCAACCTTGCAGTGGGTTAACCATAACTTGAATGGCAAATGAACTAAACCGTTGTTTGCAAACAAAGTTATTGGAAGAAATAAAAATTAAAGGAAAACAGTCCATCACTTTTACTTTTCCAGAAATTGTACAATTTCACTTCAGTAAAAAAAGAAAAAAGGTCATCTTATTCTTACTTTAAGTGTCCTGCTATGATAGAAAATGAAATATTATTGACATTCTTTGTAGAGATTACTTCAAACTGTTCCATAATATTTTTGCTTTCATTATAACTAAAGTGACTGTCAAAAAGGAATCATTCTATGACACTTTCGTTGTCACAGCACCCACATGAGAGGTATAAGATGGTGTCATGGTTGGCAATGGTGTTCTAAAATAGACTGTCACTATTACATTTGTAGATATCAAATCAATCAGCTTCAGCAAGCTTGCCCTGATAAACCTTAGGTCCATACTAATAGCACAAGCTGGATTAATAATGCTTAAAATAGAACAAACAAAATATGTAGAATTTCTTTTCAGCATATACAAATTGAAAGTTTGTGTGCTACTTACAGTAAAATCATGATTCAACAATAAAAGCGAATTGCCATTCTGATACTCATCATGTCTTTCTGTCTTCAACAAGAAATAATGGAGTGCAGCTAAGAAGGCCATGATTTCTCATGATGGCTAAGTTGCACTCTACAGAAATGTTGAATTTTTGAGAGTTGGGGTAATATCTTGTTTATATTTTATTGAAGTTAACAGGGAGGTACATGTAATCCCAAACATACATTAAATATTGTGTTGTGTTATTTCAGCTTATCGGCAGTACAGTCTTGGCCAGGCTACAATGTATCAGCCATTTCTCTCGCTCTTGGGAGCTGATCAACTTCCTGCTTATAACCAGTCAATGACATCATCGACATATCATCGCATTTATGATCTGAACAAAGGTGAGCTTATTACTTCTGCAATATTAAACAGGGGATATAAATGAAATAATTGATATGACCTAGCTAAACAAACCATTGTAGGACCAACATCATTTAGGAAAAATTATTATATAATCCTCACAACCCTTTTTACACAAGACACTACAAAAAATATTTTCAAAAATTTACACGTCAAAACACAATTAAGTTTCTTGAAATCGCCAGTGATCGTAGTATGTGTGATGTATATTTGGTATAAAAAAATATATCATATTATTACATGTATTATAGTTGTGCTTTATGCATGTAATAGGAGTGATCGAATGTACAAATCCAATTCCTCTACCGATCACCATATTATTGGATAGTTAGGCTGTGATTATTTCAAGAGAGTATCTACCTACTCACCCCATGGAAAGTGGAAATATGTATTTCCAATAGATAAACATTTGATCAATATTCCCCTATTTTTAATGTTACCAATTTTTGGTTATTCAGATGGTTTTAATTTGCCAAAATGATAATCCGGACCAAAAGTGCCACATAGGCATCATGTATTAAATATGTTCATGATAAATGGGGTTAAAATCTAACTCTGAATTTAAACCACTTAAATAATTTCATCTTGGGCACTGCCAAGTTTTCACTAAATATTTTACACTCCTGAGTTCTAGTACATTACTACTAAGTTGTTCACTAGAATTGACAAAGTGAAAAATACCTTACTTGGTTTCACAACAATTTTCATTTATTTATCAGGATCATATATCAGGACCTTCAAACTAGGGAAGCTATCAAAAATGTATTATTTAAGTAAACTTGTTGAAAAACATTTTAATTTCAGATTTCCTTCTCTATCATCAATTGGCTTTATACAAACAACTGTTGCCAATTTTGCTGATTTTCCCAGTAATGTTATGTAAACATATCTCACAATTAAATCAATAAATATATTTTTCTTGTCAACTTGTCAAGCATAATGGTAAACTGTACACTAAATTATCATAAACATCCATGCTTTTGAATCTCTAAGCTTTATTCAACAAGGCTTTCAGGTTTGTGATTTTTTATCTCTATCTTTACTACGTTGATGTATAGAGTTGAATGTAGCTGGCAGCATCAATGTGAAATTAATCACAGCATTATCTTCAAATGTTTTTCAAATGTAAATTTTATTCACACAGACTGATTCAGGTGATGGTTTCATTATATACCAGTTATACTGTTGTATTAGTGTATGGAGCTCTCGGGTAAACATGGTACATAGTTGTCTAACTCAACTACAATATTGTAATTGTTAGATTCTGAAAATAACTTTTAGTCTTTCTATCCCTTTTGATTGAATGAAGAATGATATTGAGGTTTGGCAACACAGTTAATTTATACCTGAAGCCTAGAAACCAAACATGACAATGTGATTATATTGATGAAAAAATGAGAACAAAAAAGGCAAATATTTTTGTCCAGAAGGGCAATCTTGTATATATCAATGCTGTGAAGCTTATAATATTTTTCAGTTTCAATATATTTTCTGATGGCTTTACAGTTCAAATAGAGGATCATTGAGTTTTATTGGCCAAAATTAGTTTGAACATTGTTCTTCCACCAATGGGAAACAATTATTTTGGCTATTGGTGATATTGTAAACCATCACTGAGAGACAGATCATACATTTTGTATTTTTAAGATAAAATCTGATTTTGACTGGGTAGCTTCAGAAACGAAGCAAGAAATACTGTTTAGAATAGAGTGCACCTTGAATGCTCTTAAAACATAGTAGACGCTGCACATTTGCTAACTTATTGCTCTAATTGTTAAGGAAAAGCTTCTCAGCCTACCAATATACAACAAATATAAGGCAAATAATTTGTGTCTCTCCAACATTTATTATGACTAGATATAGATAGTTAAATGGACTTGTTATCATATACAGCAGTACCATCTTGAACCTAACGAATATTAGAACCTTTGTGGCAGTAAAAAATACATGCCATAGAAAATCCATTATTTGGTTTAGTGGAATAGGAGATGGAAGATGATTGAGCCTCAGGCTAAACTGATTCTTTTATTGGGGATCCCTCGTTCTATTGAATGTGTAATGTGTGTGCGGAAGAACAAATAAGATCTAATTGATGTATAGAGTTGCTGTGTATGTACTCCAGATCATGTTGCTGCCCACTACTCTGTTCAGCACTAATATAGCGGTCAATTATGTATCCCAATATGCTGTTCAAGACTAATATAACAATCAATTTTATAGCATGAACATATCTATTTATGGGGCAGTTGTTGCATCGCCAAAAATAGAAAAACGTTTTTAGATCTTTTTGTGAAAATTATCTCCTATAGAGGTATAGTACATGTTTTGATTTAAGTTTTGCTTCATCTCTTTTTGGATCCATGCTATATGCCCCTGCATTTCTGTTACATGCCCTTGCATTTTGCTATACGTCCCTGTATTTTGCTATATGCCCCTGCATTTTTATTATATGCCCTTGCATGTTGCTATATACCCCTGAATTTTTGCCAGCAGATTCAGAGATTACACTCCTATACTGATTGCCTTTTTTGGAAAGACAAGTCAAGGTAGAATTTTTGATGATAAAGATCGAGTTTTTGAATAAATTTAGAATTGCTGCCACAGTTTAAAAAAATTGAAAAAGGTCGGGTTATTGTGAATGAACTTGAATTTGCTGAGAATTATTAGAGTTGTTAAATAAAATTATGTTGTGTGTAATCCTTTAAATCAAAGATTGGAAATGGACCTTTTTTATAGATAAAAAAATCATATATTTTTTCTTCTATGTATATGTTTTAATTTAAACCATATTTGCTTGAACAATTAATCCAACAAAATTACATGCACTTGTTAAGCTTACAAATGTGTTTCAAAGACTATGATTTTGGACATTTTGTATTGACAAGTTTGTTTATTAGAAGACAAGTAAATAGTTTATAATTATTTGCCTTTAATATACCAGATTAAATTCATTTAAAAATTATAAGAAAGATTTCTCTATCATTTTGTGAATAAGTATGGTAAAAGGAACCCACATGTTATGTTCATAAATTCAAATGTACTGAATTTCCGATCCCAGCAATCGCTTTCAACCAGCTTGTATTATACATTCGTTTTATAAAAAATTTTATATGAGAAGGATAGCTGGTATTCATGGGTACACTTGCAAAAATTTTAATTTACATAGACATCCTTGATGTTCCTTTGGAATATGTGTGATATCATATTGGGAAAATAGATTGAAAATACAAAATGTAACACTGTACATTTAATCAGATAGAAAGCCTTGGAAATCGGATAATTTCCTTATTTTGTCTGATTAGTAGAAACACCTTCATTGCACGGAGTGAATGTGTGACCAAAGAAGACACACAGATAACATATTGTTACCTAACAATTCTGTTTATCAGACTTGAGTTCAGTGCCACATATTGTTGCATGATGATATTCACTGTTTAATGAATGGAGAAAACCTGATGCATGTGGAGTATGTCAGAAGTATCATACATCTTAAATTAGCATGGTCATAATAACATTTATAATACACGTGAATTGAGTTTTTTTAACTTGAACTTGAATGAGTTCATTTTTCATATAGATCCTAGTATATTTTAATGATCTCATTGTGCTATGGTGGTGTGGTAGAATCGTGACATTCTAAGTATCCACTCTTTTGGTATCTACATGATCTCATTCAGTCTCTGTATCATATCACATCCAGAATTCATGCTCAACCAAATTTCTGAATCAAGATTTTTATAGAATTTCTCTGTTGTTAATTTCTCACCTTAATGGTATCTTACTTATGCATAGAAGTATATGATATAACACATATTACACAGAGATAAAAGAAAACATACTACTGTACTGGCTTGATTTATTTGAGCACCCCTATTCTGCATGAAAAAAATCAATTTTCTCTCACTATATATAGTGATTCAACAGATATTATACAGAATTGCTGGCAATATCACAATTTTCTGTTTTCACTTGCAACAGTTTTCTATTTTCTCAATGAATTATCAAAATTGCTGGAAATTACTGTAGTTTTGTTATTGTTAATTTTGTGATGGGGAATAATTTCTAATAAGTTTTAAAAGTTTGTAAATTGGTGAATGCGTATTTCCTGTCAATACGAGCTGCTATAATCTTTTCATTTCTGTGGTTGAAAAATAAAGTAACACAAAATAAATTTTATGTATTTGCGAATCCGACGTTATAATTAATTTGAATAATTATTTTGCTGTATAGCAAGTATATTTACGTTGAAATTATTAATTGTTCTAAAATCGCTAAAATGTTCAATGGAGAATTTTCCCGGTGGGGTTTATGCATTATGTTGATTCATTCAGGCTTCATTTGTGTAGAGTCACGAAATAACATGGAATAATCGTTAGATGCTGTCTTGGGAGTTCACATTTCATGAAAAGAAAACAGAAATACAGAGATGCTTTCAGAAAGAGTTTCACAAGATAGAGGCCAGGTTTTATATTTCCAAAGCAGGCCTGCACACAGCACCACACTATTCTGATGGTAAAGATAGCACAAGCATGTGGAAGGGATAAAACAATGCTGCTTATACTGATTGGTCAAGAGGTGTTTTCCCTCGTGTCATTAATTCCTAACTGACACACACAGATCTAAGTAAGGAAGGTCATAAACTCTTGCGAATTACTTGTACAGAGAAGATTTTTATAAAAGAAGCTGCTTGGGATAAGAATCAATTTAATTCCCCATGAATCAAAACATTAACTCTAAATATTTTTTATTTATTTTTTATATTAATTGAATTGCTGTTCAACTGTTTAATTGCATGCAAATATCAATGAAATGCAGAAAAATTGGCTTTATATAATGGTGGAGTAACTGAATGTTTTTGAAGAACGACTTCATATAGAATAACGCTCACTCTGATCTATTGCTGGCGGTGCTATTCATGCACTTTACTGTGAACAATGGCAATGTCTCAGATATACACGGCATGTGGGTTATAACATGACATACTATTCTAATAGTTCTTCAACAGAAAGCCAACCATTAATTTATTACAGGCAATTTGCTGGTGTTTATTTTGCACTAATTCTTGGTCTTCATAAGCTATTGTTAGACTATAGACAACATATTTATGGGCTCACACTGTAAGCTTATGGGTTCCACTCGGCATCTGTCCATTGGTTCGTCCGTATGTTGGTCCATCAGTCTATCTGTCAAGATTGCTGCTATGATTTTAGAAATATTATTCTTGGGGTGCATCTACACTCGTATGTCTACCTATAGTTTCTATATAACCTGTCATTGTCATTTTTCAAGTCCTCTTGGTTTCCCAGAAGTAGCCAATTTTGTCCCATTTTGGCAACAGTTCAGTGTAGGAGTGCATGGGTCCTTTATTATCAACTTGGGACTGTTAATAAAATGTATTTGCAATAATTAATATAAGGTATGTTTAATGATGTTATATTCTTTGACTCATTGTTCCAATATATCAGCATACAAGCTTAATACATATAGACCTTAAAGAGACAGAAAGTAACAGTCATCCATCCTGGGCCTTATGTGGTCAAACTAAACAGATAAACTAATGATCTATTTTTGAGTTGACGGGCCATAAAACAGTGAAAGTAAAAGGTCTACTGACATAAGATTTAGAATGTATTTGACTTCATGTTTCTATTTTGTTTTGTTCATTGAAGTCTACCTATAGGAACCAGCAGTAATGGACTGTCAACAGTTACCATACATATTTTGTTTATTTATAGTAGTTTTGCAGAAAAGCAAAAATATACTTATACTGTAATCATAGTAGTATCAATCCAGTGCTCTCCGACTTTTCCTTGTAAATCTTAAAGAGCCAAGCTTTCTTTTCAATTTCCAATTTTAAACTTGGTTTTAAAGTGGCTATAGCAGATAAAGATGATAACTTCTACTGTTAATATTTTAACAAAATATGTGTCACATATAAGACATTTAACTGAAGAATGATCTGATAGCACAGAAAAGATAATAAAAGTCTTTATTGCCCCTTTAACAGTCTTGTAGCTTAATACATAAGAGCTTAACTAGAGATCATGCATCTGCCCTTGCAAATATCCTGTTTTTATTATAAAATAGTAAAAGCTAATGACATGAAAGAATTAAAAAAAGTGTCAGTACTTCCTTTAAATCAAAAATTATAACTTTCTGCAGTATATCACTTAATGAAATTGAAAAATGATTGAGAATATTACTAGAATAATCTTTAGATTTTACCATAGAATATAAGGATAAAAATTAAAGGTGACTTTGAATAATCCGCTTTACTCTATGTGTGACCTTTAGATAATTAACAAGTTTTCCTCATTGATCGTCCTCATTTCTACTGACCATACAAACAGCAACTTTATTGTCCTAGTTTATAGTCGTTTTATAGTCGCTTTTCTCATATAATAATTTGTTCATAAATTGGCCAGGTCAACACAAGCCAAATACTTTTAATATTAGACATTATGATTTGATAAAAAAGGTATAGAAGTTGATCTTTGTTTTTATGTTAAATTTGGAAGGATTAAAGTTATTTTCTCCCAAATTTATCGTTTTGGAGTCCTGTAGTTTTTATTATTACTTGTGTAACACAACCAAAGCCCACCCCTCCCATCTGGATAATGTTTTGAAAGGAAATGATTATTATTCAAGCTTTAGCTATTGGGATTAAAATGAATAAATGCTATTGTCTGAATTGGTTATAATGTTCTTATTCTTACAACATTGCAAACACTTTATTGCATAATATTGCAGTCATTTATATTTAGACTTTACCATGTACATTACTTATTAGAGGCACCTTGACTTAATGACTTGGAATTTGTCTTATTTTTATTTTATATACATAGAAAATCTGAATATACATGTATATTGTTGTACAGTATCTGTGTATCTGAATTTATTTTTCTAGCACTAAGAACTCCAGAACCTGTTCAAAATTAAACTTGTTGTTCATTCATTTTTGATGTATTTGAACATCAGAGACATTAACAAACATTTTTATGAGTTCATATTTTAAAATGTCAGCCATGTTTAAAATAAATTGTTCTAAATGAAGCCATTAGTATGCAATCTGCTCAGCATCTATGCTGGTGTGCAAATTAAATGAGTGAAATACTTGAAATGTAGCATGATTAAAATTGCATCCAATAACTTTTTTTTCTACTTGTCTTTATGTTAAACCTCCCTTAGGCTGGGAGATTAGTAGATTCTGTATTAATTAATGGAGAAAATCTCTTAGGGCATCAGAATATATTTATTGATTTTTTGATTTGAATGATTTCACTTAATAATAAAGCAAATATAATTCCACATGTCCAATACTGTATTAAAACAATTGATGGAAAATACATTACGCATGGTCATTTTTATAACTTTCTTTTGAACATTAAGTGTAGCATTTTCATTCTCTTTGTTATTTAATATTGGACATAAATATTTGATCAAAAAGCTCCAAAAATTGTTTCAATTTCATGAATACATATATACTGGTATATTTTAAAATAAAATGAAATATTAAATATTGAAATAAATATTATTCTCTTCACTTCAATATTTTAAATCAATGAATAAAAAATAATTTATCAGTCTTAGCATATTTGAGAATGAGTGTTTATTATTTGGTATTTGATTTCTTATCAGACCAGGGTTATAAGAATTCTGGCTGTTTTGATTTTGTGAAATATTTTGTAATACACGCCTTTGGGAAAGATGCTGTTTTGTGGTTAGAGATCATTCAGTTAATAATCTCCTAAAAATTCCATCTTTGGTCAAGGATGTGAAGCGTTTCCTCGCAAACTAGTAGAAATCCGAGATCAATGTATTTATGAGTATCATACATTTTTTAAGAACTTCTATTTTAGTGTTACCATAAGTTCTTTAGACATCAATTTTCAATGTTTTTCTGGCATTGTCCCCTGTGTTATCAGATGGTTTGACATAACTGTATCATAATTTTTCTTTTATAAAGATTAATGAGCAATGCAGTTCCACAATGTTCCATCCATGGATAATATGTTCTAGCTGAAATATGATAAAGATCAACTTAAATCCCATGTACTGAACAATGTAGGTGAATTTTACGATTTTTATGTATTTATTAATATACTTGCAGACATGACGACTGGTGCAGTCGCTAGTGATGTCACACAACAACGTCACATCTCCCCAGCAACTGGTAAATCTGCACAATTAGACAAATCTTCAGAAAAATCTCAAAAACATGACTTCCGTGAGAAAGAGAAACATGAAAGTAAATCCCAGAGGGAAACTGGGAAGGAAAAGCAACAATCTGCACACAAACAAGGTGCATCTAAAACTAAAACTCCTGCAAATAATACTGGCAAAACTGGAAACAATAAAAAATCTGACGCAATATCTAAAAACTTGAATAAAAATACAAGAAAACTTGCAGAAAGTAATAGTGAGAAGGCTGAAAATATGAGAAAGAGTAAGAATGTTGATGGTTATAAATCTGATTCTTCTGCTGGGGTAAAGTCATCTGAGAGTGATGTGGATGTAGAGGTGAATGTTACAGATAATAGCTCCACATGTAGCGAGAACTCTGATGATGATAATAAGCCAACAGTTGCGAGTCGTTTAATTGAGGCCAATGAACGATTGCAATCTCAGAATTCAATAGCAATGGAGGATTCACAGAGAAGGGAATCACAGGATTCGCTTACTGTGAACAAGGTTAAAGATGTAGGGCATGGAAATATAGTTAAAAACAACATCCCCTCCAACCCAATTAATGTTAAAATATCTGCTAAAAATCCTCCAGTTGATGAAGGTATGGAACATGTTGATAGCAGTAACAGTGAAACTGTGAACAAAAATGGCACAAGTATTGCCAAGACTGCTCATTATATCAATGATAAAGGTGCTGATGCCATCAAGGATTGTGGTAGCAATGACAAGTTGAACATTGTGTGTGAATCTGATCCACCCAAGGTTAAAACATCAGGGGGACGTGAGACCATATTGCCAAAAGAGAAAGTTGATGACGTGGATGATGGGTCATTATCACCTAGAGCTACACCAACAAATGGTAAGTCAACTACATGAATATCATTCTCGTAATTTCACCAGCATTGAATCATTGATGCAAATAGGCTCAATATTTTGAAAATAGGCTTGCACCAATGAACTTGAAAACTTGTTTGCATTCACTTAAAAATGAAAAAATTGTGAAAATTTGGCATATTGATCAATTGAGCTGAGAAGGGTAAATCCTTTGGAGAAAATGTTACACATCCTCCATATTCAATCTTTTATTTAAGTGAGATGTAGATGAATATTTGCATAACATATTCTTTTTTACATAGCTGAGCTGGCAGGGAAACAATTGAAAATTTTTAAATATCATGTTCACCCTCCTTGAGTTTGTAATAATATATAATTTGCAAACATTTGCAAGAAATGTCAGATTAATTGTCAGCAACCTCAAAAATTGTTTCATTTTTGAAACCTTATCTTTACACTAGAAGTCCCAAACAATTGTGCATGAATTTAACGCTAAAACTGACAGATATATTGAATGGGCTTGTTTGATGCTTTTAAAAATCTATAGAATGCTTGGCAATAGAAGGATTGATCATTGAGTGGAATTCCTCCCTTGAAACAAAAATTAAGCGAGAGGGGACAACCTTTTTTCATAAAATTATTTTGTAAACTTTATTTTCTCTTCATGTTTTTTTTTTGTCTTAAATTCAAGCAATTTTATGTTTTATTTCTGCATTTATTCATTTTTCAGATAATAAAATTCAGGCATTTCTGGTTCTTAAATCTTAAAATGACTTTCCCATTTCCCCATAATAGTCATGAATTCCTTTTATATCTTTGGATTAAGAGCATACTGTTTAGACTTTGACATTGCAACAGCAACCCTTCCATTGTTTTGCTTCACAGTGACAATTTTTTGTATTTATGAACTCATAAAAATATGATTTATCAACAGAAGTAAAACTAAAAGGAAATGTAATATCTGGTTTAAGAAAAAATGTATCAGCTAAAAAACTACTCAGGTTACAATATTTGCAATTGCAAGTGTAGCGGTTATAATACAATTAATTTTAGCTGGCGACATTTCAGAGAAAGCAGCTTGGGTAGATATTGGTTTTAGGCTTTTACATATGTACATTTGCATATTATATTAGTGTATACTTTATAATAGTTATTGTGTTTTTCTAATATCACGGAGACCATTTCACCTCTCATTTATTTGTTTTCACAAAATGCAATATGAGTAAACATCATCTTATTTCAAATGAAAGGGTAAAAATAGCAACTTCAATAATGAGAAAAAAATTATTTGTTAACTAAATAAAAGAAAACATTCAAACATATGTTTGTCTTGACATTATAAACAGATATGAATCACTATATTTACACCATCATTTCAAGCATTAAAAAACGAATAATACTTCTGTTAAAAAAATTAAAAGAACATTTGCTTTTGCTATCCTTCCTTCTGGAAACCACAATTCAGATGTATGTGTGATCTACTTGGACACTATGTTCCACTGTTAGGTATTGTAAAGCAGTGAAAAGATAATAACATGCCGTTTATGGTCTTTTCTCTGTGAAACAATTGCTTTTCATCCTAATGTTGCTATGGTAACAAATCATAAAAGACATCAAGTGTCAAATACAGTTTTAAACTGGCTTACTACCTGTACTATAAAACATCAGTTTTAAATAAATGCCAAATCTTGTTTTTGATCAACTCCTCCACATATTTATACGGAAATGACATGCAATGCAACTGTCAGTGCTGAAACAATATTTTATATCAGAGATGATATTTTCTTTATGTGATGTCATGCCACAATATACAAGATCATGTGCTGATATCATTGATTATTGTTTGGGTTCAGTTGATTTATATTACCCTGTCAGCCATCTACATCTAGAATAACAATCTTATAATATACAAGCTACATTACTTTGCTGATTCATGCTGTTATTTGTAAAATGAGATGAAAAAGAAGAAAATAATCAAAGAAGCTATGATGCTATGTAACTGCTAATCATTAATGGTCGTAAAACTGAGGACAAAAATTCTTGAGAAACATGGCGAGGGATGCGAATAAGGCCATTACAGCTAAATGTGAATCACTGTAAACAACTACTTGTAAGCCATCTTTCTTTATTAAAGGCAATTAAATGGTAGGAATCTCAAATAATCAGCTGACAAAATAGAATAAAATGTGTTGTTTTATTTTCAATTAAGCCTTTCGTGATTCACTCTTTACACACTACTATACCTAACACCTAGAAATGCATAAGATACTTTGTTTGTCTAATTGGATTGTTTAGTATATTTTTGAAAGTACCTTATTAACATCTAACTTTCAACCGATAAACCATTCATAAGGAACAGACAAATAAAAACAAATACATAATCATTACTAATAAGCCAAATGGGTTGCTCATGAAAGCCAAATGCAAGGTATAGTAGAGTGCTTTAATCACCAAGGTACGAAAATATGTACTTCAAAATGGGCCTCAAATAAGCCCTCACAATGGACAAAATTTGAATGGTCAATATTTTTCAACAATACATTTCGCATAGCTATTTGCATGACCTGAAAGTTCTAAATCAAACTAATTGCACAATTTTGTTTTACACCCACACGCTAAATAAAACAATGACACCATCAGAACTATTGTTCTTTGTCATTGCTTTAATGGTCAGTATACCGAGTATAATCAAGAAAAGCTTTTACAATGAACAATAAAATTTGGAAAGGAGTATATAGATTTGCTTCCGGACACTGAGCTGATTGACTGAGATAATAGCTACGCGTCTCCTTTCGTCAACTGCTCAGTTGTTTGTAGATTTTCAAAGTAACTAATAAATGCAATTTGAAGATGAGTACTTTAATTCTGTTGTTGCATCGATGTTGCAGTTTGGAGTGCGGTAAGATTGGAATGAAAGTGTTGAAAGTCGAATGAAATTATTTTTTCCAATATGACGACTGGTCAACTGATCACGTGACCCTTTCTTCTGGAATATTTTCTCACTTTTCAATCATCGTTTCCACCACGCTATGAATCAAAACAATGAAAAAATATCTGTTATATTAAGATTAATAGGAGATCAATCATTTCTGACAATTTTTTCTGTACTCCCTTACAGGGATATGAATGAATGTATCGATTGAAAAATAGGTGTGAAAATCCCAGGTATTTGAAATCAAGGAAGTATGAATTGGTTCCTTCGCGAACTGCATCATTGGAAATATTCTGACCTTATAAGGGAAATCTTTTGCGTCTCCTCTTTTGAAGAAGGAACAACGAATAGGACAATTATAACACCAGTGGAGTCTGAACCTAAACTACAATATCATCTAAGAATCTATTTCAGTAATAAAAGCAGTGGACTCTGAAGCTAAAATACATTATCATAAAATGGAATAAAATATATTGTTCTATTTTCAGTTGCAACAGCAGTTGATTCTAAAGCAGTTGTAACAATGAGTGGTGCTTCAACCCTGCTGATGCCCCAGTACCAGGCGATGTACTCCTACACCCAGGAGAACAAAGAGGGGCCACTAGAAGGACGCAGGGTACATGCCCCCCTCTACACCCCTGAGGTGGGCACCCTCCCTAGCCCAGTGCTCTCTACACCTACTCTCTCACAGTCGCAATCAAAGTCCCGGGATGAGAGAAAATATCGAGTCTACTCACCCAGCCAATCAGATAGTTGCAGTATGAGCAGCCAGGGCTCACCTCAGAGTGCCCAGAATGCTGCCTCTCCCACAGTCAATACTAAGGGACACTTCAAGAGAACACCCAGTGATTCTTATAAACTCGCCTCTCCCCCATCAAGTGTTCACAATATGCCAATTACAGACTCAAAACTTGATGCAAAGGCTGGTCGTGAACTGAAGCCTCTGTCTATTGCAACTGGAGGCCATTTAGGGCCAGGTTCCAACCATGCTAGCCCCTCCACCCCACACATGCCCTATAGGGACATTGCACAAGATCCTGGAAAACCACCTGGATCAGCAAAGTTTTTAGAAACTAGCTACACTGGTTTCTCACCAGGTTCTAAGACTGTGGTGACAACGGCCCTCCCTCTGGATGCCAGGCGCCTGCTTTACCAAATGGGTCAGTCCCATGCCCTTGCGGCACATGGCTACCTCTCCCCTTATGAGGGCCTCTCTCCTAGACTGATGACTGAGGAGCAGAGGAAGAGATTGGCTGAAACTAACTGGTATTTGAATTCTCCACCACTCCCAATTCCACATTCGGCAGGTTCAGATGGTGTAGTGGATCTCTCTACTAAGGCAACTAAGCCTGAGTCATCAGTGTCTAAAGCAGCAACAATGATTTCAACTACAACCACAACAACAGGGACATCACATACACCTAAGTCAACTGCAAGAGCAACACCAATTGTCAAAAAGCAGGAGGAGAAACGACCTATCAAAAGAGAATCAAGGAGTAGCGATGGGAAAAAACCAGAAGATATTCTCACAACTTCAGGCAGTGGAAGTATTCCAGTTGGAATAGCAGTCGCCAGGCAAAGACAGCAAACAAAGACAGGTATTACTATCCTCCAATCAGTTTAGTTATGTTATTTATTTATTTCCAAAATTAAAAGTATAGAAATACAAATTAAAGTGGATGACACCCTATTGGGCATATTATCCACACAGTTTGAAAATTAGCAAATAAAAATGTGTTAATAATATCTCTGATTCAGCACACCGCCCCCCCCCCCCCCCTTCATCCACCAGCATGATTTAACAATATATAAAGTTAACTGAGTTGCCAGTTAATGTCACAGAGCAAAATATGCAGAGAAAGCGTTTAATGCATATAAGATACATATATGTTAGGCTTGCCAATTAAAGGATGACTGAAGAATTTATTTGAGATCATTGAGATTGATATGAAGTAGGCAAACTAACAATTATATTGACAAATTGTATACATGCTGTAATTGTTTCATCATTTTATGTAATGTGCATAGAACTATACTTGTTTAACGATACATGTAGTCAGATAAAGTAAGAGATAGTTATACGGTTTTCCCACTTTGTTTTCAGAGAAGGATAACGGTCGAGTAGAAGGGGAGCATTCCCTGTCTGGTCTCAGCTCTAGACGAGGATCACGTGACCAGTCACATGACCATGGCTCCCACAGAGATCGGACAGAACATCATAGGTGAGCAGAACTAGAATGAAACTTGCTAGGCTTCTTTGTCATTTGACTCCAAAATGTTTACCTATATTCTGTTAATTTATTTCATGATGATTAAATAGATAGGCCCGCAAATAGCCCAAATTTTATGCTCAAAAGAGGCTGATTAATGCACAAAATGGTACAGGTACAGACTGGCTCAGAAATTAATTTTGTTTTAAAAATTATCCCTCTGATGCTTTGACATGTAGATACAACAATTTAAAATGAAGACAATACAATACAATGATAACATAAAAAAGCCAGTTCGGTGCAATGTAAGGCAATACAATACAATAGTAGTACAATACAAGGCAATGCAAATAATTCATATTGTTATAAAACAGCCATTACTTATAATACAATATTGAATGCAATATTATACTATTATCCAGAGATCAGAAGGAGTTACTGACCCCCACTAGCAGGAGTAGCAGTAGCAGCCTTACTGCAGACCTCAGTTCTAACCTCATTGTCACTGGTATGAACTTGCTATTATTATTGTTATACAATATATTACAATACAACATTGATTTCATTTGCAAAAATAATTAATTATTTAAATCCATTACTCTTTGAATATCGTATGTAAGGGAAGAACTCTATATCTGAATTATAACTTGACTAGGCCATCTTATTAATGCGGTAAAGCTGGTGGAATCAGTTGATAATTTGGCTGGAATTCCAACTCAGATAATGAATTGATATTGGAGAAGTAATGAGATTGATCAGTGTTAGACAGGGTCACAAAAGGAGAAAAACAACTGTATTTGACACGAATTACTTCCAGGTGGTAGCACTACATCAGCCCCACAATGGCCACCAGGGAGCTCTGACAGTGCTGATATACGCCCTAGTTTGATTCCATCATTTTATCCTGGGGCAGGTGCTCAGTCTCTCCTCCACCCAGCTTTGCTGCCCCAGTATGGCAGTCCTAGTACAGCACAAGGTGTTGATCCCACAACAAGGTTACCATTTACTCCACCTGGTGGATTTAAACTTGCCCAGGATCCAATGACAGGGCAGATATTCTTCATTCCTACAAATATAGGTATGGAAATTAAACTAAAAGTATCTTTTTCTCACAGAATATTGATTCAATAAAATTGATGTTAAATGCAAACTGAAGGTAATTTATTGCCAACCATAAATGTATTTTGTTATGCCTGAAATAGAGTGTGTAGGCATAACTGACATGATTGATGATGATCTGATGTTGCATTCCAATCCACAGTATTGCTTTGTACGCTTGGTCCAACAGGGCTTGTTGATATTTCATTTCATTGTCAAATCAAATTCAGATTGAGTTGTAAAAAGACATACCAGTATGCAATATTGATATTGGATAAGAAACAGCTGTGACGTGTTGTGTATATATATACATAGTACTATAATAAAAAAAATTAAAATAATTTCATGAAATCTTAGGATTGACCAGTGAGTGGAAGTGTGGAAGAGTTCACATGTTGATATAAAACTGAGATCCTCATTAATTTGTAGAGGTGTCATGGGTCAGATATTCTTTGGGTCAGGTTGGGTTAGAAAAAAGGGTGCAGGTCGAGTCATAAGAAAACAGAAAAATGAATTTAGTACTAGCAACTGAAATGACTGGCTGAATACATTACTGCATTATTGTTGCTTTGATAAAGGAGAAACGATACAAACTGTAAATTATTTTCTGTTCTTAATTTATACGTATTCAAGAAATAGATAGCTAGAAGTTTTTGCTGGGAATATAAAGCATTTTACGATAATTTACAAATTCCTGGTTGTTCTGACCCGACCCAAAATTGGTAAGTAGTTGTTTGTGACCTGACCCAAGCCTTCCAACCCGAATCTCGGGTAGATTCGGTGTGACACCTCTTCTCATTTGCTGCCAGTACACAGCTCAACCCTTCACAGTGACTAAATCTAATACTTCTTACTATTTGGTGTTGAATTTTGCAGAAAGCTTAGATGCTAGTAGGATGTGGCCATACAGTACAGCACCAGGCCTGCAGCAGCAGTACATGGTGCAGCACCAACAGAATGCGTTACAGCACCAGGAACAGCAGAGGAACTTAGAGTTTGTACTTGCCATGCAACAACACTATCAGAGGATCCAGCACCAACAACAAGCTGCACATGTGAGTCAACTAAGCTAATAACTGCATGATTGGCAAAAAATGCATGTTTTTTAACTCTTTATCAGTCTGCTATCGGAAAAACTTACAAAATTGTCCTCTCTTTCATTTGGTTTCTGCTTTGTAATCAATTCAAAACCCACATTATCAAAGTAGAATGATCCAGAATGTTCTGAATATGCTTCGAGGCATAGGTGCAAGTTCGATATAAATTGTTTTCAAATATAAAATTGAATAATTTGCATAAAACACTCTGATTCAGATATATTTTATATTTGTAAATGACAGCAACTAATGGTTACTTCCAGGACCTGAATGTAAAACAAGAGGTAAAGGACACTGTTACAACATCCCAGCACAACTCTACAACAACAGCACGCAGTATAACTACAACAACACAACAAACTACAACATCAACTACAAATTCTAAATCTGTAGCCACATCAATGATTCCAAAAACTGTAAAACAGGAGCTACCTATCCCAGCTGTTGTATCACTTGCGCAGCAGCCCCCTGCTGCGCCATTCCTTCCACCAATCCCCCTCCCTGGACATTCATATCCATTTCCCTATCCACCCTCAAACATTCCATATCTGGCATTTGACCCTGATATAATGCCACCTATCCCAGGGCTGAAACCACCAACTAAATTACCTGAAACGCCATCTGTCAAATGCGAATCTGGTCTTCAAAGTCGTGGCACTTCTCCTATATCAGTTGCAACCACTTCTGCAACTAGCAAAATGACTGTGGCAGGAAAAATATCTCCAATCAAAGAAAAAGTAAAAACTGAATTAGATGTGGGCTCTAAGACTGAGGAGGATAATGTTGTTAATGCAGTAGTGGGCTCTACAAAATCTGAAGTTATTCAGGATGTTAAGCCTAAAGTTGATGTGCAATCTCATGTTGAGGAAACCCCTGCTTCAGTCAGTGACACTGTAGAGGAACAGATTAATGGTGGTAATGAAAATGTAGAAAAGGTGAATGAAATTGAAACTGCTGAAAGAGATGACAGTGCGAGTCTTCATAGCAAAGTTAATCAAAATGATGTAGAAACCACAAAGGATATTGATGATGACACTATCAAAAGTGCACACATGTTATTGGATATTCAAAAAACCAGTGAGTTTAATCGACAGATTTCCAGAGACAGTTGTGGAGAAAAGTCCCATAATCTAGTAGACAATATGAATGATTTTTCACACAGACATTCCATTAAAGCAGATTCATCAACTCTGCTCACTCCAGTCTCAGTGAAAACGGAAGAAATGACTTCTCCTGGGAGCATGATATCTCCAGAAATCAGTGGCCTTGACAACCAGTTTATGGATGCAGCAGATGGCCTTGAGCTCCTCAGCGCCCTCTGTGAGAAAAGATCTGCCGAGTCTGAATCACCACAGAAATCCAAGATGACAGAAACAAATCAAGCAAAAAGGATCAAACTGCCGAGGAAGTTGTCAAAGCCCATCACCAGCTTTCTGAAAAAGGAATCATTTGGTCAGTACTCCCCAACAGTCCGGTGTCAGTCAGGTACCTTCACTACTATACTCTGCATGCATTTTATCTAGTGTATTTATTGTATCATGCATGCCCTGTTGTGATTGTAGTACCTTTAGTACCTATTGTACCTGCCATGTCACCTTGTGTTTATTGTACCATTCCCCTATTGTACATTTGTATTGTGCCAAGTTTGTTATCCCAACTAACAAAGTTCGGTATGGATATAGTGAAGCCCTCTGTCCGTCAGTCAGTTTGTCCATTTGTCTTCATGTTTCGTGAAAAGACGTAAATTGGTAAATAGTTGTATGTGAAAGATGGCCCTTGCTTTGAAACTGGCTGGAATTTTTCATTTCTAACAAAACTAATGAGTATTAGTCTTTATTATAGTCTTAATTATATCTGTTCTTGCATTCCATGTTTTTTGGCAAGACCCCTAGGGCCTGAGTATGAGGGTCAGGAAAACAGGAATTTTTGTTAATTTTGAGATCTCTGATCTGAATAGAAGTAATTCCTTTATTGTTCTTAAATGAAAGGCAATTTAGAGTAGATTGCAAATATTTTATTGTTTTTCAAAGACTCTGAAAATTCTTAATGTCTGCCTAATGTGGGATTTTGCTGTAATTTCTTGATCTCTTCAAAGTATGGCTTTATTATACTCAAATTGAAGGAATTTGAGAGTATAGATCACAATTATGCCATTGTTTTTTCTGATTTGTGCCTCAGAAAATTCAAAATGGGCGCCTAAAGTGGGAATTGCTATAATTTAGAGACCTCATCAAAGTACACATGTAGGGTTACATTTTATATTAGATCAAATATGTTGTATTGTCTTTATGATTTGTGCCTTTGATACACCTAAATGGCGACCTCCAACGTTCATATTTTATTATCGACAGATCAAGGATAGAGTAGATGGTAAATATTGTATCCGACACACAGATTAATATTTTGTTCGCTGGGATTTGCTACTCCGAGGAGATGCCATTTTCTAGTTGCACGTAGCATGTAGCATAACATTTGCTGTCATGTGATGCTTCTTATTATGTAATGTTGATAACAATTTATCAATTTATACCATTTATAATCGACATTCTTTAGATTTGTTAAAATAAGCTAAATGTTTATACTATTTAACATGCATTAGTTATCCCACCGAACGAAGTTCGAGAGGGATATAGGAAAGCCGTCTGTAAAGTAAGAAGACAATGAAAGAAGAATCTAATGCAGCAACAACAAATGACGTCCGTCCGTTCGTCCGTCTGTCCGTCCGTCTGTTTGTTGCGGGCGATAACTCAAATACCGTTTCACGGATTTGATTCAAATTTTATAGGCTTATGCCTTATGGGTGTAGGACCTCTGCTCGAGAAGGAATTTTCAATATGGCCACTGAATTCAAAATGGCCGCCTTTTTTTGTAAAAAATGTAATCTTTAATAACTCAAATACTAGTTTGCGGATTTGGTTCAAATTTTATATGCTGATGCCTAGGGACACAGTAGATATGTTCGAGTAAAAATTTTCAAGATGGCGGCTAACTTAATATTTGATAACTCAAATACCAGTGAACGGATTTGGTTCAAATTGTATATGATGATGCCAATGACACAGTAGATCTGTTTGAGTTACAATTTTCAAGATGGCCACTGAATTTCAAAATGGCGGCCATTTTTCGTAAAAAAACATAATCTCTGGTAACTCAAATACCAGTGAACAGATTTGGCTCATTTTTTATATGATGATGCCTAGGGGCAAAGGAAATCTGTCTGAGAAAGAATTTTCAAGATTGCGGCTGAATTTCAAAATGGACGCCATTTTTCGTAAAAAACTTAATCTTTGATAACTCAAATACCAGTGAACAGATTTGGCTCATTTTTTAGATGATGATTCCTAGGGACACAGTAGATCTGTTCGAGAAAATTTTTTCAAGATGGCGGCTGAATTTCAAAATGGTAGCCATTTTTCATAAGAAAAAACGTAATCTTTGATAAGTCAAATACCAGTGAACAGATTTGGTTCAAATTTTATATTCTGATGCCTAGAAACACAGTAGCTCTATTCAAGAAAATTTTTTTAAGATGGCGGCTGATCTTTAGAATGGCTGCCATTTTTCATTTTCGTAATCTTTGGTAACTCAACTGCCGTTCGGTGGGATTTGCTACTCCGTGGAGTTGCTGTTTTTCTAGTTAGCATATGATATGAATACTGTATGAAATGATTTAAGATTAGTCTGTATTAAACAAAATCCATCCCTTGACTTAAATCTCACATCTCAAATTATTTTTAAAGATGAAAAATTCTAACCACAGTGGGTCATAATGATTTTTGCTTATTTCTTTCCATAGAAGGTTCCGAGGGAATGGATGCCATGGAGCTTGAAATGAGAATGAGGCTAGCAGAACTTCAGAAGCGATATAAGGAAAAACAACGTCAACTGTCCAAATTGAACTCAATCAAAAATCGAAGAGAATCCAGGTAAATATGAAGCAATCTGCAGTTTTTCTTATCAAGCCACCACCTCAAGTGGGGACATATTGTTATAGTCTCCAACTTTTTTTGTTGATTGTGTTTGCCATTTGGCGGTTGGTGATGCTTTAACCAATGGCAGGTGGGGACATTTTGCATGTTAATGAAATGTTAGCTTTATTGCCCACATGAACTTATGTAAGACAGCTAATTGGGTGAAATTAAAGTGAACAATGAATTACAAAAACTCAATGAGAAATGATAATTGCATTATATACATATATTTCCAGTGACAAGGAATCCAAGAGAGGTCAAAGTAGAGGGCCTGGTAGACCTAAAAAACGACCATTTTACTCCATCTCTACTAAGAAATCCAAGCTGGAAAAACCCAAGGACTCTAATGTCCAACTAGATCAGGTAATACATAAATAACCCACTCACATATATAAGGATGGAATAAGCAAAAAATCTGTTGGCTGTTTAAGCCTTACTATGCAGTTAAATGTCATTTATATTTAAAAAAAGATAACAAATTGATTTTGTTTTGCAATATTTCGATTTATTCTTTAAATCTTTTTTTTTTTTTTTTGCTTGAAAAAGATTTAAAGAATAAATCGAAATATTGCAAAACAAAATCAATTTGTTAATTTAACATAAAAACAACTACTTTTTAAAAAAAGATAAATATACAATGTAGAACTATATATACTCAACCCATATTTTAGAAAGGGAAACTGAAGCATGATACTCCCAGGAAAACTAACCAATCCAAAGATACAACAATGAGTAAGTCCAAAAAGAGGCCTACAAACACAAAGGTCAAGAGTACAAAGCTAATTCAGAAGAGAAAATGGGAAAGTTCAGACTCTGCTTCTTCATCAGATTCAGAAGTTGGTAAGTGGCCTTTTTGAAACCTTGTTGGGCACAATATTTTGAACTAACGTAATCCAAATGAACCTTTATTTGGTTGGATTTTGACTAGATTCAGTCATTAGTTGAACTACTTAATGAAAAGTGCTATATTATTACCACTAAAATCTGATTCCGGATTAACCTACTATTTTATCACCAACTCGTTTAAATAAAAATGGAATAGTGGCAGGTGTTTAAATGAGTTACCCATAAAATAGTGGGTTAATCCGGTAGCCAACAGTCTAACGTTGCATTGATGAATACAAGCTAAACTTTGACTCATCTGTTTTTCAGAAGATGTCAGATTCTTATTTGATGATGATGAAGTTGAGGGCCCTCCTAAGAAGAAGACCCCTTCTAAGCCAAAGAAGCCTAAGTTGACAGAGGAGAAAACAAAAGGTAATGATCAAGAAAAGTCAGTAGCAGTAGTGATTGAGGAATCTTTACCATAGACACAATACACTGCATCTTTGTATGATCAAAATGTCTGCACTCACAGGGCCAATCAAAGTTAAATACTTTTGTTCAATATACATGTTCCCTCCTTAAGAAGATCAAGACTAGTTTTCTGAAATTTTTGTAAGTGTAAGGTTTGCATTTTCACTAGTCCTAATATTTTTAGAAGTCTTCTTGTAAATGTGGTAAAAAGAATTAAAACAGAAAAATTATATCTTTCGGAGTGTAGGAATTTCGTGAATTGCAAACTACACATTTATTAGTTTTAATATTGTCTTTGATATATCCTTTCAAATGTATATTTAACGCAGACCTTCTTATTCTATCAGTTTCTTTAAATGCTTTATGTTGGTAAATCATGCAGAGAACTATTATTCTCTGAATAAAGGGGACCTTTGATGTCACTTCTTAAGCTGATGGCAAAATATCTGAGTATGACACATAAATCAACATGTATGTTTATTATATTAAGAAAAGTAGCATGCTGAAATTATTTTATTTATTGTTTTTTGATCATTTCCCTTTCACCTCCCTTACAAATTCTGCCACTTAACAGTAGGTTAAACGATTAATTAACTTTGAATGGCCTAAAGTGATCAAATGCTTTTCAGCCAATGACAAAGTGTCTACTCCCCAATCCAAGACCACTTCAACTAGTAGTGAGAAACAGAAGCCCATGTTGAGTAACAGTGACAAGCGCAAGCCAGGCAGGCCAAAGAAACTGACTTCTGAGCAGGGAGACTCAGGTAATCAGCAAGTTTACTTTATCATAGAGTAACAGTAATAATGCATACATCAGAGTACTGTTCATGGTTCATTTAAATAACCATGGACTATTCAAGAAATATCAGACAAAGCTGTTAGCCATTTGACTACTTGAAGCACATACATGTATGTGTACAATGTTTTCTTATGTCTCATATACCATGTACAATATTTTGGGCGGTTAATAATTTTAAATAATAATATAAGATTAGAAGATGGATATACTTTTTTTTCATATTTTTTTATTTCCTTTTATAACTCGTATTATAGATGTTATGCAATATAATATTACCTTATATTCAACTCTCACTTCTTAACGTGTAATTGTGATAATTAAAACATTTTATCACAAGTGTCTGGTGAATATATACAGTGGTACTACTTTCTAATACAGAGTGGGTGAAAAATGATTACACTCCTTACACCTATTAACGTTGATATCCTAAGATAAAGATGCACTGTGGAAAACATTTTCTTCACCCTGTACTTGCTTTCTCTGTCTACAGGGTAAGCCAAAAAAGGTAACCCAAACAAATCTTAATAACCCAGTCATCTGGTATGGGTTTAAGTAATATTTGGCACAATTGAACCTTGTTCGATGTTCTTTTATTCCACCGAGTTTCATTGGTCTATTCCAAATGGTGAAGATTTTTATGACCATTTTACAAAACGTGGTCAAAATGCCGATCTTGTATTCGGAGGCAAACTTGAACGCATTAGGGGAAGTTTTCTGATTACACTCTTACAGATATATTGTGTAATGGCTCTCATTAGCTCACATGGTGAGCTTTTGCAATCACTCACTTGTTTTCCATCTAGTTTCTTGTTTCAACTCTGATGATGCCTCCAGGCTGTTAGTTTACACATTATCTTTGAAATGGCCCCAATGTCTTCCGGGGGTTCATATTTGGTGATTTTGGTAGTTTTGGCATTAGAAGCGTGTTTTGTAAAATGGCCATAATATTTTGACCATTTGATAAGACCAATGCATATTACTAGAATGAAAGAACATTGAACAGGGTTCAGTTGTACCAAATATGACTTAAAACCCAAACCAGATGATTGAGTTAAGAATTATTTTGGTTACCTTTTTTGGCTCACCCTGTATATTACAATGAATATATATAATGAAAAACAATCATATTTTTAGAAAGCGATAATGGAAAGAAGGAAAGTAATAACTGGGACGATAAAAACACATCTGATACCAACACTTCACCTGAACAGGTAGGCTACCCTAACCCATGAATATTCTTATCGCAATGTATTGGAATTTAATTGAATTCGAAAACTCAAAAACTCTTACTTTTTATATTAGGAAATAATACCATTCCAAAATTATTATTTTGAAATTGATTTTGATAAATCAGTTACAATCAATTTCAAAAAAATGCATCTGGGATATTTTCTTATTTTAGGCTAAAGTTGCAACCCACATTCCACTAAATGAGGAATGGATGAGACGGAGAAGTGAGCGTATTTTCCTAAGTGACGCCTCCACCCCCCAGATTTCACCCCCTAAAATGTACAACAGTGCCATGGGGGCAGCACTTGCACAGAAAAATTCACGATCACCTGCATGGAAGATAAAAACTACAAGCAGTCGAGTGAAAGGCGTACAAGAAATGACAAAAAAACTTAAGAAAAAATATTCCAAACAGAAAGTAGAGAGGGACAGGAACTCTAGCAAAGGGGTACGTTAGCTGCAGAATATACTTGAAACAAAATGTACTTCATAACTTCACTCTCTAAGGTGCAATAATAATGTTTTATATGAGTAATTTTAATATCATTAAAAAGTTTATATTCTCAAATATTTCCTTTTTACAAATACATGTATCGGAGGATTTAATGCTCGTAAACCCAAGGTGGATTGGCTCCCAGGTATGCAACTCAATATTTTGTAACAGTGAAAATGTCAGAATGTCGTTATTTTCTGACATTAAAACTGACTATCAATTCATAATAATAAGTCCTCTAGAGATTCGAGTCGAACTAATATCTGGATCCCTTCTTGTGTGTTTTGGAATTTTTTGTTTGAAAATTCAAATTCTGAAGTGAACAAAATGGCGTCTGTTTGAATTTTGTAATCACAACATCTCCATATATGGCAGAATATCAAGTTGGAACACTAGGAGCCAATCCTCCTAGTCATAAACCAGTGTAAGTAGCAAGTGTAGCAGTAATTCTTCACTAAGCGTTATTTCTCTGTACAGAGTAGCGTGGGTAGCAAGTGTAGCAGTAAGAAGTCTGTGAGCAAAGTGTCCGTGTCATTGGACGCAGACTCCTCCAGTAGTGATGATTTACCTCTCAGCTCCCTCAGGAACAGACCTCCAGTACAAGGTAACACAGTTTCATCTCAAATTCGGTAATCTCAAATTCTGAAAAGGTGTGGAAGATTGAAGTTCATTTTTGTAAAAGGAAAGGGGTATATCAAAATTTCTTTTGTGAAATGACAAATTCAAGTTAATGCAAATCATCATTTCATTTTTCATTAGATAGGTAAGGGGTTAACCATAATGAAATTAACATTTAATTTTCAATAATAATTCGATTAGTTCAGTCATGGAAATTGAAGATTTGTGAAAATTAAAGTGACTTTGATGGACTTATATTGTGTACTTATAATGTATATGTCATAGCAGAATGTCACCACAATGCATTTGTGTTCATTAGAGCTACGGTCATGCATAATCCAGAAGGATGAACTCCGAGATTGTCTAAGTGTGTTGCACTTTGAAGATGGCTTATTCTATGAGGGTCGTGTGAGGGCCATTGAGCCCCCTGATGTCTATGGGATTGTTATCAGTGGGGAGAGGGGAGGCAGACCACATGTTATGTCACAGGAGGAACTACTCAGAGTTGCTGTATGTATATCTAACTTAATGTAAATTCAAACATACATTTTCAAATTGAGTATCATACAGGATGTGATTCACATCACTAAACTCCTTTGTGTAAATATAATATTTGATTGTCATGTTTTGAGATAAGAGATAAGATAAGAGTACATAAAATAGATGTAAAATTGATATATGCTACCATTGATATATGTAATGTCATTGATAAAGTGGTACCTTGTGTTTAGATCATGGATGTGAAGCCCACACACAGGAGTCAGCTACCAGAGGGGAGAAGAGTGTGTGCCTACTGGAGTCAGCAGTTTAGTTGTCTTTACCCGGGGACAGTAGCGAAATGTAAGTCAGCGTCATAAGTTCACTTAATTTTGGAAAGCCCCTTCCTATCACATTTGCAAAACTGTATGTTTTCATTATCAAGTTGTACTATATGACCAATTTAATGCAGTTTATTTACCAAAACTCACAGAATATGATATAAAGATAAATGAAAATATAAGTCACAAAGTATTTTTAATGTTAATATTAAATGTAAATCCTTGGGACAGGAGAAAGCCAATCCCTTAATTGATAAATCACATGTGACAGTGTTATAATTTGCAATATGTTGCATTACAGTGAGCCCAAATCCTCATGCCAAGAAGAACTTGATCCCAGTGGAGTTTGATGATGGAGACTCTGGTAGAATTCCTATTGCACACATCAGAATGTTGCCTCAAGACATGCCTATTGTTTGTAAGTACTCTGCAATTAAGGCAAGCCTGGTGGGATGATTTTTAGACTTGTTTGTGCATGATGTCAGTGTGCAATCCTAAAATTAAGTCCTCTTGCTTGGGCCATCTTATTAAATGATATTTCTTTAGGATTGGTATTTTTGTACCTCAGTCTAAATACTTCAATCTGGATTTAAGTACAGAGGAGAAATATGATTTACTTGATTTGTTTGTGGATTAGAGTATACCTTCCCCTCCTTCCTTAGTTTTAGTTTCCATTTTGTGTTTTCAATTTGGTTCATTCATATCATATTCATTCATATATTTGAGGTCAGCAGTGTTAACAATCTCTACTTACATCAATCCCATAAGTCCACTTTATATAATATTCATTTACTTTGAACAAAGATCTCTCTTGTTGAACTGTATTCATTCTGAATTGTGTATGTCTCATTGTAAGCTGTTATAGCACATTTCCACTGTTGGCCTCAGCTTTAAAGTAAAACAACATACTCTCACTATTGCAGCTGAAAATCCTGACCCATTGGATATCATTGGGAAACGTCGTCGCCGAACAGCATCTGAAGACCTTCTGGCGGAGATCAAGGAGCGCAAACCATCTGTTTCAGATACACTCACCAGATACCAGGCTATAGAGGATAAACTACAGTATGAGAAGTCAAAACGAGGCCCAGGAAGACCCCCTAAACGTGCAAAAACAGATATGGACACCATTGATGAGAATGATTCAGAAGATGAGACAAATGATGATGTTTTTATGGAAGATAGAAGCAAAGTTGAATCTAAGGAAGAGAGACTATTTGGTGACAAATCAGAGTCTGACAGATTGTGGCCAAAGCCACATCGTAGGAAATCTAAGGATCAAAATAAGGCCAGAGACAGAAGCTCTGAAAGAAAACGACACATTCCACAGCCTGCTAAGTTTGTCTTTAATAGAGATAAAGATTTATTAGTAGGTGATGACCTATTGAAAAATTCTTCAGAATCTGATCCAACGAAATCCAATAATCACGATTCCATGTCCAAAATCCGAAATTCTGAACTTTCTGATGATGATTCTGATTCATCCGATTGTAGTTCAACTAGTTCTAGTTCATCATCCTCATTTGGGAGCTCATCAAGTTCAGATGATGACAGTGATAGTGATTGTTCTAGTGATAATAGACATAAGGTTACTATGAAAACCAATGAAATGTCAGACCAGCTTGATGAACCTCAACAAAAAAGCCCACAAAAAGACCAGTCTGAGTTAGTGGATTATAATGCAGGTGAGTTACTTCAACATTGAGTCAGTTATTACATTATGAAGGTGAGTTGCTTTAACATTATGCAGATGAGTTGCTCTTACATTATGCAGATGAGTTACTTTATATGCAAGTAGGTTGCTTCAACATTATGCAGGTGAGTTGGTTTAGAATTATAACTGAGTTACTTTAAATATTATGCAATTAAGTTATTTCAACATTATACGAGTGAGTTAGCCTACTTCAAGATTATGCAGGTGATTTACTTTAATATTGTGCAAGTAAATTGCAACATTTTGCAGGTCCGTAACTCCACATGAGTTGGTTTAAAATTATAAAGGTGAATTACTTTAACATGATGAAGGTGAATTGCTTTAATATTTTGCAGCCAAATTCTTAGTCATCATTGTTCACCCAATTTTAACTTTTATCATTTTGCAAATTTCTTAAAAATGTTTTTAGTTTGCTTTAAGTTCTTTAAATTTATGTTCCAGTACTTTTGTTTTCAATTTTGTTACTAGTTACTTCACCTCAGCTGTCTCATTTCATCATAATATTATGAAATCAGGGAATTCTCTTACTTGGAAATATTTTACATTCATTTGTCAATGTCATCTCATGACAGTCAGAATTGAGTATTTAGACTGAGGTACTTCAAGTTAACCTTTTAAAAGATGTGTTCTTAACGATCTCAACCTGTGTTTGTTCCAGTGTATAATGTAGAACAGAGACGCCTGTGGGAGTGGTTAGGTCCATGCACTAAACGTCCTGGTATGAAGGGCAAGGCCAAGAAGGAGTTTTACAAGTCCATAAAACGGGGGCCTGAGACACTGAATGTAGGAGACTGTGCAGTGTTTTTGTCTACTGGACGAGCACATCTTCCATATATAGGCAGAATTGAGGGATTCTGGGAAGGTTGGGGTGGCAATATGGTTGTGCGTGTAAAGTGGTTTTATCACCCTGAGGAAACCAAAGGAGGACGCAAGTTGTCAGATTTAGAGGTATTATACTCTTAGAAATAAAGCAATTCAAGCAGGAATTCTGCCCTAAAATTAGTACTGTCCCAAAGTATTGAAAATGAGAAATCTTTTGGAAAAAAGTGATTTGAGCAAACATGTTTTATTTGTCACAATCATGAAGCTATTGTAGCTACCATTTTAGTGCAAGGGTTCAGTGTTGGTGTTAACCATCAGTAACATTTTTTACACAAGGGTAATTGTATCCAAGTGGTAAATTTTTTCATGTTAATGCCTTGTTTTAGTTTAAATTGCAGAAGAACTGCAAAAATGATGTATCAAAATGTCTTCTCATTTTTAGGAACCAAATCTTTACATTGCACCATATTTGAGGAATGGCAGTTTTAAAGTGATTGTTTTCCTTAACATCTCTGTACTTAGATTCTATGAAAAGATAAGAATTTTTAGCATTGTATTTGTTTGTTCTTCCAGGGAGCTTTATATGAATCCCCTCATATGGATGAAAATGACATTCAGACAATATCCCACAAATGTGAAGTGTTGAAATTCAAACAGTATCAACTGCGCAAGAAGATCTGTGGACCTACTTGGGATAATACTGATGTTTACTACCTGGCAGGAAACTATGACCCAGCCCTGAGAATTATACAGACAGAGCCTGATGTATTCTAATACTACAGCTTATTAAGTAGTATTCTGTCAATTTTTAGATACATGAATACCGGATTAGTAGCACGTGTTAAGATACAGAATGTGACTGATGGGATTAATAGCGACATTGTAAATGACAGAATGTTCAGAAGAGCCATTGATGTAAGCCACGATCTACTTGATGATTTCAGTTTATAGAAAAGTCTCAAATCAGTGGTGGTATAGTTTGGTGTTGCTTGTGCCAAAAGATCTACTAGTATATATATATAACATTTGTAAGACAATGGAATGGCCTCACAGACAAGGAATGTAAATATTTCCAAAAATTAATATGAAAGGAATGAAGTAATTTATGCTCCAAGTAGAAATAAGCTTAATTTTCATTCTAAATAGGCTATTCGAAATTGAGTAAAAGTGAAAGTTTTATTGAAAGATTGTTGATCAACTTTGAAATTTTTGTTTTTGAAAATATGATTTCTAGGTCAATGTTATAAAATCACCAAAATTTAAATATCTTTTCTTTTACTGAACAGACGATCATTTCTTTTACTGAATATATTTTAAATAGTTCATTTATAAAGCTCAAATAAGTTGGATGAAAATTGATCCACCAATCATGTCTGCCATGTTGTGACCCCAATTAGCCACCTGGTGGTGAAACTGGCTGCTAGCACCTTGGTAATTAGATCAAATATTCAAAAACTATAATCTAAATAATATTCAATGATTCATTATGTACTCATGTGTATAGTCTGTACAGAAACTTACAAGAATGTTACTCTATGAAACTTCATTATAGAATTATGACTATAATGTTACATATTATTTTATTGTTGCTGTAAAATGAGGCCTCAATGCAAATACAACGGATGTAGTTTCATAGACATCAACACATTGCAGTATATATTGTACATAAATCATCTTAATACAATGTTTAATGTGTTCTTTACAGTTATACGAATTATTTGGAGATCACTTTAGTTCTATTTGAAACAGTTAAGAAGCTGATGTTTTAGGTGAAAAATATGCATCCATGTTGAATATGATTTGAAAATGTTGAATTGCAGCTTAAAGACAACCTGTGGATGGCATAAGTTTAAATCTTATTTTATTCAATTTTTAAATTGACAACCTCTCAACTCTAATAAGGAACTGTCTTGGTTGATTACACGAGATTCATTTTATGTTTCCATTTTAATATCCAAAACCTATTATATTGTTTTGTTAAAATGGGAAATTGATGATTTTACACTGTATTCATGAAATGGTATTTCAGTGGATATTTTATTTCTATGCCACAGTTTGCACATTTTTGAGTTTTAAGTTGATCAGAGATATATCCAGATAAATCATACTTTTATTCTTTTACAGGTATATGTTTTATTTTGTCATAGAATTGTACACATCTATTTTATTAAAAATAAAAAACATTGTACAAAGATAAAAAATGAATGTAAATCTTGACCCAGTGTTGACCAAATGTTGACTTCATGTAACATTCATCTGTTTATATTTTTACCAAGGAAAACTTATTAATAACAATGTCGAGTGAAGTAATGACTTAATGTACTTCCAGTCTCATACTATTGCATTGTGACACATTTATTACATTGTAATGTATATACAGTCCAATGCAGTAACATCTTGCACTTCTATTGTATTGTGGCACATATTTTGCATTGTAACATATGTGTATATACAGTCCAATGTTATCAATTGAGTGCAATGAAAATAACTCAAAATAACCATAGCCTCATGTATTTTTCATCTAATCCCATCTCCTTCCATTTAGCTAGAAATTATAGAATGCAACTACTTCAAAATTCCCATTTTTATGTATCCCTACGCTGCAAAAATAGTAAATGCATTAAAAACAATTTACAGACAGCAAAGAGAGTGTATTTTACAAGGGTTGAAAAAGTATTTACAGTATGTACAGTGTATTTTATTACTGTAAATATCATAGTTGGCATAAGATGCTGCAATGTAGATATGAAGGTATTATATATTAACAAAGACAACAATATTTATTGCCAAGAATATATCATATAAGGAGAACAACTCAAAGGCCTTAGTTTTGATTGTACCTGGCCAAAGCTAAATGCACTGTCACATACGAATCCATATTTTGCCAGCAAATGTAAGTCCATGTCAAGGGATTGGAGATATTATGGGCTCCATGTTTGAAATAAGTGTTGATTTGATATTTACATTGTGTTTAGTCTGGAGCCCATTACATTTGTGCAAGAACCCTTGTATGTTATATGTATATATGTAAATTTAAGAGAGACGACTAGAAATATAATGCTTAATTTGAGGAATACAAAAGTGAAAAAAATTGTTTCTTATCCCGAATCACGTATTTCTAACACTGCAATATATATGTTTTTGTTACGTCAAAGTGAATCATATGTCAAAAATTTACTGTTTTTACTCCATGACATTTCTCAGATGTCAAACAAACAAAAAATCAAACAAAAATAATTTTTATTTTCACCAACTACGGAGTGTCCCACAAGTAATGACTTTTTTTTACTTGATAAGGAAACCATATAAAATTGACATAAATTCAGGATCAAGGTGTAGGCTTTGTTTTGCTATGTATATCACATTTATCACTAAACACAACACTCTATTTATGGTTGCCATAGTTACCTATATGTGTTCTGCAGAGGGTTGGTATATAAAGTAGTCATTCGGGAGTATTGTTGAAGCTTTGACACTTCTGTGTTATGTAATAAATGCAATATAGCAAAATGAAGCTTACATCTTAATCTTTTATTTGTGTGAATTTCATATTGTTTACTTATCAAATAAACATTTTAGAGCATAATTATCATTACTTATGGGACACCCTGTAGATACACTGCTCTGTTGACATTATATGAAATACAAATGACTTGTTTTTGATAAAGATTATATATCAAATATATATATATTGGTAGCTTAAAAATATTTTAAACTCATATTTTCATGTTGTCAAGAAACAAATTGACTGAATATTGAAGTGATGAGTTCCACTACATGAACATTTTGTTTATAGTTGGTATGTAAAGAATTTCTTGTTGAAGGAGTGAGTCATAAACTATAATAATAATGTACATATCCCTTGTATATGTAAAATAAAGCTTCTATTTTATGAATCAATAAACATAATGATATTCTGTTATCAATCAATAAAGCCTATAACAGTTGGGTAATATACGATTGTTGACCTATCTTGAGGTTGACTGTTAAAATTATATTCTTATGGTTGAGGTTTACAGTGGGAGGATATAATTTTGACAGTCAACTGAATGGAGGGCTCTAGAATTGTTTTGTTATCAGGGAAATTATAAGGTAAGGCTAACTTGCTCCAACAACTCTAGGTAGTATCAGGCTGCTGTTGAATATCCTGAGGTATCAAGCAGCAAGAATGAGAGTGATACTAAAAACTTACCTCTAGCTCTAGTAAAAATATTTCACAAAAACATCAGTTGATATACTATCCCTATGGGTTGAATGAAACAAAGCTGGTTGGAAGTGTGAATGTCAAATTAAATATAATATTTATTAATCCAAAATTTTTTGTACAATATAAAATATTATGCTAGATTAATTTCTACATAAAATGTGTATGAGAACTTGTAGTCCAAAATAATGGAAAGATGAGCCCATTCAAAGACTGCTATATAGGCCAAAAAGGCATAAACGACTTTCTGCTAAAACAGGAAACATTCACTTTCATAAAACAGTATTATTACCATGTGTTACACATTGTTAAGTTGTTGTTTGTACACTATTAATTATATAATAGAATATAATTCTTATTCAATAAACAATTTAACAAGTGAAATGGAACAGTTAATGAAAACAATACACAATTTAGATACTCCTGTGTGTCTGAGAGTGCATGTAATTTTACCTCATAGTATATCATTATCATTATAATCTCATATATTGTGCATGTATTGTATACTTGGAATGATCTATTCTGACCCCCTTGGCTGACTTACTTGTACATTCTACAATACTAGTCATCAGTGTCAAGATTGATTAATTTTAATATAATATATATTAATATTATATCTGATTAATATTAATATAATTAATATATATTGATTAATACTAGTGGTTGATATAATTTGGAAGCATTGAGTGCTTTTCACTAGAGTTCACAACTCTTCTAATAAAACTAATGAATGTATTGCATATGTACTGTTAGTGATATTCTAATTGTAAAGTGTAAATGTCTGTTAGATTATATACTAAAACAGCTGTGTTAAATTTTACATTTAAACAGCTGTTTTGTTTGCCTATATACTACATCAGCTGTATTAGCCTAGTACTAGTATTAAACAGATACTATTAATATTCTTGTACCAAAAAGATCTAACAGTCCCTTAATGCTAAAATCAAAGTACTCATTGCCTGTTACAAAGGGACTAATTTACACTATAGTGCCACCAAGCTCTTCAATGTGTCGGTGATGTAGGCTACTTCTAGCTACTTCTAGTGTCAGTGATGTAAACTACTTCAGCGTGTCAATTATGTAGTCTACATTGGTGAGTCTGTGATGTAGGCTACCTCAGTGTCAGAGATGTAAACTACTTCTGTGTGTCAGGGATATAGGCTACTTCAGCGTGTCAGTTATGTAGGCAATGTTAAGGACCTGAGAATAGTATTCTTTTTCATGCGGGTCATTCACAGTCCACACAACAACTCTAATACCTCGTTCTTTCCAAAAGTTCACAAATCTCCTGAAAATAGAGAAAAGGTTGATTTGTCCACTTTTCTGTTCAGCAATACATGCTTCTAAAGATACAATTGCTTTAGTCAAAAGATCTTTGCATTGTGATCTATGGGATTAAGGAGGAATAGGTATTTGCTAGATGAATAACTTATAAGATCATTGCATATGGCATCAGTATATGCAAACCAACATGTAAATATTAGGCCATAGCAACTTCTATATGGTTTACACAACATGGCATGCTCAATGGCATGCACAACACAGTGGAACCCAAGTGGAAACGTAGAGGTACAAAAAGTGTTGTTCAACAAGTCCACTGTTCTCTTACTGTGAAATCATTATATCAATGGTTTCAAACATTTGATTATGAACCCCCTGATTACTTATTCTACCTCACAATTGTGAGCTGTAATTAAATATAGATGTTTTCAGTAACTTACTTGGAGATTTGATCATCTCTGGCTAGGAATGCTGAATTACCCATGACGTACCACAACCAGTGATATTGGCTCCACTCCAGCACAATGTCAAGGATGGGGCACACAAACTCTCTCATGACATAGTTCCCTTCCTGGTACCAGTAGCCCACTATACCTGGCCTGTGAGTCATACCTGTGATTATATCAGGGTCAGCTCTTCTCACCTGCAGGTAGATAGAAGACATTATAGTGTATGATATGTAATGCTGAGATTCACAATTTCATGACTTATGCAGTTTTTGTAGGAATTTATGGCATCACATTACCTGATACATTGGTGTGAGATCATAAGATGCTATATAGTATGTAGGAATAATGCATTTTCAATTTTCTAAACACCTCAGGCACTAATTACAGAGATCATGGTAAAGATTGTAAGGTTGGTATGCATTTTATATAATAGTGAGAGCATAATCCAAAAACAATACATGTTTATAGTAGTAATTGTTTTAATTGCTATTCATGCTAGTAGTTTAACAAGGAGAGATCGAATATTCAAAAACAAACTTTACTTTGGCAAATCAGTACTGTCCCATTGAAATACATGCTAGAATATTGAAAGCAGTTATCTTAGCAGTTACATCAAAATTCACAAGAATAACTATAAATTACCTATAAATCATGTGCGCAAAACATTTAATTCATAGCTTTACAAAGGAAGTATTAAGGTTATGTGTTATTCGCAGTTATATTAAGATGCTTGCAGCGGCCATTTTGTATTTTGGTGAAAACACAGAATGATCGCTTGAAGATATATCAGGTTAGTTTCGGGGTTGTCTAATGATGTAAAATCAATTATAATCTTGCTTTTATCTGGAAGTGCAGAATGGTTGACATTAGCTCTCTAACTAATATGACTCAAAAAATTTTAACAAATTTAATTAGTTGCTTAAACGAGCATACATTACGCCAAAGTATAAAGTGTTTTTGGTTTAACACTTACAGCATATTAGACTAGTTGGTTGAATGAACATACAATTGCCATAGTGTAGAGTGAGGGGTGTTTCTGGTTTAATACTTACAGCATATATGACTAGTGGATTGAATGAGCATACAATTGCCATAGTGTACAGTGAGGGGTGTTTCTGGTTTAATACTTACAGCATATATGACTAGTGGATTGAATGAGCATACAATTGCCATAGTGTAGAGTGAGGGGTGTTTCTGGTTTAATACTTACAGCATATATATGACTAGTGGATTGGATGAGCATACAATTGCCATAGTGTAGAGTGAGGGGTGTTTCTGGTTTAATACTTACAGCATATATATGACTAGTGGATTGAATGAGCATACAATTGCCATAGTGTAGAGTGAGGGGTGTTTCTGGTTTAACACTTACAGCATATATGACTAGTGGATTGAATGAGCATACAATTGCCATAGTGTAGAGTGAGGGGTGTTTCTGTTTTAATACTAACAGCATATATGACTAATGGATTGAATGAGCATACAATTACCATAGTGTAGAGTGAGGGGTGTTTCTGTTTTAATACTAACAGCATATATGACTAGTGGATTGAATGAGCATACAATTGCCATAGTGTAGAGTGAGGGGTGTTTCTGGTTTAATACTAACAGCATATATGACTAGTGGATTGAATGAGCATACAATTGCCATAGTGTAGAGTGAGGGGTGTTTCTGGTTTAATACTTACAGCATATATGACTAGTGGATTGAATGAACATACAATTGCCATAGTGTAGAGTGAGGGGTGTTTCTGTTTTAATACTAACAGCATATATGACTAGTGGATTGAATGAGCATACAATTGCCATAGTGTAGAGTGAGGGGTGTTTCTGGTTTAATACTTATATCATATATGACTAGTGGATTGAATGAACATACAATTGCCATAGTGTAGAGTGAGGGGTGTTTCTGGTTTAATACTAACAGCATATATGACTAGTGGATTGAATGAACATACAATTGCCATAGTGTAGAGTGAGGGCTGTTTCTGGTTTAATACTTAAAGCATATATGACTAGTGGATTGAATGAGCATACAATTGCCATAGTGTAGAGTGAGGGGGTGTTTCTGGTTTAATACTTATATCATATATGACTAGTGGATTGAATGAGCATACAATTGCCATAGTGTACAGTGACGGGTGTTTCTGGTTTAATACTTACAGCATATATATGACTAGTGGATTGAATTAAATGCATACAATTGCCATAGTGTAGAGTGAGGGGAGTTTTTGGTTTGATACTTACAGCATATATGACTAGTGGATTGAATGAGCATACAATTGCCATAGTGTAGAGTGAGGGGAGTTTTTGGTTTGATACTTACAGCATATATGACTAGTGGATTGAATGAGCATACAATTGCCATAGTGTAGAGTGAGGGGAGTTTTTGGTTTGATACTTACAGCATATATGACTAGTGGATTGAATGAGCATACAATTGCCATAGTGTAGAGTGAGGGGAGTTTTTGGTTTGATACTTACAGCATATATGACTAGTGGATTGAATGAGCATACAATTGCCATAGTGTAGAGTGAGGGGAGTTTTTGGTTTGATACTTACAGCATATATGACTAGTGGATTGAATGAGCATACAATTGCCATAGTGTAGAGTGAGGGGAGTTTTTGGTTTGATACTTACAGCATATATGACTAGTGGATTGAATGAGCATACAATTGCCATAGTGTAGAGTGAGGGGTGTTTCTGTTTTAATACTAACAGCATATATGACTAGTGGATTGAATGAGCATACAATTGCCATAGTGTAGAGTGAGGGGTGTTTCTGTTTTAATACTAACAGCATATATGACTAGTGGATTGAATGAGCATACAATTGCCATAGTGTAGAGTGAGGGGAGTTTTTGGTTTGATACTTACAGCATATATGACTAGTGGATTGAATGAGCATACAATTGCCATAGTGTAGAGTGAGGGGTGTTTCTGTTTTAATACTAACAGCATATATGACTAATGGATTGAATGAGCATACAATTACCATAGTGTAGAGTGAGGGGTGTTTCTGTTTTAATACTAACAGCATATATGACTAGTGGATTGAATGAGCATACAATTGCCATAGTGTAGAGTGAGGGGAGTTTTTGGTTTGATACTTACAGCATATATGACTAATGGATTGAATGAGCATACAATTGCCATAGTGTAGAGTGAGGGGTGTTTCTGGTTGAATACTAACAGCATATATGACTAGTGGATTGAATGAGCATACAATTGCCATAGTGTAGAGTGAGGGGTGTTTCTGGTTGAATACTTACAGCATATATGACTAATGGATTGAATGAGCATACAATTGCCATAGTGTAGAGTGAGGGGTGTTTCTGGTTGAATACTTACAGCATATATGACTAGTGGATTGAATGAGCATACAATTGCCATAGTGTAGAGTGAGGGGTGTTTCTGGTTGAATACTTACAGCATATATGACTAATGGATTGAATGAGCATACAATTGCCATAGTGTAGAGTGAGGGGTGTTTCTGTTTTAATACTAACAGCATATATGACTAGTGGATTGAATGAGCATACAATTGCCATAGTGTAGAGTGAGGGGAGTTTTTGGTTTGATACTTACAGCATATATGACTAATGGATTGAATGAGCATACAATTGCCATAGTGTAGAGTGAGGGGTGTTTCTGGTTGAATACTTACAGCATATATGACTAGTGGATTGAATTGAATGCATACAATTGCCATAGTGTAGAGTGAGGGGTGTTTCTGGTTTAATACTTACAGCATATATGACTAGTGGATTGAATGAGCATACAATTGCCAGAGTGTAGAGTGAGGGGTGTTTCTGGTTTAACACTTACAGCATATATGACTAGTGGATTGAATGAGCATACAATTGCCATAGTGTAGAGTGAGGGGTGTTTCTGGTTTAATACTTACAGCATATATGACTAGTGGATTGAATGATCATACAATTGCCATAATGTAGAGTGAATGGTGTTTCTGGTTGAATACTTACAGCATATATGACTAGTGGATTGAATGAGCATACAATTGCCATAGTGTAGAGTGAGGGGAGTTTTTGGTTTGATACTTACAGCATATATGACTAGTGGATTGAATGAGCATACAATTGCCATAGTGTAGAGTGAGGGGTGTTTCTGGTTGAATACTTACAGCATATATGACTAGTGGATTGAATGAGCATACAATTGCCATAGTGTAGAGGGAGGGGTGTTTCTGGTAGACATCTGTTATTGCAACAGCAGCCTGGAATACAACATATTTATATTGTAGTTCAACTAATACATTAAAATGTGCTCATGTAAAAATGTCTACTATTTTACTATATGATAACACATGTCTAGTATTCATTCATTTAAAATACCTGTATCATACTAACAAAGTAGATTTTCTATATGAATGGTGAAATACAATAAAACATTTAGTATTTTCACCTATTTGGTCTTGGATATAATTATACATGTATCTATTTAAAAAGGGAGAGTCTTTACCATCCATGTTTGGTACATGTTCATGAATTGGAGTTCACAAATATTTGAAATATTGTTGCCTTCACCACATGTATATGAAGATTGACTATCTGAGTCATGTAAAATAAAATGCTGTATTTCAATAGTTGAAAACTGTTTTATAAGGTATATTTTTCCCATAATCCATGTTCTGATCATTAGATCTATTTATGATATGATAGAGAAGATTTTCAATTGCATTTCTAAAATGAGTCAGGCCTTACCTTTTGTGCATCACCTTTCACATCAATATAGACTTTCAACCCCAAGCCAAGACACTCAACCAATCCTTCTTCTAGGGTTGGGATACCCTCATTAGGAAAATGGTCCCTTTAAAACATTAATTGCATAAGATAACACCAACCTAAACTAATACAGAACAAAAACTGTAAAATGTATGCAATAAAAAAGTTTCTGCTATATACAATTGTATGGCATTAAAGAAATGGATATATTCCATATCCAATAAGATTAGTTTAGTTTTCTAACACGGAATATGGCTTACTTTAATTCATGTTTTGATGATGCATCCAGCTTTTTGACATCTTCATACATTAGTTCATCGATGTAACCAGTTCCATCAGTTGTACGATCAACTGTGAAGTCATGAAGAAGGACAGCAATGCCATCTTTAGTAAATGCTAAGTCTAACTCCACTGCCTGTGCTCCATTCCTCCTTGCCTACAATCATTTAAAGCACCGTCAGTTAGGTGAGTCTGGTGAGACCTGATGATTTTCTTATTGACAAATTTTAGTATTTCAGTTTCAGGGGTCTGAGAATCATCAGGTATACAGCTACTATTGGCAATAGGAAATCCTCAATTTGATTAATAATTTTTTTGAGTAAATATATCACAATCAGATTATCTAGCAACAGCATTGTAGGTACATAAGAGGGTTCAGAGAAGACATATGTCTGTAATGTAAATATGATTGAGAAGACATAATCACTGATTGGTCAAATTGACAGACAAATGACACATTCAATGGTGGTTTCAAGGTTTTTCCAAAAACGCTTCGAATAATATTAAGTTAATATCTATAGTTTGTAAACCAATATCATAGCTTGTCATTACACAGCAAGATAAAGAAAGATGTAAGGCATATGGTAACATCAATTAACATCACAATGACGTGTGCTATTCGGAATCTAGCTGGTAAAAATTCTGACAAACTAAGCTGGTAGGCAAGAGACTTTTATGTCTGTCATCTCTAAGCTCTTGGGTTTTCCCTCCTCTTAGGTGCATAAAGTATCCGTATTCATATTTTTGAGACATAATGTAAGCAAAACTTAGATTATCCAACTCACTACCTACCTTTTTCAAATCACCATGAATGTGGGGTTGATTTTTTCAGATTACCCCAAGAATAACTTGTGTATTAAAATACAGAATCACATCCACATAATATCATTTTGCATCAGGCAGAAGATTCATTATGTGGTGAAAATTTATTGAAAAATGAGAAATTGATATAAAAAATATGTTTCTGACTCCAACGATGATTGGCTCCCAGGGTCTCAACTCTATATTCGACCTTGACCTTGTTCGATGACAACATCGAAGATGTCATTATTTTCTGATATTATAAATGACTATACATACATATATTGACCTAAAATCTTGATCATTAAACTCAAAAATACATCATTGGTCCTTAAGACGTAAAAATAGTTGGGACTTCAGAGTCTACAAGTTCTTAGAGGCATCAGGCCAAGGGAATATAATTCAAATGGAAAACTTAAATGCTAAAGCTATTTAATAAGAGGTCAAGCTTTATCAACAATCTCAAGATCTCTTTCTAAAAAACATTTGGAATGACAAAAACAATGAAGTGAACGGTAATAAATTAAGAACTTTCAGGCAATTTAAGTATGGAGTAGTAGCAGAAAGTTATGTAACTTGTTTCATCCCAAGACACCATCGAAGTACATTGGCTAAACTGAGAACTGGGACGCTACAACTCCGTATATAAACTGGTAGATATGATGGTACTCCTCTGGACCAGAGAACTTGCAAACTCTGTGATTTGGATGAAGTTGAGAATGAAATTCATTTTCTGATAAAATCTCCACACTATAAGCTCCTAAGGGATACCTTCTATAGAGAGATTGTGCAAGAGCAATTGCCATATATAGACTTGAATAATGCAAATTCACTTTTGACATTTATTAGCCTAATGCTTGCCAAGAAGATTCAAAAACCTCTAGCAGCTCTTATTCATAATATGTATTCAAAAAGGCAATTTGACTATGGCAGATTATAGGAGTTACATTTGTGAAGTCCAGACTTGGTTAAAACTGATACTTTTTAGAATTAAAGATATAACTGGGCAGCAGGTGTGTGTCCCCAATCTGTTATAGTCATTTTCCAGCACTTGACTGCAAAATTTATTGTATCAATACAGTTTATTTATGTTTGCATGCATATTCATTTATTGTGATAATGGCCATTAATAGAAAATATTTGTCAAAGCATTTAAAGATGGCAGCACTTGAATACTACTCTATCTAAGAGTGCTCTATTAAGTCAACTTACTCTAGTCAATACTCATTTACAATTAGATATACATTTAATGGTGTCTCCTAAGCCGATGCCGGCTGGTGGGTTTTTTAAAAAAAAAAGTATTTATTATATGATATTTAATGTAGTTTTTAAACCTGTGACACAGAAATAAAATATTTTAAACTTAAACTAAATCATTTCTTGAGTATTTGAATTTTATTGTTTGGAAATAAGACCAAAACTTGCAATTCAAATTTTGAAGTGAAAACATGGCAGACGTTTTGATTTTGTATAAACTGTATTTGTATAATAATAGTGTAGTGTAGTGTAGCGTAGTAAGCTTTTATTTTTGTACTGACTAATATGTCATACCATGACATTCTAAGATCAATAAAAGATATACATCTGTATTTAGCCATTATGTCCCTATCATTAAATATATGCATGAGGTCTGACGTCAATATAGCCCGAGCTTGCGAGGGTTATATTGACGACAGACCGAAGGCATATATTCAATGATACGGACATAATTGTTGTATTAAATACCTAAAGTACATTTTACATTACATTTCATGAATATAATATGTAGAAATTCGTGAAAAAAGACAAAAATGATTTGTTTTCATGTTATATCAATGACGTCACACGTCTGTTAGCGATTGAAATATGTAAGAAATGAAACGTGACGTCATACGATTGTCATGGTAAAAAGTTTGGCGGCTATACAGGAATATATAGCCGTCCTTCGGCTCCATTGACTTCCATACAAATGCTTCGCTAGGTATGTAATACATATATATATATATTGCAAGGACTGTCACGACTGTCGTAATGTTAAAGCCTGATATGACTGTGACAATGCTATATTATATTGAAAGGCCTGTCATAACTGTGGTAATGTTAAAACCTGATATGACCGTGACATGACAATGCAATATTATATTGCAAGGCCTGTCATAACTGTGGTAATGTTAAAGCCTGATATGACTGTGACAATGCTATATTATATTGCAAGGCCTGTCATAACTGTGGTAATGTTAAAGCCTGATATGACTGTGACAATGTTATATTATATTGCGAGACCTATCATAACTGTGATAATGTTAAAGCCTGATATGACTGTGACAATGTTATATTATATTGCAAGACCTGTCATAACTGTGGTAATGTTAAAGCCTGATATGACTGTGACAATGTTATATTATATTGCAAGACCTATCATAACTGTGGTAATGTTAAAGCCTGATATGACTGTGACAATGTTATATTATATTGCAAGACCTGTCATAACTGTGGTAATGTTAAAGCCTGATATGACTGTGACAATGGTTGCAAGGCCTGTCATGACCGTGGTAATGTTAAAGCATGATATGACCATGACAATGGTTGAAAGACCTGTCATGACTGTGGCAATGGTTGCAAGGCCTGTCATGACCGTGGTAATGTTAAAGCCTGATATGACCATGACAATGGTTGAAAGACCTGTCATGACCATGGTAATGTTAAAGTCTGATATGACCGTGACAATGTTCACGTTCTTGAATGAGATTAGAATTATAGTTTGCGGAACGTGAGTACCATGTACATATATAGTAGTCTAGATTTACATATTTAATTTTTCATTACGATATTCTCATGCTACTAAATGTAATTTAATATAATCATTGTCACGGTCACATCGTGCTTTAACATTAGCACAGTCATGACAGACCTTGGAATATGATGTAGCATTGTCACGGATATACCAGGATTTCACGAAAACACTACCACTGTCATGGCAGGATCCTTGCGAAACTTAAAAACACTTAATAACATGGTGACGGACTGACGGTTAGGCCAGGCATAAGTCTTGCAATAGATAGCATGTGGAAAAACGATACAAATCATATGTAAATAGTTCTCTGTGATGTAACAGGCTCATGAGATCAGTTCTTTAAGACCACACTACAAATAGTTCAACAAGCTAAACCTTGACTGTGCCTTATTTCTTATCTGACATAACTTGTGGCACCAATCAAAATTCAGATTACTAAATTAGCTAATTGAAGTACTGTACACTCCAAAAAGAAAGTGGGCGTGGCAGATCAAATATCAATTTGGAAGAACTAACTTGAGGCTCTAGCCACTTCTTGGCTAGAAGTAATTCCATTATTGTAAAATTTCTAGCCGGGATTCAATAAATTTAAGTAATATTCTAAAAACCGTCATGTTAAGGTGCAGTGGTACTTATGACAAAATAGGACGTGACAATGTCATTTTTAGACATTCTTTCACAGTCAGAGAGAATGTTTCTGGCGAAATTCTGGGATTGCAAATACTTGAAGTTGGGAAACCGGAAGGGCTTACCTTTTTTAATTCCCGAATCTCACCGAATCTCTCCGAAATTAGCTCATCTTGGTGACTGTAAATTGCACAGCTGTATTCAATGGAGTCTTGTCATATTCAATCAGCCTCAATTTTAAAGTGTATATTTTATTTTCAACGTGATTTCATCGTTTTTTGTCGACTGGTAAGAATACGCTGGGCAAATGGCAAGATGGATGACTTTTGACCTGACCTACACCGATGGCGGTGACGTCATCAATTTTATCTATACAAATTCTATTCGGTCATGTGACCTTGTGCCAGAAGTCCGACTTTTTGGTCAGTCGACCTGTTCAAAGTACATTTAGTAATAATTATCGCTTTTCAGAACAATTTAGGAAACAATATTTTCTATCTACGATTACAAAGCATCTAAGGTACGTAAATTTATATGAACAACTGAGTCAATAGGGATAAATAGCCCAACGAGAGTCGGCGGTCTTAAAAAATACTTGGATCTGGATGCCAGTCCTGGTATAGATATAGTTCCAGGGCAGTTCGAAGAACGTATTAGATGTCCGTGCATTCTTTGAACAAAGATAACATACTTCTGTTTCGACCTCCAGTCATTTCAAATAGTTTAACATATCGTTTATAGGACAGGGATCACAATGTACATGGTCAAAATGACCCTAAAGATGATGAAATAACTTTTTCAGCCCTCTGAAAATTTGCATGGAAAATACCCGGAAGTGGTATTTACCTAATGACACCATATCATGGTAAGGAAGAACCATCTCATCCGATAATTGATTTGAATAAAGAGAAATCTAGAAAATGTTCAACAGTTAGAACAGTCGTATAATTAATTTCTTTTATTTACCTCTCTAAATGAAGCAATTGTGTTTTCTGGTGCATCAGTTTGTCCTCCTCGGTGGGCGATAATAGGTAGACGACCACTTTCATCTGTATTTAAAACTATGTCAGAGATTCTTTTCTCAAGGAGTGGCAGTTTGAAATACTCCAACGCTCCCCAAACTACAATACTTAGTATGATAGCAAACACCTTACTGCCAGATAAGACCCAGACAGCCAGGAAAATAAGAAAAATATCGACCCACAGAGATGCAATCAGAAACATTGTTGATTGTCGTACGCTAAAAGGACGAACGGTTCATATTTTCGTTTTAGTTGCTCTAAATAAGCGAACAACGACGCGTTCTTTATTTTTATATATTTTAATGAAACTTAATGCAATTTTGAATAGAGTAGTCATATTTTAAATTATAAAAATAAAAGTTGAATCAAATCAATAAAATGGTGACTGAGTAACCAAAGATTGCATTTTCATCTAATTCTAGTGTTTGCCTATATCAATTTGGATGATGCCTTTGGTCAGTTGATGCAGTGTTTCCATTTTGTACTATCTTTTCACTTAATACTTTTCACATATTTTCATAATGAAATATGGTAGCCATTTTGCCATTTGAACTGAGCAGCCATATTAAAATTTCTTATCAAGCAGGGTATGCCGAGAAGGCATCAGCTTATACGCTTTGAACCAAATCCATCAACCAGTATTTGAGTTATAATCTGGACATTTAAATGGACAAACCGATGGATTCTCTGTATTCCTCCCTTTTGTTATATATGGATGTAAATATATGCAGTCAAAGGATGACTATTTGTACTGAGAAGTGAGAACGTCCATTCCTTTGCATCTTCCTCATAGGTAGCTACTGTAGCTACATGTACACATGATAGAACAGTGAGAGTGAAATCAATGCTTTAGTTGCATAAAAAACTTCATTCCATTTTGATTGGTTTGGAAATTTTTATCAATATTTGGCCCTTTAAATCCTAGGACTTAGACATTTTCTTCTTGAAAAATATAATTTAGATAGGTCTCCTTCAAGTGGTATTTAGAATGCAAACCATAAAACTCTTGTGAATGTAAAATGGACATTATGCCTATATACTAGTGGTGTCAATTAACCGCTTGAGCATTAACCGGTTAACCGGGGGTTTTTACCGGTTAAAGTCGGTTAACCGGCGGGAAATTTGAACTGATAATTTCAAATGAAATCTTCATCTTCGATCTTGAAAGTTGAAAAAAATTGGAAAAATGATATATCGGCGTTTATTTTTTACGTTCGTCAAGCTTTACGCTATTCTATGTAAGTAAGCGCGAATGCAATGTGGCAGGGATTAAAGTTGCTGATTGGATGTTTGTAAGGAATTATCGGACCTATCACATGTATGAGTAGCTCACATGAAACTGACGCTTGAAAAACAAACAGATTAAAATGCAAAGTAAGCGCGGGAAAGCAATGTGGCAGGGATTAAAGTTGCTGATTGGATGTTTGTAAGGAGTTATGGGACTTATGACATGTATGAGTAGCTTACGTGAAACTGACACCATAAAACCAAACGGATTAGCATGCAAAATAAGCGCGGGAAATAACAGAATTATACACGGTCAACTAACCGCCCATAAAAACTCAGACCGGTCAAGGCATTATTGGCGGTTAACCGGTTAACCGGTTAATACTTGACACCTCTACTATATACTCCTTTGAATAAGGCATTCATCAATGTATATTTCATGTATTTAGGCTTTGGACTGGCAGCTTACAGGGTATCATACTTCTTTGAGTATAGCCATAGTATTTTAACAAAAGAAAGACTTGTTTGGTTTATATACTGTAGATTTGGTTAATTTGGTGCCCGCTTTAATTTGGCGAATTTGGCGAAATTGTAAAATTCGCCAATATAAATCTTCGCCAAAATTTAGAATGAATCCCCGGAAATTATCTAGGGTATTTTGTCCAGTGTATTTAGGTCACTTCCGGTTAAGTTTTTTCCAAAAATATGAAAAAAAAGTCTCATAAATTGGCTCAGAACTGGTCAGTCACTCATTAATACTCAGGGAAAAACTAGAAAGGAAAAGCGCGGTATAGTAGCAACATCGATCGAAGTGCAAAATGTAAAGGTTGATCTCACAAAAATGTACAAACATGGTGAATATCGCCAGTGGTCCTCAAAATAAAAAATGAACCTAGCCAAACATGCCCAATTTTTTGCATATCCTCCAAATTAAATAGCCGCCAATATGCCAAAAATGGCAAAATCGCCAAATTAAGTAGCGCCAAATTAACCCAATCTACAGTAATATGAATCTATTTGATCAACAACATTTTGTTATAATACAACATTAGTATAAAAATACAATTTTTTACAAAAATTATTAAATTATCTATGAGGTGGGTGAGGTAGAACCATACCCAAATCAGCAATCTCTGAATATAATATCAAAACAAATTGATTCTTCATGACCCCATACCAGAATACCATCAAGGTCGAAATTTTCTTTTTTATATGTAGCTAGTGTAAATGTTGACTAAAATAGCCATGTTTGTGCACTTTGTGATAGAAGCATGAAATTTGGCACAAAGTTAGTTTATGGATACAAACTGTTCTAAAATCCAAAAGCGACATTTCAATAAGAACTACCAAAACAGATAATACGTGGAGTGCAAAAATACCTTACATATCAATACTGATGATTAGATAATTGTTTGGCACCTTGGAATGAATTGTAAATCAAATACAATGAATCAATTGATACGCAAAATAGGCCGTACCAATGACATAGTCACTTTGAAAAAGAGACATACTACAAGGCTTGAATTATATATTTCCACATTAGACATTTTAATTTATAGCATATAAAATCTGACTTTGAGCTTCTTCTTACACTTGACAAAATTAATAATAAAATACCTGAATAATAAACTAGATTTTTCTGTGGAGAAACTTGAAAAGTTGCCTGTTGTAGGAATTTTGGTAATTGCCACTGACTAATAAATGAACTTGTATTAATAACACTTGATATGTTTGCATTGCAGCAAAATATAAATTACATGGTGAAAATTGCACAACTCTATCTACTGCATTTTATCTTTAATCATAATTAAAAAAACTACAAACATTTTGTGGATTTTGATCAATTGAGCATCTTGTACAGCGGTACATACAACTTTGACATCAGATAATGATGACACTATAACAACAACTATGACATCACAATTTTGCCATCATTGCTGCCATCATTTGTGGGTTACTTATGCGTGTCATCCATGCTCCTCCGTCAGCCACGATGATTTGCCCTGTAATGAGTGATCCTGCATCACTGGTTAGAAATAGAGTACAGTTGGCGATATCTAGTTTTGTGCCGATCCTCTGTATAGGGATTCCCTGAATAAGTGCCTGAAGGTCACGTCCCCCCGCTGAAGAAGATTCGAATGATTCAAATGTCAAAATTTTATTTCAGCATAAGGCCATACATGTAAATATAGAACAAACATTAATTGTAATACAATGTTAAATGTTTGACATCATCTTTGCCATCACAAGTGGATTATTCACAGCCGTCATCTCTGAGCCTCCATCTGCTATCAATATTTGGCCAGTGATTAGAGATCCTGCTTCACTGGTAAGGAAGAGAGTACAGTTGGCAATATCCAGCTTTGTTCCAATTCTCTGAAGGGGTATCCCCTGGGTCAGCATTGTCAAATCACGACCACCTCCTGGAGAATGAAAAAGATTTTATTCATTAGGTTATTCATCTTTTAAAGGGCATTTGTTGTATAGGAAGATGACACCCACAGCACAAATATTATGAGCTTGGAGATAAGTAGAGTGGGAGTGCTACACACATAAATACAGAGACAAACATACAGGAGTGATACATGTATAAATAAGGAGGTAATGTACAGGGTAGTCCAAAAAAATGGGACACTCGTATTTCAAAAATAAATATTGATTTTCTTGATAAAAACATGTCATATTATATACCAGTGGATAGGGAATTTACTTATCTTTAATTTGGTATATCATAAGTTCAAATTTATTATAATGTCTGTCAACCAGCGTCCATAATATAAATGATGTCATTTTCATTTCAAAACAGGTTTTCCAAAACTTGCAAAAACAAGTTTTATTGTCAACTTTATTTACATAAACAGACGTTCAATATGTCCACCATTTTGATCAATTGTACCCCTCAATTTTGGCCTAAACTGGCCAATAGTATCATTGATATGCTGTTAAGACAATGAATTTCACTTCTCATAAATTCAATTCTGTCCTCAAGAGACTAAATAGATGTAAACGATTCATGATACACAAGTTCTGTTAGTTCTCCCAATACGTGGTCGTTGCAGACGTTAGGTGATCGTGTGATCTGGTCTGGGGGAGGCAGTGATTAGGGGGATGAATCTAGACACATTTTCCTTTAAACATTTGACACTCTTGTGAGATCTATTGTTTGGAGCCCCATCTTGTTGGAATATGTAATGATTCGAGAATGAGCTCATATCAGGATGGTCTAAAAACAACATAATTAGAAATGCGATATCAACGTCTGCGACTACCATGTATTGGGAAAACCTACAGAATTGGTTTACCATGAACCCCTTACATCTACTCAATCCCGTATTAAGGATAGACTTGTTGAGAAGTGGAATTCATTGTCTCAACAGAATATCAATGATGTTTTTGACCAGTTTAGGCCAAAATTGAGGGCTATAATTGATCAAAATGATGGACATCTGTTTGTGTAAATAAAGTTGACAAAAAAATTGTTTTTTTGCAAGTTTTGGAAAACCCGTTTTGAAACTAAAATGACGTCATTTATATAACGGACGCTGGTTGACAGACATTATAATAAATTTGAACTTATGATATACCAAATTAAAGATAAGTAAATTCCCTATCCACTGGTATATAATATGACATGTTTTCATCAAGAAAATCAATATTTATTTTTGAAATACGAGTGTCCCATTTTTTTTGGACCACCCTGTAGTGTTGTTACACATACAAATGAGGAGGCAAACTTGTTATACACATAAAACATCCATAAAAATTTCCTAAAAAGATTTAATGATTCCAATATGATACATTTATGAATCCCACTGCAGCTGCCATTTTGTATTTTGACACCATGTGCTCCATCTTTTGTATCGGCTTCAAATATGTGAGAAGGCGGCCCAAAATAATAGTAAGAAGGACCTCTGTTACGCAGAATATGGCATATATGCATGGTTGTGCGGTATTTGTGATACGCATGAATATGCTATACTTACCTGCGGTATATGGCATATTCTGCAGGTGAGTATGGCATATTCCGCAGTGAATATCCGATACATTGATTTCAGTAAATACCAGATACTCACTGCAGAATATGTCATACTCTCCTGTGGAATATGCCATTCTCAACTGTGGAATATGCCATATACCGCAGATGAAAACACGATACAGAAAGCCTGATTTGGTTATAAAAGTCAATCATAAGCTTCACGAACGTTGGTTAGTTTATTTATGTGTCATAATGTTTCCCTTGAAGTGTGTTTTTGTGTGTAACACATACACTAAACAACATCAAACAATACAGGTACCATACGGGTGTGTGTTATTCCATTGTATTAGTTGATATATTCACTGGATTAAGATGTTGATTCAGTTATCATAATAATAATTTATGGAGTTTAGCACGTTCGTTGAGTCAATGTAATTGACAATTGCGTACTTCCGTATCAAGTTCTCATTGGTTAGTGTGTATGGCATATACCGCAAGTGAATATGCCATGTTTGTCGCGGAATATGACATATATTTGTATCGTGTTTACCGCTTAACAACCTCTATATGAATCTTTATGAAAAGAAATTTCATTGGTGATTATAAAATAATATTGCAAAGGTCTGATTGGGTACATGTACAATTGTACAGGGAGTTTCCTATTCAATGATACAATCTTGGCTCCACAGTCAATGGAAATATTCTGCAAGTAATTTTATTTTAAATGTAAATTACTGTTTCTCCAAAATTCAAAATAAAAAATCCAAGATGCACCTACCTAATCTTCTCATGCCCTCTGTCTTGCCTATGGGCCCAGGGGCAAGGCTGTTCACTCTGATACCTTCAGGTCCCCACTCAACTGCCATATGGCGTGTCATGGCATCTAAAACAAAATGTAATAGAATTACATTTTCATCTTACAAACAATTACTAAGATGCAGTGACGTCATTGAGTGTGGAAAATGCAGTGAGATCTCATTCTTCATTAATGAACATCCTTTTTTGCAGTGTGTTTAGTTATACATGTACTTTCTTGTCTCTTGTTTAGAGTTGCTATACTTACCTACTGCTGCTTTAGCTGATCCTGCGTGGCCCTGTAGCGCTGTGCCTCGCATGCTTAGTGTTGCTGTAATGTTCACTATATTTCCACCATTTTTCTGAAATATAGGGACTTATGTACTATTTGACTAGGCTAGGTTTCAATCACATTCAAATGCACCTATCCCAGAATTTGTTCTTAAAATGATAGCATGGATTTAATGTTCTGAATAAACGGTAACATTGTAATACTGTTTAAGGATGAGTGGGTGATCCCACGTAACTGAACTGATAAGTGCTGCCATCTTTCAATGAAAGACTTTTTCATTATTATCAAATGCATGATCTTTTAATGATGATTCATCTTTCAATGAGGGGACATTGCATATAAGGAATTTGAATATGGATAATATAATAAAATGAAATATATAATTGTTGACATATGATATCATTTGTATGTTCTCTTGGCTCTAACCTGACAATGATGATCGACTGATCAACAGAGATATCCCTGGCCCTCACAATTGCTTATACAAGAACTGGAGCATTTTAATCCAAGAAATTTCAACTCTGTCCAAAATAAAGTTGGAGACTTTGAGTCACCACTTGCGTCAGTGGTGACATAATTACCAAAAATCAGTGCTTTAGTTTCCAGCCTATCTGTTCTTGAAAGCAAAGCAGTTTTGGAATACACTGGCAGACTGATGTATGTTTCACAAGTTTCACTTGTAATAAAAATGATATATTTACCTTGAACCATTTGTCATAGACTGCCTTGCAAACATTGAATGTCCCAAGAGTGTCAATCTCTATAACTGTTCGGAATGCATTGTATGAAAGACCTGCCATCGGAGCTAAAAAATTGCCAGCAGCTCCTGAAAAGTATATCAAATAGGTAACTACATGATATATTCTCAATTGTGTTATTGATCTAGTTTAATCTTAGATTTATTTTTCATTCTCTGATGGCAACTCTATAACAACTAATTCAATTAAAAAATATTTATATTTTGAGCATAGGATTTGATCCTATGTTTTCAAAGTAATTATTCTGATAGAGAGGGGTTCACTTTAAGGTATTGACATATATAGGTCATTTACTGGGAGGGATTGAATATGGGTTTTATTCCGAGGGACAATATGATATTGACCGAAGGGCAATATGATATTGACCGAGGGAGCGCAGCGACCGAGTGTCAATATCATATTTCCCAAGGTCAATATCATATTTTCCGAGGAATAAAACCCATATTCAATCCCGACCAGAAATAACCTATTTATTCCATAATACATTCCTCCTTAAAATGTTACATTTGGATAATGCTTTTATCAATTAGTCAAGGTTAAAAATAACTGGGAAAACCAAAAATAGGTTAATACGTTCCAATACGATTTTTGTCCCGGGGACAATACGATTTTTCAAAGTAATACGCTCCAATACGATTTTTTTCCCGGGGACAATACGATTTTTTCATGTAATACGATTCAATACGATTTTTATTCCTTCATATTTCCCTGGGAAAACAGTAGTATTATGGAATAAATACAGATATTATGTATTATGTCCCAAAAGTGTCAATCTCTATTTCTATATGGAATGCAATGGACATGAGACCTGTCATAGGAGCTAAGAAATTGCTCATATAACTCAACCATACCATTGATGAGAATGTCGATCTTCCCATAGTGAGCCAATGCATCATCCACAGCTTTCAGAACCTCCTGGGGCTACAACAGAAAATATTTTCTGTTCAGTTGAAATGTTTGCATATTGTCAATGAGGAAACTGCCCACTAAATTTTACTTCTTCAACTAAAACTGAAAATTAAAACATCCCATTGGACTAAGAGCACGAATGAAAAAGGTTTTCTCAACTTGCAGCTACAAAAATGCATTTTTGCATTGTAAGCCCAACACAGAGTTCTCGCGATAACCATTATAAAAGAAATGACAAATAACTGTTTTAGTCTAATATCAACATCATAAAATGAATGAATCAGTCAGATTGGCCTCCATGTGATCAATGACATCATACTTATTCATAGTTCTGGTTTATTGACTTCTTGGCAATCGAAACATCATAGCAACAGCACAATTGTTTTCAATATATGAAGTAATGATTCAGTGGGACAGGAATGGATACTGGGGACCATGTGGGGACCAGTGAAAAGTCACGTGGGGGCAAAAAATGTCATAAATCATAACAATATTGCTTATTAAAAAGCTACCACATTTAGAAGAAGGAAACAGTTGCCACACTACTGATTAGATGACATATCCAAATACATTAATTACTAAATAAAACTGATTCCTTTAGGTTTAAATTACAATGTCAGTTGTACTTAAAGTTTTGCCTTGTCTTTTTAGATTTGTCTGAGCTATTTTTTTTAGATTCTGGCTCCTCTATGACTATCCATAATGATATAGCTATGACTTCAAGTACCTTCCTGACATCCATCTGTAAGGGTAAGCACTGCTGACTTGTTGCAGCTCTCAGTCTCTCAGCTGACACTTGCAGCTTGGGCAGCTTCCTACTAGCTATCACAGTACGACAACCATGCCTTCAAAAACGCAAATTATGAAAATATTTCATTTTGAAATGTTTTGTCCACATCATTTATTTGACAAAATCTATTTGCAGGCTTTGCTATTTCAGAAATCAATTTTTGGTCCAAAGTTTTACTCTAAAATAAAATGCTTTTGGTATAACTGAGAGAAGTAATGCTAATTATTGACTGTTCACATTGTAATAATTATATTTCAACTAAAGTATAATCATTAGTTGAGTCACAAGTTAGCACAGTATTAAGATGTACAAAGATATTACAATGCCTGAATTTTGCCAAAAATAGGCTGAGCAAGCTTGGGAGGACAATTTACCAAGGCAAGCATGAAAGTATATTTCATAGCATGGTAATAAGGCAATTGGGTTATTCAGGCATTTAAAGTCAAGCTACTTTTCATCCGACTTAAATACAACTGATTTGGTCCTGTAACAAGTGTCTGCTAATAGTATATTTACCTCATGAGTGTCTCTGCTATAGTGAAGCATATTCCAGAACCGCCCCCTGTTATAAATGCAACTTTATCCCTGTAAAAAGTAATACATTGTGTTACAGTAGTGAGCTATATTATATTCTACTATATTCACCAATAGTTTAATTTGTAATCAATGCTTGCTGTCATTCATAACTAGACATCTCATAGGATCTAAATAAAGCAGAACATCAAAATCATTTAAAGGGGCAACAAGGACTGTAGAGAGGGAAAATCGAATTTTTAAAATTTTTTCTGAGCTATCAAGTCAATATTTGGCTTAACATCTTCTTTGACCTATTTTCTTAAAATGTATGGATAAACTCTCAATTTCAGTTCAAAGCTTCTATAAAAGGAGTCCCACTTATAGATTTTTAAGATTCACCACCTTTCAAGAGGAATATCAGCTGAAATAATGTTCATCCAGGGGGTTTCTTTGTTGATAATAAAAATATATGTTAGTCTTGTTGAAATATCCAAACTTAAATATATTTTGACACTGGTCGATGATCGTTAAATGGCCCCCCTGCACTAATTGTTGCACCTTTAATAAGACACCTACTCTTGGAACATTTATAAAGCTACAAACATACAACGTGAGGACTTTATATGGACATATATCACAACATACACTCTATATGGAACATCATATTTAAACAATCTGGACTATCAACGATTCATGGATTATCATAAACATTCATGGATTATCATCAAACATTATTGGATACGAACATTATAGTATTACGACAAACATTACTGGATTATTACAAATATTGGAGAACTATTATCGATTATTGAAACTTTTTTCGTGATCTTGGACATTCTCAAGGATCATCAATGAGACTCATCAACATCAAGAGACAGGCGATCACTGATTGGACATAATAGCCTAAGTATTAAAACATATTTTATATATTATATTGTTATCTCATTTAGTTTTTCAAAAATATAGTACTGTACATTGTTATATTTCTGTTATTATCGAACGTAAAAATTGCATGAACCAAAAGAAAACCAGAACAACGGCAACGCCAAAGCTTAGCGAATCCCATCGAACAGAAATGGCTGGCATTTTTACAAACGAATAGCAAATATCATAAAACAACACACATAAGAAAGGCCACCATTTTCAAAATGGTTGCTCACTAGCCAAGTTGTCATCAGAAGAAATAATATGCTTTTCAGTAGCCACCTCTAAAATTTTTGAAAAATCGCACACGTACTTGTAAAATAACACACATAAAAATGGTGGCCATTTTTCAAAATGGCCAACTACTCCCCAAAGTTTTATAAGAAAATGTGCCATTCTTAAAGTATTCACATATCAAATATGAACAAAATCGCTCCACTACTTTTTGAGTTATAGTAAAATACGTTAAAATGGCAGCCATTTTTCAAAATGGCCACCTTCTACCAAAAGTGTCATTAGAAATAGACAGTGTGCCATGCTTATAGTATTCACATACCAAATATGAACAAAATTGCTCCACTACTTTTCGATAATAATAGTAAAATATGTTAAAATGGCGGTCATTTTTCAAATTTCTTTTCAAAATGGCCGCCTTATACCAAAAGTGTCATAGGACAGTGTGCCATGCTTATAGTATTCACATACCAAATATGAACAAAATCGCTCCACTACTTTTCGAGTTATAGTAAAACATGTTAAAATGGCGGCCATTTTTCAAAATGGCCGCCTTCTACCAAAAGTGTCTTAAGACAGTGTACAATGCTTATAGTATTCACATACCAAATATGAACAAAATCGCTCCACTATTTTTTGAGTTATAGCAAAAATCGTAAAATGACGAGTAAAGGCCACCATTTTTCAAGATGGCTGCCATGTGCTTCTTTAATATCTACATTTGTAGCATTATTAATGTCCTTTATAATTTTTTTACATTTAAAACATATTGCTATAACAGTTTTACATATTGCACCTAAATTACTGTAAAATCGGCACTAAAATGGCTGCCATTTTGAAAATCGGCTGTCGAGCAGAACTTCTACCCCCATAAGGTATATGTGTACAAAATATGAACAAAATCGGGCCAACGGTATTTGAGTTATTGCCCGGACGGACGTACGGACGGACGGACGGACGGAGGCATTCCCTATATCCCTCCGAACTTCGTTCGATGGGATAATAACTGAAAGGATGCATATTACAGCGAAACCTGTGAATACTGAACATCTATACAGAGCCACAAACATATGTTCACTGTTGGTAGGTACTCATTGCAAAGAGCGTAATTTGTAAAGAAGTCAGTTGAGTATGTGGCGAGTATTAGAGACAGGTGTTCACTAGAGAAAGGTGTTCACGAAGACATGTTTTATACTGTGACATGCAAAATGTCACCATCTGCCATTTCTTACAACATCAAATGCCAAACACCAACTACCAAATGGCAAACACCTACCAAAGAAACCCCATTGGGCTTAATCCCATTGGTCTAAATTCTGATCTTCTGAATCCCAATTGTCTGAGTCCCATTGGTTCGAAACCCAATTATTCGAATCCCACTGGTCTGAAAGACTGAAACCTAATCATCTGGAACCCAAGGCAATTGTCTGAATCATATTGGTCCAAAACCCAAAAGTCTGAATCCCAAAAGGTCAAAATCCCTTTCTTCCAAATCTATTTGACCGAAACCTAATGATGCAAAAATTTACAATTGTCGACATGATATTTTCCGAGCGACCACAGGGAAATATCATGATAAAAAGGCTTTACATAAAGTTTTGCGCAACGTATCAAAACCTGAGGCCTTATTCACAATGTGTCGCATCCTATGCGATTGCGACATCGCAATCGCCATCGCAAAAATCGCTAAAATTCTTATTCACAATCAAAGTGCGATTGCGACTTAGCAATTCAATCGCATCAATAGCGTCATATAATTGCGACTACCCTCTACCAGCCGCAATACAGTCGCAATATTAAGGGTTGCTTTATGTTTTAATTAAATGCGTTTAGCGTTCTCAGAATCATTTGCTATTTTAATACAACGTTTTTCGGTATACTAACCAACATGTGATTTTAAAAAAATGGTCATTTCATGTGTTCTGACGAGATACTAAGGGTCTAAAGTCGTCTTAAATAATGGAAGAATATTTTCTATATTTCATCTAAAATTGCTATCAATGATTCGCAATGTTATAATTCCCGCCATTATCAGTCGTCTGAGACACTGTAAAACAAAATGGCGATGATAGCGGTGAACCGCAGACAGTAGTAGTCAGACCGAGATTATTTCGCAACAGAACACATCCATTGGATATTTACGATGATCATGAGATGATCGAGAGGTATCTTCGTTATATGAGGGAATGGACATGAACTTTAATTCCATTAATAGATAAAGAGTAAATTGTAAAAATACGGAGGAGTGAACGATTTGAGGCAACGAAGGGGATTGATGGAACGATTATTGGAAAACAGCTAACATAAACTAAGTTCCTAGAAGATATAATTTTGAGAGGGTTGAGCGGGTTCCCTCCCATACCCATCAAAATAGAATTTAGAAATATATCTTGGGATAGAATCGAATAAACTACTCAAATAAATGGATGTTGGGTCTATTAAATCATTTAAACACAACAATTTTATTTTATTTAATCTTTGTTTTTATTATTAACTCCACGGACAGTCGTAAATCAATTAAATACCATTTCAACCAGCCTATGTTTGCTTTATTTGTTACAGTAAAGCTGCTAACACACTGCTATCCTAAATGCGATTGCTATTGCTACGCGATCGCGATATCTTGTCAATGTGAATACCGCGCCAAAATTGCGATGTCGCAATCGCATAGCAATAGCAATCGCATTCAAATTGCGATGCTTTGTGAATAAGGCCTCTGCATTCTACTCCATTGACCAAATCTATGCATATGATGTTTCTCTCTTTTAAGTGTAGCCAGTCTCAGTGATGTATGTGTTCGGGTTACGGCAAACACGAAAATAAAGCTTTTGTACGTTGGATAATAACACATCTAAACTGTAATTTAACTTTCAAATTCAAATTGTTGAATGTTCTTAAAGAATCGGTAAAACAAGCAAATGAGTTGATTTACCATTGAACCCAAATCAAATTTTCAAATGGTGTCTTCAATGCATATAAAGCTGCATGAAATGGAATTAAAATGTATCACTGTACAATCCAATAACCTAATCAAAATATGGACATGGGATTATGGGTAATTAATAATTATTCCACTATTTAAAATTAAAATGTGTTACAACCTTTTATCAAGACACTCAAAAATCATCTCCATTTGAGCCGTATCAGGCACAGAATAAATCACGATATTCAAAATGACGGGTTTTATCTGAAATTTTTGCTTCCTTAGGCATTTCATTGAGGGGATTTGGTAGTTCAACAAGTTTGAATCTAATCTCCAGCTTTTTATTATTCCGAATTTTGAACCAGTTTCCCTTCATAATTTGCAAAAGATACTGGAGAGTACAAACACCTTCCATCAATCGATTCCACTCATCCTTTTTGCATTAAATGTGAGACGGTATCTATGAGAGTAAATGTGACTATTCTGATTGGTTTATGAAGTGTATATTTGAACCAGACATTTATGTCTATGGATCGCCAAAAAATAACTTTTGGTGAAATGAAACTGTTATCGAAAAAATTCATGGGGATACTAGTATTAAATCAACTCAAGGATTAATGCGCAACCTTGACTGATGCCTATAATCTGATTATAAATGCAGAAAACGAATATTAATGTATTTGTTACACACATTGCGTCAGCGTGTTGATGACGGTTATTTACTTATTTATTATCAGAAGTTGTCTCTTCGATGCTACCACAATCCGAATTAAGTTTTGAAAGCTATGTAACGACCCCACCGTTAAGTCATTGTTAGGGAGTGGGTATAGATCAGGAAGTCACTAAAGAAAATATATAAGAGTTCAAGTGTAACATTCAAGTAACTATTATTGTGTTATGCTGCATGCAATTAATATTCTGCTAATTTTGGTACATATATATGCTTGTTTTATGCTTTTAAGCAATGACACAACAATGAAAGATCCCA